TATAGTAAAACACCAGCATGCTACCCTAATCCTTTACCCATTAAACATAAAGTGTCAATTGCAATTGCACACAAAAAGTGTGCATATTTTTGTGTTTATTAAAATTTTCTTCAAAATGATTCTTGAAGAGAGTGTTTATTCTTCTGGTTTAAGATATTGCATGATTTAAAAAAAAATCTTTTTAAAATATATAAAATTTCTTGTTAACAAAATGCCAGATTTTTCAAGCTTGGCTACTAAGGTGTTGGTATTCTTTAATATTTTAGGGTGTTTTCACCCCAAAGTTAATTTTTGTCCTGTGTATTTAAGCCACTATGTTTCAGTCCTTTGTTTGTTTATATGTTTTCCTGTGTCTCCAGCCCTGTATTGCTTTGTGTTCAATTTGAATGATGACTGACTATGATTCAGCAGTAAACCTGTACACTGTAAGTATTCACTGCTCCATATTCCATGATGGCTGTCCTATAGAACAGTGCATTTCTTGAGCACTCCCTTCGTGCTCCACTGGAGAATGACAAGCTTTTTTAGTGCTTTAGATAAGGGGATCTCAAGCTTTTCAGCACTTGACCAACCCAAAACAACAATATCAGTGACTCGTGAACTCCTTTATCCTCAGAGGTGGTTATAAATATATAAACCTTGCATATAGTGGTGCACCCACACATTATTAGGCCTATATAAACACAAACATTGACAGCACAAAAAAGTAGCTGCGTTACAACCATATACTATTTTATAGTAATTTATTAATACATTACATTACCCTAACCTAAAGAAAATCGGTAAAGACAATGTCTGGAGTACAGAAGGTCAATTCTTGGTTTAATTTTGCAGACCACCACTTTGAGATTAACCTCCACATTGTGATCTGTATAAGATGGTGCAATAAACCATCTGAAATAGGATATACACTTGTATTTTTCCAGTATGAGTATATTATGTTTCCTTACCGTGTATAGGCCCCCAGGACCCTATGTGGATTTTCTAGGAGTTCGCTGATCTTTTTTTAGACCTAGTAGTTTAATGGTTCCCAAACTCAGACTGGTGTCCTGAAGAGTTTAGTTCCAGTTTACTTCAACACACTTGACAGGAGGTTATGCCGCATTCACACGGGGTATCAGCGTGAACGCTTGACTGAAGGCGTGTCTGAAGTTGGGGCTGAAGCGATTGTCATAGCAGCATCAGCCAATGAAATTCAGTCAGCAATAGGCCACTGTCTAGCTGGTGTATTTGCATACAGCGATCTGATTGGCTGACGCTTCCATCTGCGCTTGAAAAGTTGAGCTAGTCCCAACTTCTGTAGTGAGCAACGCCTCTGAAGTGGTGCCGACAAATCCACAATGCAGTTCAGCAACGCCTGACGTCACCCATTTAATTCAGTGTATGGGAAGCGTTGACACTGATGCCCTGTGTAAATGGGGCATTATAGGCTTGATCAGGCATATCAAATTGGAGTTGGAGCTAAATTCTGCAGGGCTCTGGCTCTCCAGGGCTGAGTTTGGACATCCTGTTCATACAAGCTAAAGACAGGTCTTGCTTTTTGAAGCTTGATGAAAGCAAGTTAACAGGTTTAGATAATAGGTTATTTAATTAAAAAGATATTTAGCAAAAGATTTTATTGAATAATTATGCGATGTTTTCACTTTAGCAAACAAGTTAAAAACAAGCCATGAAAAACAACAGCGAGAAGTCTTCACCACAAGTTTTAAGCCCTAATCTACCAACGATTTTGCTAAATACCTAACAAAGTCTCTTGGTTTTAGCATGCATGCCTTTTTTGGATGTGAACCCAGTTTGAATCTTTGCTTTGATGCTGGCACTAATGTTACGCAAGTGAAAACCACAGATACATGCATAGAAACTGCAGTGGTAAAGCTTCCTGTTTTACCAAACAACACACACACACATAGAGCTGTTTAATTTCTTTCTAGCCCTGCATTGCAAAGTTAAGCATAGCATCTTATCATTTTTTAAGTGTTGATGTTGTACTGAGAGTGACATTGTCACAGATGATGCTGAGGCCTCTGTAAGTTCGAAGTTTCAACCTCACCCAATAAAGTAATATATTTAGAGCAAAAATTACTGAATATATGGATTCATTTTTGCCAAATCTCGAATTTTCCTGCTTTTTAAACAGACGTGTTACTGGTATTATTTACCTTTATTAAAGAAAGGTTTCTAGTACAGGTCCAGTCTTTTGTCTTCTTTTTTGACTCCTCCTTTCTTTCTTCTGCTGTTTCCTGGTGTCTTTGTGGTGCTTTTTTATACAAATTTACAATCAGATTACTTATATCAATTTTTAGTAACTGATTAGGAGAACTGTTTTTTGAAGTTGAAGTCTCTAATCTCATTCTTTCCAGACATCTAACTACCTTCACTTGATCCTATTCTTTCTACCTCCTTCAAATTTAATCTGTATTAATAATCAAATAATTTATATATGAATATTACTATCTGGGGTTCATGACTTGTTACATTTTTAAGCATTTCATCATAATCCAAGCCAAGAAAAACACTCCCACATTTCGTGCATCTCTGCTGATCAGAATTAAATTGCATAAAGCAGGGGTCACCAATCTCGGTCCTGGAGTTCCGGTGCCCTGCAGGGTTTAGCTCCAACTTGCTTCAACACACCTGCCTGGGTGTTTCAAGTATACCTTGTAAGACCTTGATTAGCTTGTTCAGGTGTGTTTGATTAGGGTTGGAGCTAAAATCAGCAAGACACCGGCCCTTCAGGAACGAGTTTGGTGATATGTTTAGTAAATCAAATGGAGGCATATTTGGGGATTGTAGTTTTTAGCTGCAAAAGCCAAACCATGAAGACACTTCTGTGCAGTAGCAATGGGAAGTTAAGACTACCCACTTTATATGCATTGCATTAGCCAGTTCTAGAATCTCCACATACTGCTATGGTCTCAATATAACACCCTTTATAAATTGTTCATTTCAGGTCTTTTTGGAAATAAGTGAACCTAAACTTTAAGTTAATCCATATGGTACAATTAGCTGCCTATAAACTTGTAGCAACCCCTGTTGTGCATTTATTTATTGTGTAGTACTGTCCTACTCTAAAACCTCACTGACTGCTGGTTCTTTGCTGTCTACTACAGTAGTAAACTACAGTAATTCAAAATTGTCCTAAGACAAGAATGGGTGTTGCTGAATACTTTTTGGAATGTTTTGATGAAATGTTTTGAACCACTATTGACTACTATATATCATGAGCCCAAGTCTTCAGTCTTGACTCTAATCCTGTTTTACGTGTGGTGTTCGCTTCAAAAGTATATGAATGCAGCCTTGATGATGTAAGCTGAGACTGCAGATCTTAGTGATGCAATGTCAGACACAATGCACTCAATAGAGCTAGTGACGTCACTGTGAGAGCTGGCGTTGTGGGGTAAAGTTAGGTGAGTGCATTAAAAAGCATTGGATGCAGCTCAGATTGCACTGCACCAGTTCTGCACCCAGAGCCCTCTCGTTCACTCCAGCCCAGAAATTAGGGGGTTTGCTGAAGATGCAGCTGTCGTACAGTGAGGGGTCTGTGTCTTTAATAATCTATGACAGCTTGTGTTCATTGAACAGTAAGAATGATGAATAAATCCATATAAAACAGTACCTTAAAGTGACGTCGAACCGTACTCTGTCACACTCAAACCACACTCTGGCACAGCTCTTCCAACTGGGCCAGGGCCAGCCAACTGAACCGCACATGGGTCTGATTCTGAGCACTCACACTTGTTAAACGAACCAGGAAAGTCGCCTGGGCACAGTTTAAATAGCATAGTGTGAGTGCATCCTTATTATCAATGCTGATATTGTTTTGTCCTGCTTTACCTTTTGAGTTTTCTATTGGTTAAGCTGATGACGTTAGGCTTTAAAACCAAAGGAAGTGGATCTCTCGCTTCATTCTCCATGTTGTGTCCTACTTTGTAATTTGTTTATGGACTTTAGTGTGGAGTAGGTGTAACAGAGACCAGCTAGTAAGTGCTGTGCAGGAAAACCTCACTCTGACCTATAAAGGCGCTGAAGGTCGCCGGTTCGATACCAGCTCAGAGCAGGTTGGGTGAAGAAGGACTGGTGGGGGTTATATTGGTGCCGTGACCCAAATGGAAGTGAGGTTTAGGGGGGTGAGTGTAACGGAGGCCAGCTAGTGTGTGCTGTGCAGGTAAACCTCACTCCTCTGACCTCTAAAGGTGCTCTAGCGACAGATGCTAGAGGCCATGGTCTTTAGCCTCCTTGGTAGAGCAACCAACTCCCATGCAGAAGGTCGCCGGTTCCATCCAAGTTCAGTGCGGGTTGGGTGATGTAGGACTAGTGGGGGTTACACAGGGGGTCCCAATGTTTGTTTAGTTTCTTATTTCATATGTTGTTGGGCTCCCCATTTCTCATTGTTGGGACTGATTTGCTAAGTAGTTTATGTTAACAAATAATTCAGAAGAATTTTGGCCGTGGGCAACAAGGTGGCTCAGTGGTTAGCAGTGTGGCCTCACAGCAAGAAGGTCACTGGTTCGAGTCCTGGCTGGGCCAGTTGGCATGTTCTCCTCAGCCAGTGTAGAGTTTGCATGTTGTCTCCGTGTTGGATTTGTTTTTCTTCCACAGTACAAACACATTTTTGTAAATTATTTTAAATTGGCCGCAGTATATGAGTGTGTGTTTGAATGTGAGAGGGTATGCGTGTTTCCCAGTGTTAGGTTGCGGCATCCGCTCTGTAAAACATATGCTGAAATAGTTGGTGGTTCATTCCGCTGTGGTAACCACTGATATAGACTAAGCTGGAGGAAAATAAATGAATAAATGAACTTTGGCTATTGTTTGTTACATGTTCTTTAAGCTACGAGTTGTATTTAAATAGGCATCATAACATTCTGGCACATTCTCTGAATTGCTCACCTGTCTTGTTGTCAATTAAACAGAATTCAATGCTCATGTCTAAATTTGGTCCTTGTCATGGTACTTTAAGATTTCTGTAACAGTTTACAAATGCCTTTTTAAAAAGGCTGTACTCCTTTTCTATGAAATATGTTGGAAAATATATGGATGTGAAAAAGCATGCACTTCACAAGCCACACATTGCTTAATCAGTAATCAGCAAAATGAAGTTAACGGAAGTCAATCTGACAAAAACAAAAGTGCATGAGAACGTCTTCTGCAAAGGATATGGTTACTCGATTCTGCCCACAATCTCAAAAGAAAAGTCAATAATGGAAACTTTCACTTTCGGGTAATTCACGCGATATTAAAAACATGGGCATTGTTGTATACCAGTCTAGACCACAGAGAGCTTTCATTCGCTGTTTGAACCTCAGGACACAAACAGGGACAAACTTCAACTCTCAGGTTTGATTTATTTCCTTATTCTATAAATGTATTTCATTTTAAAATTATAGCCAGAATTAAAAAGTGAATATTTGCCAAACCAGGGATAGAGAATTTTTGTTTTAATTTATTATTATTTTTTATATTTTACAGTGATCAGGAAGTCGCTTATCTTTCTTTCTTTTTTATTATTTTTTTCTCTAATGACAAAAAGAATGTATTATAGAAACATGATAATGGGTTGTGGTTTTAAGATCATTTTGTCAAGTTAGTGACATATTATGGCCATGCAGTGAGAAGTCTTGGCATTCAAATCCTATATTGAGATACGAACATCTTTTTTTCCTTCTGGCCATATTTTTTATAACAACTTAAAGAAACTACTGTAATGTGTTAGTTGTTTTTGTTGTGTTTTTTTAAAGTATAATTTAGCTTTGTCATTTAGAGTCGTTTAAACTTTAATATAACTTTATATAAATATTTAATGTGGTTATTAAATATATTATTACTATTATAATTCTTATTTTAAATATTATTTTACATCATTTTTGGTACAACATAATTTTTTTATTTTGGAAAAAAAAAAAACTTTCTATCCGAAGTGTGTCTTTGCTTTAGATCAATCTACAAATACTATATTTTGTTACAGCTTAAATTAATAAATTAAATTAAATTACATTTTCGACTTGGTTGAAATGGAAAAAAAGGTAATCAAAATATTTATTTCACCTAAGGACCAAAATACATTCACTTAAAGCCAAAATACTGCTTTTAGAGACCACAAGTTAAGTTTTTTACTTTTGCTCAACTTAAATGTTTATTTTGGGGGAAAATACTATAAAACGAAAGTAAACGATGGACTAAACTGAATAAAATGTTTTTAATTTTATTATAACTCAACTCAATTTATTGCTATAGCACTTTCACAAACTACAATGATTACCAAAGTCCCGTACATAAAACGCATAAAAACGCTTGCAAATATACACAAAGCCAAAATACATTAACTCATATCACACGATTAAAAGCTAAAGAAAGTAAGTGTGTTTTCAGTGACCCTTGAAAAGACTCAAAAGTTTGAGCTGTTCCTAAAGAGAGTGGAAAATTGTTCCAAAGTCTTGGAGCTGCTACCGAGTAAGCTCTATCACCTCGACATTTTAGGAGTGATCTAGGAACTTGCAAATAGAAACGATCCATAGAGTGAAGAGATCTCACAGGTTGGTGCATAATAATTATAAGCAATTTTATTACATTACTCAACTTTCTGATTCAGTACAAACTCTCATTTACCAAGACAAAAGTTTCCTTAAGGTGGGTCAATACAATTAGTTTAAAAAAATATAATAAATGCTGTTGTTATGTACATAAATCGTCACATTGAAATTATAAGGTTCTCTCTGCGTTCTGAATGATTTTAAGATATTCAGCTTCAGAGTTGTTGCATTCCATAGTAAACAGTGTGTGTGTGTAACATTTGTTTTTTAAAATAAAAAGTCTTAAAATGTAAACAACTTATAAAAAAATTCCATAATGTAAATAAATTGTCATTTATTAAGAATATGTCAATAACTCAATTTTGACAAAAATGTCAGATAGAACCTTATAATTCTAAGGTGACGAAATGTCAGAACCACAAACTAGTTTTTCCTCTTTTAGTTAAAAATAGTTATATAAAGATAAACTCCATAAATAAATGCTGATCTTAAATAATAAACTGTCTGCAGGCAAATTAACAGTCTGTAGAAGAAGGAAGCAACTCCAAACCTGATGGTGCAGCACATAAGATTGACCTGAACCTGAACTGTACTTTGATTCAGCAGCACAGGTGAGAAATCAACAATACTTATCTAATACTTACTGTGCTGGATGTCATTCAAATGAGGCTGGAATCAACAATAACGTTTATTTGTTAAGCATGTGTAAAAGTATGAATTAATCCAAACTGAAGTACAGTGAAACTGAAAAGTTATTCGGGTAATGTGGGTTATGGACATGACCAGGACGGTCCCCTTCATATGCAAACTCCCACGTGAGTCTTCCAGACATATGGGAGTGTATGGAAAACGATACATCAGCTAAGCCCGTCACGCTTCTGATGTGCAGTTGGCCAAGACATCACCAAAAGCACAACCTTCCAACCCCGAATAATACTATTACTTGGGAATAATAATAGAATTTACATCGAGGGTCGTAAATGTGCTTTTACCTAGCTAATATTGTCTAGGGATTTTTTTAGATATAACAGTACGTTGGGAAAGCAGGCCAGTCCCTGAAGGGGGGGGGATACTGTGGAGACCACCTGCTACCTAAAAAGGGAGACTTGATGGTAATAGAGCATATAGACTAGCCCTAACAAGGGGGAGTACTACATATGATAAGCTGGTTAGCGGGTAGGAAAGACACAGGTCCGCCTAGTCAGGGGAAAAATTGCACGTATCTCCGGGTTAGGAAGCATGGCGCAGCAAGCATTTTTGACAACGAGCTAATTTCATCCCAATTGACTGGAGTAACCCAGTAATCAGGAGGAAACCGACTCCACTCGAGGTTTATAAATCTTGTGAATGTGTTAGGTGTCACCCAGCCCGCAACTCTACATGATCTGTTTAAGAGGTGCTGCATACTCATGCCGCAAAGGAGGCACTGCTCATTATTATTATTATAAAGTGTGTTCTCGCTCCCGGGGGACACAGCTCACCCTGGCACATGAAGCGTGCCCGATGGCATGGACTATAAAATGAACCAAACTCTGCTTTGATACAGCACTTCCTTTCTGTCGATCATAACAGAAAAGAGCCGTTTAAAGACGCATGCTCTATGTGTCACATTAAGCGCAGTGCGCAGACAAAGCAATGAAAGGTCCGGGTCTGCCTCCTCCACAGGCAGCGTTTGCAGACTCACTACCTAATATTAAAAGGGGCGGTAGGAACCTTGGCACAAGCTGAACTGGGGTCTCTACCCTAACGTGAGGGTAGGTCGGTCCAAAAAGGCCCCTGGAGTCTTAACTCTTGTGATACCTACGCAATCAGCAGAGCTGCATTCATAGACAGAAACTTATAGATACTGAATCGAGTGGCTAAATGGACCTAACCATAACCACTGGGGCTAGAGAGATCCAAAGAGGGCAAGAAAGGGGAGCAGGGATGGAGTTAACCATCTCGCGCCCCGCACCTCTGAGGAACCGACTGATAAGGTTATGCTTTCCCAGCGCGCTACCATCCGCCACCCCACAGAGAGCGGGGATGCCAGCACGCCAAACCTTCAGTGTGGAGGGAGACAGCCTGACCTATAGGCATGCCTAATAGGGTGCTCTACCTCTGTGATGGTGTTAAACATCGCACTGATAGGTCACCTGCGCTCTGTCTAGAAACCATCCAAGGAGGTTCCAGAACCCTGCACGGGTGCCAAAGGATGCCTGTCCCAGAAAAAGGAAGTGCTTCTTCCGGGAAATCATTAAGGAGGGCCATCACAACAAGTGTAAGCCTGGAAACTTAGTCCAGTTGGGCCAAAGAGGTGCAACGAGCAAGACCCACTCCTCGTCTTCCCAACCTTCCACAGTGTCTGTGTAAGAAGGCTCACTTGAGATATCAGATATTGCATAAACCCACAGCCTGCTAAGAGCCAGCACATTTGTGCAGAGCAGGGAAAGCAGCCAGCGAACGGCCACTCGGGAGAAACAGCAGGATTACCTGGGCTACTCTGAAGCGTGCCCATAACAGCTCAACCGTACAGGGGTAAAGTCTCCATTCTCTGGGAAACGTAACTGTCATGAGAGCGTGTAAGCGTGCAGCTTTTTAGCTGCATGACTCCAGAGGAGCCGATAGTCGAGCGAGCTGAGACATATGGCAGTAGTGCATGAAGTAAACTATCACAGCCATGCTGGCCGTCCTAAACAACACGTTTCCCCTCCCGCTTTGGTAGAAATTGGTGGAGAGCGAGAAACAGTGCCAATAGCTCCAGGCAATTGAAATGCCAATGCAACTGATGTACGGTTTACGAACCTTCAGTTGCATGCTCGATACACACAGCCCGTCAGACCATACTGGAAGCATCTGTCAAAATGACAGCATGGCTGGACATTTGTTCTAAGACCCATAAAAGGCAAGATCCACCCAGGGGCTGAAGGTGCGGAGACACAGCGGGATGAACACCCGGTGCATCTCTGCACGCCATGCCCAACTGGGCACCCGATCGCGAAGCCAGCGCTGAATTGGTCTCATATGAACAATTGAGCGGCATGATAGCTGCTACAAATGTCATATGACCCAGGAGATTCTGAAAAACTTCAGTGAGACCACTGTAACTGTAATTAATCGGACAAGGCAGCACCATCCCAGCATGCTAAGAGTGCACCGTGATGAAGACAAAGTCCAGCTCCAACCCAAGATGAGAGAAGCTCTGGGGGAGCTGGAGGAGAGTCTGCTCATTCTCGGGTGACTGGAAATCCGAACAGGCCGAGGTGCCGGAGCACCAGGTCCCTGTGCATAGTCAACTAGTTCAGAGACCTGAAAAAATAAATTAGTCAATGAATAATCAAAAATGCCGGTGCGTGTGTGCCGAAAAGGGACAGGAAAGATCCGCAGGGTAAAGGTGACACTGTGATTCTAAAGGGCCAAGGTGGAGCAGGAGGAAAGAAGGAGCTAAGCGCAGCTGGCAGGATGGAGCAACGAGACGCAGCCGGAGGAATGGAGTTTAGAGGTAAAGGCAGGGCGACGACTGATCAAGGCGGTGCCGGAGGGACAAGGGAGCCTGACAGAGTTGTTGGGATAATGGGCCATGGTGGAGATGGGGAGGAGTTAGTCAACTGGCTGAGGTGGAGTTTGCATCTTGGAGGCTGGAGGCGAGGCAGACCCACAGTGAAATCTCCCAACACAAAGCCTGAGGGTGAGCTGGGCTGCTTGCTGACTGCAGAACTGCTGAAGCTGGCTGACTGGCTGAAGGAACTGGCACTTGCAGAGGTGAAGAAGAAGTGTTGGGTGGGATGCTGTTCATGACCATGAAGTTTGTGCTGTCTTGGAACACCTGGGCTGATGTGACGTCACTGGGTACAGTAGATGTGACGTCACTCCAAAAGTTGATGAGCAGGCCCCCGGAATCCAGCATCAGCTCACTCTCAGCTGTGGGAAGGTGGGTGGGACTTCCCCTTAGTCCCTCAATCTCCACCAGAACTCCCACAATTGGCGCTGTAGCTGGTCAGATCCGGTGAGCTCCTCCACAATAGCAATCTGCTCTGTCTGCTCTCCCATACCAAAGCCTTTGCAAGTCAAGGCTACACAACTGTCATGTATGAAATGTGCAGTCCAATTGGAGTGGCAGTTCTGGACATTTTATCAAGATTTGCCTCTTGTGACCCTTGCACCCTTGTGGTGATTACTATTCTGCTCAAAGATTATATTCTTCATTTCACTCTAGATCCAGAAATGCAAATCACATCAGAAACATCTGTATCTGCTTATCTGGGAATTTTATCTCCCAGGAATGCCTAAATCAACTACATCTCTCCTGACAAGCATGAACATATTGAAAGAAAAAAGTCTGTTGGAAAATGTTGAGGGGAGAGCATGGCCAAACACCCAGAAAGGGGGAGAGTAAGTGGAGACACCGGCGGCTGGTCAGTGGAGAGACACCATCTTCAGGGAGCGAGAGAGACCAGTCAGGCAAGAGAGAGCTGAGCGACAACCAACACATTTGGAGCTTGTTACTTAATCACTGAAAAATAATATAATTATTACTTACCTTAATGTCGACCCTGTCTTCTTCTTCCCACAACAAAGCACCTTTCAACAGAAATATAAAAAGAAAACCTCTTGGATACAGAGAGATAAAATACTGCAATCAACTTGCAACTTGGCATGTTACACACAGACGAGATAAGGATTTTGGTACTGCAGAGATCCACCATCTATGTCATCCTGGTATGTCCCTGACATTGGCTCTACATTCTCTGGAGATCTGATTGGACCCATGTGAAAACACTTGATGCAGCAACTTTGTTCATTCCACATCCTTCATACCATCATAGGCCTCTAATCATCCCTATCTACTGAATTCTATATATCTACTATGACTGTCTCCTCAACACCTCATCCTGGTGGATATTGCATACTGTTGTTGTTGAGGAGAGAACCCTTAAATAATTGCAATGCAATTTAGGTGTATTAGGTGCATTTACTAAGTAAAAGCACTAAATAAATTTAAATCATCCTGGTATGTTTTCTACTACCTACAGAGAAACACTGGAGCTGGTCAATCAGGTTCTTGGTTTTGCTCACTGTAGGAAGTGTCTTGGTGGTTTGAAACTTCTTCATGTTTTGATAGATTTAAGCCACTGTGCTTATTGGGACCTTCAGTTGCTACAGAAATGTTTCTGTAACCCTCCCCACATCTGTGCCTTGATAAAATCATGTCTTGACACTCTACATTCAATTGACCCCTATGAATCTGCACTGCCCAGGGAAATAGTAAATCATTTATGCAAAAATGACAAAGCCTACTAATTTCAGACAGAAGACATAAAGTCTGTTTTATGCATATGAGGGAAGTATTCAGGATGTGAGACCGTAACTCAAAATGAAAACAAAATAAAGATCGAAGCTACAGCCTACAAGTCTAGTAATGGTAGGTATGGATTATTCATTCATTCATTTTCTATTTAGCTTAGTCCCTTTATTAATCAGGGGTCGCCACAGTGGAATGAACTTATCCAGTATATGTTTTACACAGTGAATGCACTTCCAGCTGCAACCCATCACTGGGAAACACCCATACACTCTTTCACACACACATACACTAAGGACAATTTAGCTTATCCAATTCACCTATACCGCATGTCTTTGGACTTGTGGAGGAAACCCACGCCAACATGGTGAGAACATGCAAATGCCACACAGAAATGCCAACTGACCCAGCTAAGCCTCGAACCAGCAACCTTCTTGCTGTAAGGCGACATTGCTACCCACTGCGCCACCACCCCGCCCAAGTTAAGATTATTTGAATATAATTAAATTGTTGCAAATTGATTCTCTAACACAAACGCTAGCATCTCAAACAAGACAATAATAATTCATTCCTTGTTTATCAGGGTCTCCAGGCAATGTGGTTTTTAGCTCACTTCTCCTGTCATCTCAGTCCTCATGTATTTCACTGATTATTGCAACAATTACAGAACACATACAACTGTCCCATTCCAGAAAAGATCTCAATTCCTTGCATATTGAGCAGTCCATTTAGCAAGTGGTGAAGCTGACATGATCTATTTCATTCATTGTATATTATATATTGTCCAGCCTTTCTGTGTCTGCGTTGTCCCATATGAGCACACTTTTACCATTTTGCATGTTAGTTGCCAATGTTACTTTTTCTATGCCTGGTTAGTCTGTATTTTACTGCACTGGAGAGTGACAGGGGTCACAGGATATCATGTGATGATTGGTCGAATTGCCTGTCAATCAAACTGATTGCAATGAGTCAGTAACTTAGACTTCATGTTTTGGTTTGTTCTCTAACATGCACTGGGACTTACTAATCAGGAATTGTATGATAATTGTTTTATTGCACATTATATATTTGCGAAAGTTATTTTTTACACTCTTGTAAGGATTTTGGTACAAAAAAGAAACAGATTGACTTTGCTATGTAGCTAAAAATGTGTTGACCATCTGGAGTAGAAATCTGCGCGGGACTAAATTTTGAATCCCGCTCCCGCCCGCACCCGCCAGGTTTTAGCCCGAACCCGACCCCTCCCGCTTATATTAACAATTTGTTGTCCCACTGCCCGACTTGCCCCGTTTTCTGCCCGCCGCGACTGATCCCGCTAAAGAGCGGGGGAGAACAAAACCGAAAATCACCCAGCTATACAGTCCAGACAGCCAAGCTGTCTGTATAAACACACACACAGCACCAAGCACACACACACACAGACAGCTCTTTCTCTCTCATACGCGCGCGCACTAACACACACTCAAGCACCAAGCAGACACACAGGTGTTTGCTGTTATATCAACTCAAAGGCTTGTAATACCATGTATCAAGTACCAATGTAATACCAAAAGGTTTTATATAAAGGTTTATAAATACTGAGCCAGCTCCGGGCCGCAGCGCACATTACTCCCGGGCCGATTCCGGCGCGGATGCGGCAGTGTCGGCTAGCTTACGGCCGCCGCATCTGGCAGTGAGTCCAGCAGCTGGAGCCGGGCCGAGTGGTAAGTCTCCGGCAGGCGAGAATCTAGCCGGAACTGGCCCGAGTGTATTTTGCTATCTGGGAAAGCTCTCTCTCTTTCTCTCTCTCTCTCTCACTCTCTCATTCGCGTGTGCGCACAAACATACACACACACAAGCACCAAGCACACACACAGGCAAAGCTCTCTCTCTCTCATTCGCATAGCAATATCCGCGATATTGCTAGACAGCCCGCTCCCGTCCCAAATTAAACCCGTTACCTACCACTCACGCAATTTATTCGAAAATTTATTTATTAAATTAAATTTATTCCTGCGCCGCAGAAATCTGGTTGGGTCCTGCGGCGCTCGCGGGACAGCCGCGGGAATGCAGACCTCTAATCTGGAGTTCCATGACAGTGCTTTACATTGGTTAAAAAAGACATGATTTAAAATTACTTTTTTCTTTCTGCTTTTTATAAGGAGATCAGCCGATGAGAAGAATGGACACAACAACATCAAAAACCACAGAAAGACAGGAGGTGAGTGACTGGACATTTTATTAGCTAAATATTTTACAAGTATTAGTTTGTAAATAAAATCATTCTAACTTTATAACTTACATTTCAGTTTGCCATTCTCCAAATCTAAAATTCTAAATTTGATATATTTCGGTGATCATTGGCAATTTGAGCTTTAAAAGCTAGTTTTTCTTAAGCAACTTTTGCTACGTCATTTTAAGTTCTGTTTTGCGTAATTTTAAAAAGGTTTTGGCTAGAATAATAGTTTTTACTTCAAGGTTAAGTAGTCAGAATTAGAGTGATGCTTATTTTTCCAATAGGTCAATAGCGGGGCTTCTGGATCATCAGACATCAGATCAGATCAATACCTACAACAGCAAAACAATGAAAAAATAATGAATCTGTTTCACAGACTTCATCTTGAAGGCAGAATCCGTAATACATTTAAAAATGCAGATGTTCTTCAGCTAAATGAATATTCTTTACAGTCTCATGAGTCTTGTGTTGAAAAAGAGCTCATTCAGACTTTCATACAGAAACTACTGATGATGAACTACAGAGCAAGAAACATAAATGTTAAAATGAGGAATGAGCAGAAAGAAATACAACAAAAAGACAGTGATTCATTTGATGAAGGAGGTAACTTTTTTGATGATGCTTATAACACATCTTTGTCAGAGAGAAGAACAAGTCAGTCTGAGCGAATTCACCCAATGGATGTTCAGATGGCTGTGTTTCATTGTGCTGATGGTTTCCTGAAGCAGCTGATGGTCACTAAACTGTCCCAGTGTCAGTTCGCTCTGCCTCTGCTTGTTCCTGATCCAGAAACACAACAGATTGAGTTTCCTCTCTGGACATTCAGACAAATCAACAAGAGCTGGAAGATCAGAAACACCAACAATGAAACCATCAGTCAAACCCAGCCCATCTACAAGGCACAAACTCCAATGGTGTTTTTCTTCAGGTTTGGCTCTGTGTCTTCATCCAAGTCTCAGCTGATGAACAGTCTGATCAATGACAAACACAACACGTTCTTCCACAGGAACTGCCCAGGCAGCAGCAGATCCAGAGTCCTGATGGATGGAGTGGTGGAGATCGCCTGGTTCTGCCCTTCTGGATCAGATGATGATAAATTCACTGACTGTGTGGCCTTCTGTAATCTACATGGAGATGCAGGAGACCACGAGAAACAGTGGAGGATCCTCACTGAGTTGGCCTCGGTCAATGTGGTACTTCTGCAGAAACTAGACAGAAATGTCAGACATGCAGAAAAGATCCAAAACCTGTACAGTGAAGAAAAGCCCCTTATTAGTCTTTTTTCTGATGATAAATCTGCTGTAAATAAAATGAGGAAACATAAATATAAGATCGGTTTAAAAGACAGAAATCAGTCAGATGTCTCTGAAGATCTCATGAAAGCATTAAATGATTGTCTCTCAGAATCATCTCCCACTTTTAGACTTGAAGATGTGTCCAAACACTCAGACATCAGAGTAGATGAGGAAGACGATGAAGACTGCAGGAGAGGAAGAGCAGCAGCACAGCAGATGATCAGTTTACTGAAGGAGAAAAAACTGACAGAAATCAAAGAATCATTTCTGCCTCATCAGGGGAAACTGTGGCATCAGTGGAGTCAGAAGAACAAAGAACTACATCGACCTCAAGGAGATGAGATAGAAATAGTTACAAGTCGGAAAAAAGCAGAAATGAAGAAAATCCGTGAAGAGCAGCACAAACTTCAAATCTGTGAGTTTATGAAGCTATTTTTAAATAAAATCATATCAAATGCCGAACAGGAAAAGTTATTTTTCCTTAAATATCTAACAATTCTACTGGATGAACATACATCAGCCGATCTTTGTACTTTACATCACAAATATGATAAAACATGGTCAAACATCTTAAAACTGAAGGAGAAAAATGATAAATCTGAACAATTCAAAGCTCAAGGCGTCAAACAACTCAAAGCTGAAGAAACTGAACTTGAGAGAATATCTGAGGATATTCACGCTGCAACTTTTGGTCTGGAGCACATCATGAGGGAGATCGGTCAGATCTATGAATCATGTTCATCTGTGAAGGAGAGTAAAAAACATCTGCCGTTTCACTTCTCTTCTCTCCCAAATGTTGCAGCAAAGATGATGATCTCTGGGTTTCCACTGGAGCTGATGGATGGAGATGCTGCTCATGTTCCAGTAGTCTGGATCTCCGCTGTTCTTGATCAGCTCATCCAGAAACTGGGAGACCAGACCAGAGTCTTTGTGCTGTCAGTTTTAGGGCTTCAAAGCTCTGGGAAATCCACCATGCTGAACGCCATGTTTGGCCTCCAGTTTGCCGTCAGTGCTGGCAGAACAACCAGAGGAGCTTTCATGCAGCTGGTCAAAGTGTCTGAGGAGATGAAAACACAGATGAACTGTGACTATATTCTGGTTGTTGATACTGAGGGTCTTCGTGCTCTAGAACTGGCTGGAAGATCAACAAGACATCATGACAATGAATTGGCCACATTTGTTGTTGGTCTTGCTAATCTTACATTGATCAACATCTTTGGGGAAAACCTATCTGAGATGCAGGATGTTCTTCAGATTGTTGTTCAGGCCTTCATGAGGATGAAGAAGGTGAAACTGGATCCCATCTGTATGTTTGTACATCAAAATGTTTCAGACGTCACAGCTGGAGAGAAAAACATGGAGGGTAGAAGACGATTGCAGGAGACGCTAGATGAGATGACCAAACTTGCTGCTGAAGAGGAAGTCTATGATGCAGAACGCTTCAGTGATGTCATTAGATTTGATGTTCAGAATGATGTGAAGTATTTTGCTCAGCTCTGGGAGGGCAGTCCACCATTGGCTCCACCAAACCCAAACTACTGTGAGAATATCCAGAAGCTGAAAAACACCATTCTTTCAAAAACCTCTGGCTGTCTTACACTGTCACGGTTCAAAGGACGTGTTGATGATCTGTGGAAAGCTCTTCTTAATGAAAACTTTGTGTTCAGCTTCAAAAACATTCTTGAGATTGCAGTGTACAGAAGACTGGAAACCAAGTACAGTGACTGGACCTGGAAACTCAGAAGTGCGATGTTGAAAATAGAAGAAAAGTTCCACAACAGAGTTGCCAATGGATATGACGTGGTGGAAGAATCAGACCTGTTGGCTGAAATGAATGAGACAAAGGAAGTAAAAGCATCTTTGGTGGCATTTTTTGAGGAGGACAGAGACAAAGATATTCTGAGTCAATGGAGAGCAAGGTTTGAGACCAAAATTACAGATCTCCATGATGAGCTCATAAAGAAAACAAAGAGAAGACTGGAAGAAGTGATTCAACAGAAAAAGATAAGAGAAAACCTGGATGCCAAAAAGACAGAGTATGAAAATAAGCTTTTCTGTCGGAGTAAAGAGCTTGCTTTACAATTTAAAAACAATGAAAGGAATGAACAACAAATGTCGAATGAATTTGACTCAGTTTGGAGCGGATGGATAGATGAACTGGCCAACACTCCTCTAGTTGAAAACATTGACCTTTGGAAAGATGTCACAATAATCCTGTCAGAAAACCATCAATTGGCTGATCTGGAAGAGAGAAAACAGGGGAAATTCTATAAACAGATTAACCATCTGAATAATTATTCAGATTACATTATGCTGAAAAGGAATGCTGATCTCTCTGATCAGGACCAGTCTTCTGAACAGGCAGATGCAAGGTATGAACATAAAGAGGAGGAAGACATGCCCGTCAAACAAAAGTCTAACTCAAAAAATGTAGAGGCAAGACAGAATGAATCACAGGACAATGACCTGTTACCCGAAGATCATGATACAATCAGTTTTATGATCGCAGATGTCATGAAGCAGACCAATAAAATACTTGAGCGAGCACAAAAAGCGAATCTAGGCTTCCACCACAGCTATATTCAGGACATGACAGCATGTGTCCAGGAACACATCAATCAATTTCATAATCAGAACAAGAAATGTAAGCTGAAGAAGGAGTTCAGTTTAGATCTTTGTCTGTTTGTGTGTGAACGAGCACATGACACATTTAATGCACTTCACAATGAGTTTAAGAATGCAAATGATCCACGAATTTATCTTGAGCGGCAGAAACCTCAGTATTACAGTGTCTTCAAGAACTTCTGCAAAGGAGCAACAACAACAACCATATTTGCTAAAATCATGTGCAGTGAGCTTGAATCTTCCATCTTAAATGCAGTTTACAACAAAACTGCTATTGAGTTGGCGGACCTGATGAGGTCTGATTTACCAGCATTCAATGGCAACAAATCAAAACTGGAAAAACACATCCTGAAAACCCTTGCAGAAAGGGAGATTTTTGAAGAGTATATGAAGTACATCAGTGATCCCAGAGATTACTTCAAACATTTCATCATGTGTGAAGTCAATAAGTTCATCGATCAGCAACAGCAAAAGGTGCTCACTGCATTAAGAAACAATCTCATGCTCAAAGTAGAGGCTGTGACCACAGCATTGTGTAAATCAATAGAGGAGGTCAAGGGAAACAGGGGAGATGCAGACATGTGGCTGAAAAGATTCACCGAAACTCTCAGAGATGAGCTTAAATTTTCAGGAAACTCATATGTAGATCTCAGTGAAATTACTGACCTTGATTTCCTGAAGAACGTTTTGATGGAAGGTCTGACACCAAAGATCTCAGAACTAGAAAAGGGGTTTAGCATTAATGACATAAAAATGGAAAAGTGCAGAAAGAAACCAGACGAGCTTTTGATTGACCACTTCTGTCAGTGCTGTTGGGTTCAGTGTCCGTTCTGTGGAGTCACCTGCACAAACACCATAGCAAACCATCCTGGAGACCACAGTGCTCCTTTACACCGTAATACTGGAGTAACAGGGATGAGTTACAGGGATACAACTAACTTGTCTCTTGACATCTGCACATCAGTCGTAGCAAGTGATCGATCTTTTTACACAGATTCCCCGGATAACAAAGTCCTCTGGAAGGAATACAGAAAAGCAGGAGGAGTTTTTGATAAGTGGAGCATCACTCCTGATCTCTCTGAACTGCCCTACTGGAAGTGGTTTGTGTGCCGATTCCAGAAAGATCTGGAAAAATACCACAGTAAAACCTTTAAGGGGTGTGGTAAGATACCAGGTGAATGGAGAAAGCACACAAAAGCTAGAGCAATACAGAGTTTAGAAGAATACACCTAAAGTAATCCATGGAACCTATGGAAAATATTTGCCTTTGCCTTAATGTACCAAGAGTCGAATGGTTCGAATCTTTTGAAAATGCAAGCACAGAATGTGGAAATATTGGGAAGGGGAATAATGTTTTTGTACTTTAATTCAGGTTTCAGTTTTGGGCAGCGCAATTTTAAACTTGATTACATTTTTTACTAATGCTCATTATTATACGATAGATGACTTTATTGTTTCTTATTCTGCATTAAGTTTTCTTTTTTGTGCGATATTAATTTACACGTTTGTCATTTTTAGATTTATGCTAATTATTTTTTGATTCGTGACTGCAATATTCAATTCAATTCAGCTTTATTTGTATAGCGCTTTTACAGCGTAGATTGCTTCAAAGCAGCTTCACATAAAAGATTAGTAAATTGGAACAGTGTAGTTCAGTATTTAGTGATTAAGTTCAGTTCAGTTCAGTTCAGTGTGGTTTAATAATCACTGCTGAGGGCCTAAACACTGAAGAGCAAATCCATCGATGCGTAGCTCTACCGGTCCCAAACCATGCAAGCTAATGGCAACAACGGCGAAGAAAAAACTTTGCCAATTGGCGAAAGTGAAGAAAAAAAAACCTTGAAAGAAACCGGACTTAGTTCAGCAAGACCATTTTAATTTTTCTGCTGCCCAAACGTCTTGTGCAGAGCTGCAGTCTCAGCGGCGGAGGCTGGAAGCTGGGCCTCAGCAAAGACTTGTCTGTCCCTGGAGCGTCACAGGAATCAGTCTCATGCTCTCCACTCATCCATGACCACCACAGCAGCTAGTCAGGAAGCGGCCTGGTCCAGGATATGGAAATCTTGGGATCATCTCATCATTGGTCTTGGATCGAATCAGTGACTCTGCATAGTCTGAGGACCTCAGGAAGAAATGGAACCACAGGTGGAAATGGAGAATAATAAGAATAATTAGCGTAATACTATTGGCAATACTTTTGGTTTAATAAAAATGTTGACACCAACACACACAAGTACATGTTGCCAGATTGATGCGATCAACAGGAGCAAACTTGACTATTGAGCCTAAAGTCGTGTTCTAAATAAAAGCAACAGTACGCGATAGCAGGAAGTTTTTCCATATTAAAAGGAGTTTTTGTTCTAACCAACACCTGAAGTTTATATTTTAGAAACGGCTTCTATTTCTCACAGGTGAACAACAGAAAACTGACAATGATCAGGTACACCTCATGTGCTTTATTCAGTGTTAATGCTAATAATGTGAGTTTGAACGCCATTTTACATGATATTTATTGCCATACTACTGAAAGCAGCAGCAGATTCTCCTCAGATCTGGGAAATAAAATAAACTGTCTGAAATTGAACTTCAAAACTGTGACTCAGTGTAAGACAGCACATGTCAGTGATTCAGCATCTACATTTAATCATGTTAAAGAGGTTTAATATGTATTCATTAGATTATAAACCTCACCATTTCGTTGGCCTGCAGTGAACGCACAATTCTGTGCATCTGAATGGCTGTATTTACATTTCTGTTCTGTTTAATCTGGTGCAAACAGCCAAGTTGCCTATTACTGCGTATCTTGTCACATAGTGTGTTGTTAGGACACTGGGTTACAATATAACCTGCTCACCTAATGTTTACGCTTGTAATATTTATATTATTTGCTACTTAATGACCTCAAGTGGAAATTTGCGTCTCATTTCGGAGTCTGCTACTGTCCACCAGAGGTTGCATTTCGGTCACAGACACATGGTTTGAGAGCCTTCCTGACTAAATGAATGAAATATTTTCCACCAAGGCAACCCTGTGTGCTGAAATATAATTGGCTAAACTGGCATTGGGCTGGTTAGAGACCAAAACAAAAGACAGCAGTCCGGCACAGAACACACATTTTCAAAGCAGAATATCTGACTTCAGCATTGTTTTTCAGATAAACAAGAATGTTAACTGAGCATGTTTCTGAAATATCTGCACACATATTATGGTAGTTTTATGCTTCAGAAGAGTCAAAAACTTACATACAGCACCTTTAAAGCCTACCGGATGCAAATACATGTCTTTTCCATTCCATTTCCATCATTTATTTTAATTAAACAATTGTGAACATGTTACTTGTTACAGAGCTGTGATTTACTAGATTTACTCTAAACAGTTTTATCATCTGTATTCAGTTTAATTCTCGTCTATCATTTCAAATAAATGTTTTAAAATGTTATACCTTGTAAGTGTTTTGCCTCTCTGAAGACAAACATTTCACAGTTATACTAACACACTAACCAGGAAAGTGTGACTGTGAAGATCCATGTGCTGCTTTTAGTCTAAATTAAACCCACACTACCACAGGCAAAAGGGACAAAATCTAAATTCACAAAAATCAGAGTCTAACTATATACTGTATATAAATAAAAACATATAGAGCAGAGCACAAGTGGAAAAACAATGACAAGAGGCGATCCAGAGAGTTCATAACAGAGAGAGCTACAAAAAAAAACAAACGTTATTGGGTTTCATGGGTTTGGTTTGATGAGAAACTGACATGGAAAGTCAATGTAAAAGGGTCATCAAAATACTAAAAGAGATACAGCTGCTGCCGGATGTTAATGAGGATTATTTGATTTGATTTAAAATGTAAATATATTTTATTCTGATTATATGTCATTAATGTCCACCCCAACCTTAAACTCAACCCTCACAGCGATGTCAAAATTACTGTATCCCAATGTATAGCTGTATCCCTTCTAGACTTTACCTTGGAGATTGAGCAAGCCCAGGCAGACACAAAACATCATAAGACAGTAATATGAGGTTGGATTTAGGTTGCCAGCGTCTAAGCATAATGTTATTTTAATGTCTAATAATGACGTTGATATTTGGTTGATTTTAGGTTGTTAGAAAGTGACCAAAATCCAACGTCAAGCCAACATCTTAAACCAACATCATTTTAACACTGACATTTATAAATCAGGGATGGCAACCAAAATCCAACGTCCGATATATGGCACAGTGGTAACGTCCACACAACATCAAGCTACTCCACATTAAAATTTACACTGGTAACAAAATCTGATGGGTAGCATTTTTCGCACGTCCTGATTTTGCCAAGTGCTAGTTGTCCTGAGACCAACAATTTTTATGATGACCAAGGGACAACAACTCCATCAGCCAATCAAACATCATGACGTCATCATCAGGACCAGAGTGGGACTCCTTTTCAGCCCTGGAGTTTCAAGTCTTAGACCGGCCCACCTCAGTTCACGACTGACTGTATTAAAATAAGGGCATTTCCAAATCAGTTTCTAATTACACTATCACGTCTTTTTCAAGAAAACAGCTGCTTTAGAACTTCAAATGTTCAACAGCCCTAACAGTATTATATGCCTTAACAATAAGAATGGAAAATGAAAAGAATTTGCTCAGGTGAGGTTTGAACGCGGGTCGGCAGTGTCGTAATGTAACGTGCTGACCACTAGTTCACAATGGCGCTGTAACACTGGTGTGACTGGAATAAAAAATAAATATTGCACTGTGACCCGCAAAACTCACAGTATTACTTTCTATTGATGGCTTAATCTTTTTTTTGCCTTTTTAGATTTCTGATCAAGTTATGTCAGATTTATTATTGTAGTGAATCATCTGATTTTCATTGAGAAGGTGTAAAATTCATTAGTATTAATTAAGGGTGTCACGATCCTCCAAATCCTCAATTCGATTACATTTTCGATTCTAAAGGCACGATTCGATTTGATTTTCGATTATGAACAATTAACTAATGACCAGTTAATTATTTGTAGCCTATCGTTTAAACTACCTGACCTGCATGGTCTTTGTTTTACCCATAAACAAATCATACAGTAAATGAATAAAGGCAAGATACACACATAATTACCACCTGTCAATCACTTTTTCTGCGGGACTCGTGAATAGGCAGTGATCTGTGTCGTTATAATGGCGTCGGTAAAAAAGACGCACAACCAACAGGAACCAGCCAACAGTATCTGAGGTGTTCGCTAAAATGACTAAGTACAAGTGAGTGAAAGATTGAAGCAGTCCTCTGACTGCCTGGACCTGCTGTCTCGAGCGCATAGCTGTGTCTGTGTGGTCACGTGATGTGCATTTTCAGAGGTAGAGAGGAAGGAGGGCTGCTCAGAAATGCTACACGCCACTGTGGATGTCAAATCGTTGTCGTTCTAAAATGCCATTTAAAAACAAAGACAGTGTAAACAGGGCCTGAGTGTGTACTTTTCGCGAGCGGATTTGCAACGGGGGCGGGCGGAGGATCGCGATGCCGGTGTTGTCTATCGGACGAACCGTACGTAATACGTACATAGCAGAGCTTGCAAAACTGTGTTTTTTTGTCGACAAAAGGAACTTTGTCAACATAACTCACTGGAAATCCAAAATGCTTCCACACCGGCGACTTCATTGAAGGAGGAGAGGGTTTAAGTTCTGTCGACGGGTCTCCTGCTTCTGCAGTTTAACAAGCACTTCAACAAGCCTGTTTTTTACCCACTTGGCAAGCCAAGCTGACGTGACATGGGGGCGTGGCAGCATCGACGATTCTGTTTTTTGATTCGATAATCGAAATTGAGCATAAATATCGATCGATTTCGATTAAAAATCGAAATCGTGACACCCCTAGTATTAATTATTCAAATTCTAATGTTCACTAAGGTGCCGCTGTTTGGGGTTGAATGATACATCATCATTACCTTGCAGGCTGCTTTTTGCTCACGGGGCTGCGAGACATTAATAAGAAGAGCGGAGCTGCGGCAAAATAATGAATGGATAGAATGAGGCTGAGGTCAAATACATAAGTAAATGAAAACAAAGTGCGACGGCTGAGAGTGCAAACAGGGACACCAGCCCTCGCGGACAAAAAACGGGCCAGCCCACCGGGAATTCTCCCGGTCCTTCCAATTAGCCAATCCGGGCCTGGTCATCATTATGTCCCTGTGCAAAGCCTGTCAAAATAAAAAAAAACAAGAAAAAAAACACACCTGCATTTTTTACCAGTGAAGAGGACAAGTGAAAAGGTAAGATCATGAGTTTTCTCCTATCAGTCTACAGAATGCAGCATATTGCATCATCAAAATGCGCTACCTACTTTTTGAATGCGAGGTAGGACTATGGCTGCGTCCAAAACCACCTATTACTGAGTAGGTACTGCATTTGAATTTAAACTTAATACTTGGCCGTTAGAAAAGTACGTTCTATACAGTACGAACGTGAAAAGTATGAATGGAATTCGGACGTACTACATCCGCCATTTTGTCATGATCACGTGACCTGTCTGCGTCAGTTGCGTTGCCTCACTTCCATTCACGAATTCTCTCGCGGGGCATTATGGGATAGCGCAGCGTGCATGGGATGCGCACTCCAGAATCTCGCCGGATGTAGTAAGTCATCCGGGTACTTCTCGCATACTGATTTTCGAATTCTATGAATTCGGACATACTACTCGGCTCGCATACTGATTTTAGCGTACTATATAGTATGGAAGTATGCGGTTTCAGACGCAGCCAATCTGACAAGGTAGGAAAAAATTAAATAAAATCTGACAAGATAGATGAAATCGACACTGGTTTCCCCCCAGTCCAAACACAGTCGCTATAGGGGAATTGATTAACTAAATTGGCCAAAGTGTATGATTGTGTGTGTGAATGAGTGTGTATGGGTGTTTCCCAGAAAAGAAAATGAATGAATGTGTTGTACTGTAGTATGTTTGTAGAAAACTATTTATAATTATTAAAATTAACACAACAAATTATTTAAAATACTTAAGTACAATATGATGAACAATTAAACAATTAAAAACAATATTAACTATTATGTCCCTGCGTTCGCGTGGGTTTCCTCCAGGTGCTGCGGATAGAGGTAAAGTTGGTTTTATATTCGCTCATTCGTTCATTTAGAAGTCTCTGTATTGTTTACCGTGTTACTTTGAATATTCGATTGGAATTAGCATGACTTGAAAACAACAGTAACACTGTTTATTTGACTGTGAACAATGTTGTACTTTGATAGTCCTTGGCTGCTAATATGATTTTGCTATTTCGAGTTTGCAAATAATACTTTTAGGAAATTTTATTATTAAGAGGAAAGTCTGAATGTGCGAATATAAAACCAACTTTACCTTTATGTGCTGCGGTACAGGTGAATTAGGTAGGCTAAATTGTCCATAGAATATGAGTGTGTGTGTGTGTGAATTTGTGTGGATGTTTCCCAGAGATGGGTTGCGTCTGGAAGGGCATCCGCTGCGTAAAAATGTACAGGATAAATTGGCAGGTTATTCCACTGTGGCGACCCCGGATTAATAAAGGCACTAAGCTGACAAGAACATGTATGAATGAATTTAGGCTACTATCATTTACTATAGTATTTTCATGTGGGAGAGAGCAGGGATTAAAGGGAATTCATTAGGATGAGAACTGGTCAGACTGGATTTAACAGTACATTGAATTAAACAGGAACACCTTCAACTGTTGCTCACAATCATGTATTATTCACCAACACAGAGATTTCATCTGTAATATTAGCCTATAAACATCAGTGGATCTTACCTTACTTAGCCAATCAAGAAGGTAAACCCCATGACATTACATTATCAATACATCAGGTATGACATGCGATGAGGTTACTAACTCTCTTAAAGAAAGTAAATGATATAAAAGACGTTTGCTGTATATTTTATGCAATTGTTTACATTACACGCAAGCGTACTCCATTCCAGCTGGAGGCGGTAATGTAACAGTAAACTCGGGTGCCAACCACCAGCATTAAACACCAAAGAAGAAGACGCGAGTAAACACCAGTAGAGGAAGAATACATCACGTAGACAGATGTTAGTGCTAAACGGTTTAATATTAATCGAATTACATTAATAAGATCACATTGATAAAATGTCTTAATGTTTGACGCCATCACTAACTGATATATATATATCGTTAAAGTGACTGTTTATCGACCGAGCGGTAAGAAACACCTGCACTACATCATATTAACGTTAAATAACAGCGATATTAATGATTATACATATTAAAACTATTTGGCTGTTTTACACCTTAAGACGTGTCAGTTATTAATAAGGGTTATATTTGATGGTGATGTTTGTGAATGCTGCTGTATTTCAGTTGATCGTCTGAATGAATGAAGACAGTTTGATCATCATTAAACACAGATAATGTTCACAGACATGGACTATGAGCTGGAGGAGGACAAACTGTGAGTATCCCGCAAATCATCATCAAATCACACTCAGAATGTTCGTGTTTATTCACTGAGCACACGACGTGTGTTTATATGATGTATCGCTTGGTGTAGAAAGCATCTGCTGTGACTAAAGATCTGGTTAACATCATGAAAATACTAAAAGAGGTAAAGTTGGTTTTATATTTGGATATTCAGACATTCTCCTTAATAATATAATTTCAGAAAAGTATTCTTTGCCAATTCTAAATAGTAATTTGCTGCTAATATGATCTGCCTATCACATTACAGCATTGTTCACAGTGAATTAGATAGTGTTAATGTTGTTTAGAAGTCACACTTGCATGCTAATTCCCATCGAATATTCAAAGTAACATGGTAAACAATATAGAGACTGCTAAATCAACAAATGTGTGAATATAAAACCAACTTTACCTCTATAAAATACTACAGTAATTTGAAGTTAATAATATTATATTGTTTTGAAGCTATACTGTACCATAGTAAAGTATATTGACGTAAAGTTGGTTTTATTTATTCGCTCATTCGTTCAATGACAATTTGTGAATTGAGGTAAAGTTGTTTTTATGTTGGCACATTTATTAATTTAACGCTCCCTGTGTTTGTTTATCATACTAATTTGAATATGTGGTCTGTAACTGCATTTAAGTGTGACTTTAAAACAACATTAACACAGTTTAACTGACTGTGAAAATTGTTATACTTTAATAGTCATTTGCTGCTAATATGATTTCACTGTTTAGAATTTGTAAACTATACTTTTCATTCATTCATTCATTTTCTTGTCAGCTTAGTCCCTTTATTAAACACACAGCGGAATGAACCGCCAACTTATCCATCGTGTTTTTATGCAGCGGATGCCCTTCTAGCCGTAACCCATCTCTGGGAAACATTCACACACACTCATTAGCCCCTTTCACACATACAGACCTTTCCGGAAAATTGCCGGCAATTTTCCGGAAAGGTTGTATGTGTGAACAGGTCCTTTTTGAAAATACCGGTAAATTCGTTCTGGCTATTTTCCGGAAAGAGAAGTTGTAACATTACCGGCAATTTGCCGGAATGCTGCGCTGTGTGAATGCAGAAGGAAGATTCCCGTAATAAGCGTGTGCACGTCTAGAACGTGCTGACGTGAGACGTCTGCTTTAGCCAATCACAACAGTCAGACGCATTCACGTGCGCGCGGTTTGTGAGAATAAAAGCCTTTGAATATTTTTCCAGACACATTTAGCTGCTAGAAGTTAGTCAGATCACGCTTATATGTTCTTCTTAATGCCAACTGTGTAAATAATCATCGACGAGATGCTTATGATAAGCCGTTGTTTGTTTACCTTCAAGCTTTGCGTGCGCCTATGAGCGCCTGCACACGTACATATTATGAACATCTCGACATGCGAAAGTGATCCTGCGAAAGTTGTTCACAATATTGATCATCCACAGAGTTTGTGATGTATCAAATGTTTACAAACACAAGCGCAGCCGTTTAAAGCTCATTTGTGGTGAATGATGTCAGAATTTACCGGTATTTTGCGATGGATGTGTGAATGCTCTTTTCCGGAAAATTTCCGTAACGTCCTCGCCTGTGTGAACAGCGCTTTTTTGAATATACCGGTAAAGTCCTTCCGGATATTTTCCAGATATTTACCGGTATCACTGTGTGAAAGGGGCTATTCACACACACTCATACACTATGGACAATTTAGCCTACCCAATTCACCTGTACCGCATGTCTTTGGACTGTGGGGGAAACCGGAGCACCCGGAGGAAACCCATGCGTACGCAGGGAGAACATGCAAACTCCACACAGAAACGCCAACTGAGCCGAGGATCGAACTAGTGACCCAGCGTCCTTCTTGCTGTGAGGCAACAGCACTACCTACTGCGCCCCTGCCTCGCCCTAAACTATACTTTTCTGAAATTATATTATTAAGGAGAAAGTCTGAATGTGGGAATATAAAACCAACTTTACCTCAATAATTTGTGACGAACTCCCTTACCATACTTTAGCATATGAGTTACAACATGAAAAAAGCTTAACATGGCTTATCCTTCCTAAAAATCAACCAGAGAAACCCAAATTTTCATCAAACTTTTCTTATAGTTAACACTAACTACTGTAAAAAGAATGAGTCCCAAATCCATATACAAAGTGAATAATGTCACGTGTTTTATCCCTCATTGAAGTCTATTATAAGGAGAATGCTTAATGTACCTTAACAATTGGAGGAAACCAAATTTCTATCAAATTTTACTCATGACTAACACTTTCTGATGTCAAAAGTATGAGCTCTAATTAGGCATGGGATGATAACCATTTTCAAGGTGTACTGTGGTTAGAAAAAGTCAAGGGGGCCATATCATACACCCGGTGCAAAAATGTGCAAGACGTGTTTCTATGAGTGCTTTCACACCTGTCAGTCGATTCAGTTGTTCTGAAACAGAGATTACTATTGTTACCGTGTTGCTCTTAGGCCCCGTTTACACTAATGCGTTTTAGTTTGAAAACGCATAAGTTTTGCTACGGTTACGCCATCCGTCCACACTACGCCGGAGTTCTCGAGCGCCGAAAACGGAGCGTTTCGAAAACACTGGAGAGGCCGTTTTCATTCTGAAACGCTGCTGCTCCGTCTCAGTGTGGATGATGGAAAACGGAGACATCTGAAAACGGAGGCGGGGCTGCAGACATTCGCCTCTCTGATTGGGGCTTTTCCTGAATATTAAGTAGCCTAACACACAGTTCAGTCCTGCATCTTCTCCGTGTAAGTTAAAACTTCGCAAGTTTGATCATGGCTGCAGTCTCTTCTTCTCAGTTTGATATGGAAAACAGACTATACCGAGGACACGGGTAAATCTTCAAAGGGAACAGTGTACTTTATAACTTCATTCACATCACCCTGGCTACGTTGTTTTACTTTCTCAACAATAAAATGTAAACATGATTTAAGGAACTGCCTATTTTCATTTTAATATTAACAACTAAACAGACAGCAGAAATGTTGAGGCGCCGTGCTGCAAATATGAGCGTCATCTTCACTGTGTGCATATTTATAACAAAACGGAGCCGATAACATCTGCCTCCTTTCAATTTCAGTGAAAATACGAAACACACCCTCTCTTTGCTGAATATCAGTTTTAATAATCGATAATGGCCATTATAAAAGTATAACATACAATAAGTTTATACATTATAGGAAATAAAGGCAAGCGATCAGTCAATATACAGAATGTAGGCTACGTGCTTACATTAATCATTAACTTATCTTTGCGCTTAGCCAAAACACGTTACCTGAGAACAAGTAAAGGATTCCAATGACCAATGAATATGTCGTTAAATAAAGACAACAAGATAAAAGAAATATTCCGTTTAATAAATATAGTGAGGTTAGATCCAGCGGGAGATGCTTGATGAGAAGTCCGACTAGCACAGCTCTCATCTGGGTAGATTGGCTACAGCGCTTGCCTGAGAGTGTGTGTGTGGTCACGTGATGTGCGTTTTCAGCGTTTTGGTGTGGACGGAGAGCAGTTCAGAAACGCTGGGTGAAACGCGAGTGTGGACGCGGATCGTTTTCATTCTAAAACGCCGTTTTAAAACTAAAACGCACTAGTGTAAACGGGGCCTTAGTTCTTGGAGCAGTTCACTTTCACACAACAAAGTTTCTTAACAGACCAAAAGAGCTAAAACAAGTCATGTGTGAGTAAACTCTCTTCACACTGGTCAGAGTGTCAGGCCTTATTTTGCAGAGTCGCGCTCAGCTGTCGGGGGAGGTGGTGGTTTGGTGGTGTTTGACAGGGTGTGCGTGACGTGTTTGAAGAGCGAGGAGGAATGCGGTGGGGAGGGGTGAGAAGGGTGCGCAACATATTTGAGGACTGGGAGGGAGATGTGCAATTTATCTGAGATTATCACTCGTTTGCGGGCATCCAGGAGAGTCTGTGTATTTGCGGGAGACTCACGAAACTTCAGGGAGACTTGGGATGTCTGGAATGACCTCCCGCCCTACTCATAATTCTCTCTTCATATAGCCGTATACTTATTACATATCCATAATACACTGTGATATAGCCGAGCTCGGAATGTATTGCTTTCTCACTACAATCGATCCGCTCCAGAGTTCCTTTCAATCGAGCCGAGACCACCTCATTCAGGCGATCTTGGACCAATTGTTTTGTCACGGATCCGAGCGTGATTGCTGGTTTCACATATGCCAAACGAACCGAACTAACTGGGCAAACGAGACAGGTTCCCAAACAAAAGGTGTAAAAAGCCCATAATTTTCCCGTTTTTGCGCCACGTTGTTTAAATGGCAAATCCATCTGCGCCACTTTGTGGACTCATTGGTGTTTTGGTCTAGATAAGAGGTGTGTTAAGGTGCGTTGTTGGCGCATTGCTATTCTGAGGAACTAAAATACACTGTTCCATAGACCAGCTGAAAGCAGGTCTAAAGTCCAGCGCAGAGCGCGTTAGTTGTGTGCCTCGCTTACACACTGCTTAAAACACACATGATGTACAGCAAAACACAAATATCTTTACAAATTAAAGGATTAAAATATTACAAAAATATTATTTTCTAAATAAATTTAAAAACCACCGCCTTCACGCCTTCTTCACTTCAAGGGGCTTTTTCAGTTTATTCATGACAATCTCCATCTGTATAATGTTATCATTATTAGCAGTATTATTTATTTTATGCAGATTTATATTTGTTATATTAAAAACAAGCTTAGATTTGTCCACCTGTCAGGTTTTAGACCATTTGGGACACAGCATGTGTTTTAGGATATAACTCAGTTGTTTGAGCACACTTTGTCATCATTGTTCATTTATTCCTTTACTGGAGATTAGAACTGACTCTTAAAGGGAATGGGAGATGAGACTCTGATTTGTTTATTCTCAAAACACACCCAGAACTCATTAAGAGAATAAGCACAACCCTGTTAGACCATGTGCTGTGATGCAGAACGGATTTATCCATCCTTAAAATAGCAAAAGCAGATTACGCCTTAATGCTTTTGTGCATCTAGATTGTTAAAATAGAGCCCTAAGTATGAGTTACCTCCCTTTTGGATTTGGGCTTAACTTACTCTGCTTTCCCTGGTTTGACACACCTCCTATTATTAAGGTGAATTTGGTTTTATATTTGCACATTCAGACTTTCTCCTTAATAACATTATTTCAGAAAAGTAATATTTACAAATTCCAAACAGTGAAATCCTCTCAGCAGCCAATGACTATCAAAATACAACATTGTTCACAGTGTATTATATAGTGCTAATGCTGTTTTGAAGTCATACTTAAATGCGATTTCAGACCCAATAACCAAAGTATAGTGTGATAAATGATACGGGGACCTTTAAAATGAACAAATGTGTAAATATAAAACTAACTACCTCAGTCTTGAACAGAAAACCCAGAGTTTTTATCATTTCAGGGTTAACATAATCAGAGTTTCACTTAACCTGCTTTCTGAAACTAGTCCCAAGTGTGTATGTGTGGAGCAGATAGAGCTCTGTGTGTTTGTGTAAATATCTGACTGCCATTTCATTGCACACTTTACACAATCAGCTACATGTACTGGACAGTATTTCAGATTGAAAGAGGTCTCACACGACTATTTCAAATCATGTATAACAAGCTCCCTTTTCAAGCAGAATATTGACAAAGAAAGAAATCTAGAAACAGCTATGAAGATAATAAAGCATTATATGTCTGTCCGTCTGTGCACGCATGTGTGTGGGTGTGATATGATGATGATGATGATGATGATGATGATGATGATGGTGATGAGGATGGTGATGAGGATGATGATGATGTTGATGATGATGTTGATGATGATGTTAATGATGATGTTGATGATGATGTTGATGATGATGTTGATGATGATGTTGTGTGCGTGTGCGTGTGTGTATGTATGTGTGCACAGTGGAATTCCCACAGTTCCTGGGACAGTGACTCTGAAGAAAGACTCCCAGAACCTGATAGGGATCAGCATTGGTGGAGGAGCTCAGTTCTGTCCCTGCCTCTACATCGTGCAGGTGAAGCGTTCACACACTGCGACCGGCATCACTCAAACACTGCGCTCTTTTAGCTCATCGCTGTCTTTATTTACAAAATGTGTGTAAATCTATATATTCAGTCTTTATATTAAAGGTCCCTGCTGAACAATCCAGCTTAATACAGCCTAGGCTGGTTGGCTGGTTTTAGCTGGTCGACCAGGCTGGTTTTAGAGGGGTTTTGCCTGGTCTTAGCTGGTCAGGCTGGAAAATGACCAGCAAAATCCAGCTAAAACAAGCTTGACCAGCCTGGTTTAAGCTGGATATAGCTGGTTTTGGCTGGACTCCCAGCTTGGCTAGGCTGGTCAAGCTGGTTTTATCTGGTCATCCCAGCCTAACCAGCTAAGACCAGGCTGGAAATGGCTGGAAATCAGCCTGGAAGTGGCCAAAACCCCTCTAAAACCAGCCTGGTCGACCAGCTAAAACCAGCCAACCAGCCTAGGCTGGTTTAAGCTGGATTTTTCAGCAGGGGTACCATGAAATAAAATTTTTTTTATCTGTTATGTTCATTTTAAGGGTGTCCTATTAGCCAGTGTGCTCTAAAATAGTGGCATTTAGAAGATGTAAAACTGATATAAACATGTACAGTTTGCAGTTTGTCACTTCTGCCTGTATGAATCAATGTTTTTTTGTTTTTGTTGTTTCAATGTAATCTTCTGACCAATCAAATACTCTCTAGTATCTGACTTGCCCCGCTCCCTTCTTCTGATTGGCTGTTGATTTGATGCGCTTGAGCTCAAGCAATCTCACTGGCAGACCTGTGATTAAACTAAAGCTATTGGCTGTTTTTTTTTTAAATGGGAGGAGCTACTCTAGGCCCCACCCTCTTATCACGTTTCAGTAGAGATTACGGCAAACATCAAATAAACAAACGCACATGATTATCATCGCAGGATGTGTTCTGTTGTGAATGGTCAGTCATTAATGGCGTTAGTGTTGTTCAGGTGTTTGATAACACTGCTGCCGCTCTGGACGGGACTCTGGCTGCCGGTGATGAGATCACAGGAGTGAACGGCAAACCGGTGAAGGGGAAAACTAAAGTAGAGGTGGCCAAGATGATCCAGGCTGTGCAGGTACAACACAAACACAAACACACACTTTACTGCAGCGCCGCATTTGACACACGACCCTTACACATGAACATTTACTTAAAAATGACCCAACAAAATGTCTATATTGCAACAGAAACCAAACTGTTAAACATATTCTTGTGTTTTAATGTTATCAGACAACAGTTTTTATCTGGAAAGACTTTAAAGGAAATATTTTAAACGTGAATCCATCTAAAATTGTACAATTTTTATGAAAAGGAAATCTTGAAAAAGGACCGTTTTAGATTTTTATCTTATATATTGTCATTATTAATTTTATTATGTATGTATTTACCTTGGACATTATTTATTGCTATTGATGACTTTTAATTGTTAGAATATTTTTATAATTATAGAAAACTATATTTATATAATTATAAACGTGATAAACTTGATCTATTTTCTTTTTGCCATGACATAGAACAGTGGTTCCCAACCTTTTTCTTTGGGGCCCCCCCCATAAACATATACAAACATTGGAGCCCCCCCACCATATAAATACACACGCACGCACGCACACACACACATATGTACTGTGTATGTATATATATATATATATATATATATATATATATATATATATATATATATATATATATATATATATATATGTGTGTGTGTGTGTGTGTGTGTGTGTGTGTGTGTGTGTGTGTGTGTGTGTTTGTGTAATATTAATATATAGTAATATGTATAGAAAATATTAATTAATCAGTTTTAACTTGTCTTGGCCTTCAATAAAACCAAAATTTAGGTAGGCTTTGTCATACTGTCTAATCTTTTTCTTCGCCTCTGAAGAATCACTGCATTTACGTTTGTCTGCCATTTTTGTTTTGATTTTGCCTTTACGACACGTTGACAAGCAGATTGCGCGAGTGAGCAAAATTTAAATAATTATTTAAAGTTATTTAATTATTTTCACTATTATGTTGGAATTTTAAGCATGTGTTTAGATTATTTTTTATTTTTTGGGTTGCTCGATTTTGGGAAAAATCCTAATCCCGATTATTTTGGTCATAATTGTAATCACGATTATTCAAAACCATTGCCAGTTAAGGTCAAAATTATTAGCGCTCCTGAGATTTTTTTTTTTTATAAATATTTCCCAAATTATGTTTAACAGAGCAAGGAATTTTAACAGTATTTCCTATAATATTTTTTCTTCTATTTGTTTTATTTTAGCTAGAATAAAGACAGGTTTAAATATTTTGAAACCAATTTAAGGTCAATATTATTAGCCCCCTTAAGCAATATTTATTTTTGATTGTCTGCAGAAGAAACTACTGTTATACAATGACTTGCCTTATTACTCTAATTAAGCCTTTGAACTGCACTTTAATCTGAATGCTTGTATTTTGAGAAATATCTAGTAAAATATGTGCTGTCATCATAGCAAAGACAAAAAGAAATCAGTAATTAGAAATGAGATATCAAAACTATTATGTTCAGAAATAAGTTAATAAAATATTCTTTCCATGAAACAGAAATTGGGCAGGAAAAGGTTTGCTAATATTCAAGAGGGCTAATAATTCTGACTTAAACTGTATACATACAGTTATTTTCCACCCTGCAAAGGAAAGAGAAATAAATACAATAGAATAAAAATATGAAACAAACTGCTTTAAGCATCTTCACTGTAAGAAAAACACTTTAGCTACAGCATTCCTTCAGTCAAGAGCAGAGAGGGGTTTTCTCGTTATGTTTGTTTAATAATGATAAAAATAGGCGGCAGAAGGATTATAGCGCGCTGTATCTTTAATGGTTTCTCTTTCACGTCTTTTGATCCTCAACTCGATTGTTTATTATACAAATGAGGGTTAATGTAAATAATCACTAAACACCGCGTTTTGACACCTATTTGACCATTAAAGCGTTCACGTTAAGATGACTTTAGATGTCTGCGCTCCTCTGCTCGTCTCAGTGTGCGAATGAGAGTGAATGCTGACCTGCGCATGCTTCTGACTGCGTGATCGTGCTGCACACACACATAAGCTCTTTCGCGCTTTTAAGAGCAACACGTGTACAACTGTGGCGAAATATGATACAATAATCATTTATCTCGATTAATGCTTTTTATAATCGTTTGAAACCGAAATCTAAATCGGATTTTCGATTAATTGCAAAGCCCTTTATAATACTGGACCATTTTTATGCCTTTTTCTACCTCAATACTTATCCTCTCCCGCGCCCCCCCCTGTGAACTCTGGCGCCCCCCTTAGGGGGGCGCGGACCCCAGGTTGGGAACCACTGACATAGAAGCTGAAATGGCAATAAAATTAAAAATCTCTCTCTTTACTGCGGCGTTTACTTTTATTTACATCTTGGTGTTAGATTAATCAGTGTGGCTGCATGAGCGAGTAGTTTATATTTCGAGATCATATTAATAACAATAAACATTTACTTTATTCATATTTTAAATTAGGTGGTTTTCCTTATAATTAAATTAAAATTTTCAGATTTAAGTAACTTTCTTTTTGGTATTTTTTGTTTTTGTCAATTTTTAACATGTCTGTAAAAGTTTTATTGACTGTGTTTGAATCAGTTTTTTAAGTTCATGAAGTTAAAGTAAATTAAAGTGAGAAGGTTTGCCTTCAGCAGCTTGTTGAGATGTTTTATTTAATTTGCCTGTTTTTTTTTTTGTTTTGTTTTTTGTTATGAATAGTTTTCAGATGGTTTTAATTTAGGTTTCTGATTAATTATAACTAAACACAGAAGTGTTAATTGATTATTGACATGTGACCGCGTTACATTATGCAGTTGAAATTAAATTGGTTAATTTAAAGCAGGGTTTTTCAAAGTCTAAGACAGTGGGCCTCCCTTTTGACACAACTTATCCATTGGCGCCCCCCTCCTCCCAAACACGCACGCACACACACGCGCGCGCACGCACACACACACACAAAAATTCTGGAGGTTTTTCTGCTACCTCATCATGCTTGGTTTCAAGGTGTCGCCGAAGTTTAGCGGGTCTCATGCTGTCATTAGCCAAAATATCTTGACAAACCACACATAAAGGTCGTGGTTCATCAGCTGGTCCTGTACACAAAATCCTAAATTAAAATACTGACCATCATATCGTCGTCTTTTGGGTTTAAGCCCTAAACTTGAAGGCTTTGAATCGGGGGTTCTCAGAAACCGATCCATTGTATTAGCAGCATGATTAGCAGGCATATACCTGTATTGGCGGGCTTGCCAAACAGAAGCGAATTCACAGCTATGGCCTTCTGGGTAAAAAGTTTTTCTTATTTTTGACGTATAATTTTTTTTAGCTTTGTTTAATTAAAACGTTTAAATATAATAAAAAATACATATAATAATTAAAGTTAATAATTATATTTTTATAATATAATATTTTTTCCCGCGCCTCCCCTGACATGCTCTTTCGCCCCCCTAGGGAGGCGCGCCTCACACTTTGAAAACCCCTGATTTAAAGCATCCCCTGTTTCCCCCACAGTCCAAACACGTGCACTATAGGTGAAATTAATGAACTAAATTGGCCGTAGTGTGTGAAGAAGTTTGTATGGGTGTTGCCCAGTACTGGGTTGCAGTTAGCGTTCATTCTGCTGTGGTGACCTCCGATGGACAGTGAGGGAATGAATAATTTAAAGCTTTAGTACTGTCACAGGCTTGACTAGAATGTACAGTTTGTAAAGGGAAAGGAAACATCAATATATATATATATATATATATATATATATATATATATATATATATATATATATATATATTTATATTTATTAACAAATAATTAAGAAATGCATATAAATGGATATTATACAGTCAGTTTATAGACTCATTTGAGAAAAACACTGTGAACACTGTGAGGGTATTCGCAGATTTTTAAAAAGTCTTAAATAGTATAAGGATAAGGCCTTAATCAGTCTTAAAATGTCTCGAGTCTGCATTTCAAAGGTCTTAAAAATGCAATCGAAGCGACCCCTTAAAGAAGATTTCGTTTCTGTTTTGAAATGTATGTGTGTTTGTCAACCAGGATGAAATCCCAATAAAATAAAGATTCGCATGGTAATTAATTGTGTTGTTCGGGACTGTTAATTTATACTTTACATTTGGTCTTAATTTTCATTCTGTCTGGTATTAAAAAGGTCTTAAATATAACTCTTAGAAACCTGCAGATACCCTGTTAGATGTAGGCAAGGCGAGTTTAATTATAAAGCACATTTCATACACAATGGTATTTTAAAGTGCTTTACATAAACAGGAATAAATAAACAAGCAAATATAAACAAAGAAAAAAATGGTTAAAAACATAATCACGTGTGTTTACTGTGCTGAATTAAAGCTTAGAGATATGATTCATCTATTTTGATGTTAAGTGATTTTACACTGAATCCACACATAAAATAAATTACAGAAATACAAGAGGATTATTATTATATCTGAGCTGAGGATAGTGTGAATGAGTTAGTAAATGATCATGTGTAGATGTCTGCAGTGCAGTAACAGTGTTCGTCTGTCAGTAAATAAGATGAAGAAGCTTTATTTGGCTGTTCTTTGTTCATTTATAGGTTTATTTTACTTAATTAAAGGTGTTTTTCCTCTGCAGGGTGAAGTGGTGATCCAATATAATAAGCTGCAAGCTGACCCGAAGCAGGGCAAATCTCTGGATATCGGTAAAAACACTAATCTGAGTAATGTAAAGCCTGATCAGTGTGTGTAAATGCATGCAGATTTGTGTGAAATCACTTTATTTCTTAACAAATTTCCATTTATTTTTATTATTTTTAGTTTTTTAAAGGGACGATTCACACAAAAATGAAAAGTCTGTAATCATTTATGCTTTAAACCATTTGTTCTGCTTTTTTGATATTAAAGGAGATATTTTGAAGAATGTTGACCGTTTAGACCGTTCACCCTAAAAGGAAAGCTAACCCATAATTTATTCTCCCTCATGTGCTTTTAAACCTTTGAGTTTTGGAACCTTTACAAAAGAAGATATTTTGAAGAATGTTGTTTGTATTGACTTCAATAATAGGAACAAAAATATGGAAGTCAATGGGCACCAGGAAACCAGCATTCTTCAAAATATCTTCCTTTGTGTTTAACAGCAGAAACTCAAATAGGTTTGAAAAAAGCATAGGATGAATAAACGATGACAGAATGTACATTTTCGGGTGTACTGTCATGTTTAGGGTAAAATTTTATATCTATACTACACTTGTCTTGCTATAGAAGTAATAATATATACAATCATATTCATTTGAAGCAGCTGTTATTAAATTATCACTCTTATTTATTCTAAGCATGGATGTTTCAGATGACCTCAATTGTTGCAGTTCCTTTAGAGAGCACAAGAGGAAGACATAAACCTAAATACACACACACACACACACACTTAAATGCTTCTTCACTTTCACTTTCAGTTTCTCAGTGGCTTTTTAAGGCTTTGATTTGGTTGTTGATGTCTTGTGGAGAGTTATTATATAGCTCTAGCAGTGTTATTATATGTTAATATTATTAATGTTCATAATAATTATTGATATAATATTATGTCAGTCACAACAGTTTAGTTGCAATTACTTGGTGACACAAATGACCAAAAAAGCATGACAACCATTAAACACAGACAATTAATCATCAAAGCCCTGAAACACAGTTAACCTCAATCATTTCTTAAACTCCTAATCGTCACACAAATATCATAATCAAGACAGCCATAACGTGGTTAGTAATTGATGATTACTTTATTTTTAGGTGAATTAGGTTTGTGTCTGTCTCTTGTGTCCTCTAAAGGAACTGCAACAATTGCGCTCAGTGAAACATCCATGTATGAATAGATAAGTGCGATTAGAGGGTTATTTTATAACTATTGTTTCAAACCCTCCTTTATATGTGTATATATATATATATATGTATGTGTATATATATATATATATATATGTATGTATATATATATATATATATGTATGTGTATATATATATATATATATATATATATATATTTATATATATATAATTGCTAAGTAATATTTTTTCTTCTATTATAGAAGTCAATGAGTGCCAGCAACCAACATTCTTTGAAACATCTCCTTTTTAAAATAGCTGTTTTTATTATTAACAGAAGAGAATTCATAAAACTTAAATACATGTAAATCATCAATAAAATTTAAACAATGGCTTTGGAACAGAACATTTCATTACAGTGGTTTTTGTTGAGGGGTTTTGTGTTACATTTTTTATATTCGTTTCTGTCATGATGTGGTCAAGTGAATCTTGAGTTTCTGCATTTGACAGAGTGTGTGTGTGTGTGTGTGTGTGTGTGTGTGTGTGTGTGTGTGTGTGTGTGTGTGTGTGTGTGTGTGTGTGTGTGTGTGTGTGTGTGTGTGTGTGCGTGCGTATGTTCATGCATGTGTGTTTATTAGTGCTGAAGAAGGTGAAGCATCGTCTAGTGGAGAACATGAGTTCAGGAACTGCAGACGCTCTGGGACTCAGCAGAGCCATCCTGTGCAACGGTCAGATATTTAACTCAACCATATTCACTATATCAGCTAAACTATATTATATACACTATTTATAAACTTAAATATATTTAGATACCTTCAACATTCCTCACATTAGTGCAAAAACTCTCATATTATGACATAGGTCATCTCAAATTCTGACAATGATAAATATCTACATATGCAGTAATCCACTGATCTACTGACAACTAATCTCAGTCAGTTAATATTGACCACTTGGAAAGCACTATTTATTTATGATGCTCAGAGGTGTCAAACTCAATTCCTGGAGGGCCGAAGCTCTGCACAGTTTAGTTCCAACCCTGCTCCAACACACTTACCTGTAGGTTTCAAACAAGCCTGAAGGACTCAATTAGTTTGATCAGGTGTGTTTAATTAGGGTTGGAACTAAACTCTGCAGAGCTGCGGCCCTCCAGGAACTGAGTTTGACACCTCTGCTTTAAAGCATATGCTCAAACATGCGCAATATTTATTTGCTTTCATATATGATTATTATTCTCACTTTGTGAAGAACTTTAGGCCAAATGTTTGATTAAGAATGTAGACATAAAATAAATGATAATGAAATATAAAAAACTATAACTATTAAACTTAAAAAATATATATTTATTACAGGCCCAACCTACATTTTAATTTCAAGCTTGCAACTTTTTCACCATGCTGCTAGTCACGTTTCTGCCTGCATTCAGATCGGTCATTGTTACGTGTTTAAGGTATTAAATGGATGAAACGTATCAGTCAGTGAGTCTCTACTAATGCTGGGTGAAAATGAGAAGACACAACTGCTGGATAGTGAAACTAAATTAAAGTGTTTATTAAACAGATATGACAAACAATGAATGTAGGAAATTAGAATGTAATGTAAATGTGATTTTAAATAACTGAATTATTTGCCAAAACAAAGAAATAATTATAACAAAACCATCTAACTCTAAACCCCAACCCACTAAACTACCTAACCAAAGAAAAATGCAGAAACAAATCTTTAACATAGTAATCTTTAGCACGTAGCTTAACTGAACTTCAAAACTACTCCAAACATAACTACAAGTGTGGCAACGCCTCCATAAACTAACAGAAAAATACTATACTGCTCAGAATTACTAGATTTCTCGTAAAGTACACACTGTTAGCCATTAGCAAAACATATTTTGATAATCCAATTCTTATAAAGATCGTTCAGCTTCTCAATAGATACTAAATTAAGCTGCTTTAGCTTATTTAATAAATTGATCACTTAGTTGAGAGAAACCAGATAACACAGCAACCAAACTAAACACAAGTGAACAGGCCGGCCCACGCAAGTGAGGAGTTTGACGGGTAGCCAAGCGTTCCCGGAGACAGCGCAAGCGCACGCCGTTTATATTTGGCGGACCAGCTCCTGATTGGTGCACCGATTGCATCATGATGGTGATTGACAGCTTTTTCGACCAATGGTTGCACACCTAGAACCGGACAAGATACATAACAGAAGAGAGAGAAGAGAACACAAAACCGAAAACAAACAGCAAAACACCACAAAACATACGTGAAGCATAACAGTCATGCATTCTTTGACATAATGATGTAAACGATAGACCACACTATGAACCGATAGACCTTCTGTCTTGTCCAAACAATATATAGTTATATATATATATATATATATATATATATATATATTACATTGCACAGCCATAGCATACATGATCACAGTTTATTCACTATAGTTTATAAATATTTAATAAAATATGACCAGAACTCAGAGTAAAACTATCATAAATAATTCTTCTTAGATAAATGCAATTTAATAGTTAATGGATTACAACCAGCCATGTATGTGTGTGTGTGTTGCAGACGGTCTAGTAAAGAGGCTGGAGGAGCTGGAGAAAACCGCTGAACTCTATAAAGGTGAGGAACTCCTGCTGTTGATAATCTCCTCCTGCATTTGACCGTCAGTCTGTGTGTGCAGATAATCTGAGTGTGTGTGTGTGTGTGTGTGTGTGTGTGTGTGTGTGTCTGCAGGATTGATGGAGCACACCAAGAGGCTGTTAAGAGCTTTCTACGAGCTCTCGCAGACACACAGAGGTGAAAATCATTCATTATGAGCTGCTATAAGGAGTTTCTAATGCAGAATGGTGATTTTATATACCAAAAACTGTTCCTTTCATCACAATACACTAGTGAAACATCCCATAGTTATATAGTTAAATGCATTAAATGTAGTCAGATGTAGTCCAAAAATCAAGTACTTGTAGTTAAACTACTTTTTAAAGGGCACCTATTATGCAAGTATTATTAGGGGCACAGTTGTTTGGCAGCAGTGTGTGAATATATCCAGCCTCTAATGGTAAACATGAGTTAATTGTATTGTTTATAATCAGACTTGATATGAACAGTCTGCAAATACACTTCCATTAACATTCTCCCTTTGTGCATGTCATCAGAGGGTGAAAGCCCCGCCCACTATGCCCATCTCTCTCTCATTAGCATAGGGCATAAGTCTTGTTTTAGAATCTGCCACTATGCTGACACACAGGCATTTGTAGCTCCGCCCTCTCCTGAAAAGAGCACAATAGGGTATATGCCGAGCTAGTGTTTAGCGCAACAGTAATCTAAATGTAATCCGAAAGTACTCCGATTATATTACTATAAATGTCTACTATGCATTACCATATCGTACAACTGGGGCATCAAATAAGGGATGGTTCAAAAATAATCTAAATGTAATCCAAAAGTACTCAGATTACATTAAAGGTTTACCATACCTTATCATGTTGTACATATGGGACATTAAATATGCTAAGTGCAAAAATAATGAAATGTAATCCAAAAGTAGTCAGATTACATTACTTTAAATGTCTACCACATGCTACCATACCACATATGGGGTATCAAATAAGGGTTAGCGCAAAAGTAATCCTAATGTAATCCAAAAAGACTGATTAGATTACTAAAAAAAGAATAGCACTTCAGGGCGTCCTTAGTTTTAATCCCAGCTCAGACATTTCCTGAACCTACCCCCCTCTCTCTCCCACTACGCTTTCTGTCTGATTACTGTCCTAACTAATAAATGCTAAAAATAAATCTTAAAAAAAGTAATCCAAATGTAATCTTACGTTTCTATAAATGTCTACCATACTGTACATATGTGACATCCAATAAGAAGTAGCACAAAAAATGATCTAAATGTAATCCAAAAATTCTCAGATTACATTACTGTAAATATCGTACATTTGTGGCATCAAATGAAGATTAGCCCAAATGTAGTCCAGAAGTACTCGGATTACAGTAAAGGTCTACCATACGTTATCATATTGTACATATGGGACATTAAATAAGGGTTAGCACAAAACTAATCTAAATGTAATCCAAAAGTACTCTGATTACATTGATATAAATGTCTACCTTATGTTGCCATACCAAATATATGGGACATCAAATAAGGGTTATCGCAAAAGTAATCCAAAACTACTCAGATTACATTACTATAAATGTCTACCATATGTTGTCTCACCAAATACACTGGGCATAGAGTAAGGGATAGCTCAGAAGCAATCTTAATGTAATCCAGAACTATTCAAATTACATTAAAGGTCTATTATCATGTACGACTGGGAGATCAATTAAAGGTTACCCCAAAAGTATTCTAAATGTACTCTAAAAGTACTTTGTTACTACCGTACAAATGGAGTATCAAATAAGGGTTAGCACAGAAGTAATCTAAATGTAATCCTAAAGTAGTTAGATTACATTACTATAAATGTCTACTATACATACCATACCAAATAAGGTTTAGTGCAAAAGTAATCTAAATGTAATCCCACGTTGCCATAAATGTGCTGTCTAACAGATTACAGTATGTTACTGACTACACATTTTGTTGTGTAAATTGTAATCAGTAACTGGTTATATTTCATAAGTAATCCTCCAGCACTGTACATCAATATCAACACACCACCTCCTAATATCCTCACCCTGGTGTGTTTGTTGTCCTCCGTCAGCATTTGGCGATGTGTTTTCCGTCATCGGTGTTCGTGAGCCGCAGGCCGCCGCCAGCGAAGCCTTCGTGAAGTTTGCGGAAGCTCATAGAAACATGGAGAAGTTCGGGATTCAGCTGCTGAAGACCATCAAACCTGTAAGAGAGCAGATCTCAATGAGTTTGAGTTCACACACTGACTGTAGAGTAAAAGTGGCATGTGCAGTTAAAGGGAATTATTAGCCCCCCTGTATATATTTTCCCCCAATTTCTGTTGCCAAACATAGTTTAATTAATTTCTAATAACTGATTTATTTTATCTTTGCCATGATGACAGTACATAATATTAGACTGGATAATCTTCAAGACACTAATATTCAGCTTAAAGTGACATTTAAAGGCTTCACTAGGGTAATTAGGGTAAAGTTAGAGTAATTAGGCAAGTAATTGTATAACAGTGGTTTGTTCGGGAGACAATCCAAAACAAATATTGCTTAATGGGGCTAATAATATTGACCATAAAGTGGTATAATTCGCATAATTAAATGTAATTTTCATAATTGAAGAGTCTTAGCTTGTGATAAGACCTTATTAATGCCACACATTTCAGTAGAGAGAAACTAAATACAAGAGAATGATTATTCCTTACTACCCCCATAAGAAAAAGAAACAAGAAAATACTTTACGTGGAGGTTTAGCAAACCGTCTGATCTTTAAATGAACTGATGAAACTTTAGACTTTAATACAACTCAATGCATTAATCTTTAAAAATACGTCAACCTTTATATCTCATGGCCGACTGTGATTATTTGCAAATTGGCTGATCTTAATGCTGTTTACCAATTTATGTCAGTTTAAATAATTGTACATACTTCAGCCTTAAAGCAAATAAACACTATATTTTTATTTTATTTTATTTTATGTATTTAGTGTTTTTAGTTTATTGGAAATATACTTTAGGTTAAAATGTCACTAATGATATTGGCTAAAAGCTAAAGTGGCGAAGAGGTCTTCAAATATATGGAAACATGCCTTTTTAAAACCCTAAAGAGGTGTTGAGTTTAACACCATGATTCCTGTATGTACTTTGATTAAATACATGGCAAAAAAAGCTTTTCCTACTTAGTGTTTTTGTCTTGTTTTTAGCCCAAATAAAGTTAGTTTTTTCTGAAAACAAGCTACATAACCTGCCAATGGGGTGTGCAAAAGAATCATGTCAAAATGAAAAACAAGATTATTTAATTTACATTTACATTTAGTCATTTAGCAGACGCTTTTATCCAAAGCAACTTACAAATGAGGACAAGGAAGCAATTTACACAACCAAGAGCAACAATGAATAAGTGCTGTAGGCGAGTTTCAGGTGTATAAAGTCTAAGAAGGAAAGCATTAGTAATGTAAGTGTTTTTTTCTTGAGTATAGTTAGTGGTATATCCAGAGAGGGAATCGCAGATTAGGAAGTGTAGTGGAGAGTAAATAGTTGAGTTTTTAGTCGTTTCTTGAAAATAGCAAGTGACTCTGCTGTTCTGATGCAGTTAGGGAGTTCATTCCACCAACTGGGCAGATTGAGAGTTCGGGAAAGAGATTTCTTCCCTCTTTGGGATGGAACCACGAGGCGACATTCATTCACAGAACGCAAGTTTCTGGAGGGCACATACATCTGCAGAAGTGAGAGCAGATAAGAAGGAGCAAAGCCAGAGGTCGCTTTGTAAGCAAACATCAGAGCTTTGAATTTGATGCAAGCAGCAACTGACAGCCAGTGCAAACGGATGAGCAGCGGAGTGACGTGTGCTCTTTTAGGTTCATTAAAGACCACTCGTGCTGCTGCGTTCTGGAGCAGCTGAAGAGGCTTGATAGAGTTAGCTGGAAGCTCCGCTAGCAGAGAGTTGCAATAGTCCAGTTTGGAGAGAACAAGAGCTTGAACAAGGAGTTGAGCTGCATGTTCAGATTAGAAGGGTCGGATCTTTCTGATGTTATAGAGTGCGAATCTGCACGATCGAGCAGTTCTAGAGATGTGATCAGAGAAGTTTAGTTGGTCATCAATCATTACTCCAAGACTTTTCACCATTTTAGCCTATTGGCAGATTATTTTGCTTGTTTTAAGGAAAAACTTAAACTCATTAAAAGTTTTGACTCATTATGTGTGAAAACAACACAATATGTTTTACTTGTCTAGAAAATGCTTCTTGATTTAAGAATTTTTAGATATTTGGACTACAAACAGCACAAAAACACTAAGTGAGAGCCATTTTTTGCAGTGTATATGCTAAAAATACAGTGCAAACCCGACTGCCTGTGTAAAAGAAATCCTTTAATGTGATGAAATATGATGAATTTAGACTGTAACATCTCTGTCTGTCCTCCAGATGCTGCACGATCTGAACACATATCTTCATAAAGCCATTCCAGACACCAAACTCACCATCCGCAAATACCTGGACGTCAAGTTTGAGTACTTGGTATGAAGCCAGACCTTATATATCCTGCACTGTAGACCTGAAATACCTGATTTTTAATGCTGATGTTTGTGTGTTAATCGTTTCAGTCCTACTGAAGACTTTTTTTCTGTGTGTTTATGTTTGCTTTTGTGTTTCAGTCGTACTGTCTGAAGGTGAAGGAGATGGATGATGAAGAGTACAGCTGCATCGTGAGTTCATTAAACTATCAAAAACACAGTCAATATCACATGAAGTCAGCTATAAATAAGAAGAAGAAGCCTATCCTTACACTTAAACCTATTTAACCTGTTTATCAAGGAAGATTTAATGTAAAATAAACACTTAAGCTGATGATAACTATATAATTTAAAGTTACAATACTATAAAATATGTCAACAGTTCACCTTCGATTATTCTGCTTTGAACACATTTACGCATTGTCACATTCTGACTCCAATACCTCATTATTAAACAGTTAAATTGACATTAATTAAATGAGATATTCTTAAAAATAAAAGATATGTTCTTTGGAGTGTTGTACTTGCATCATGATGATATTATATTGTCAGTCTGGCATTATATAATGAGTGGCATAAAATGGTCTTAAAATCGTTTATCACGATGTATTTCGGTGCAATATATTGTACAACAAAAAATGAATATCGTGACGGGCCTCTGCTGAATGCCCCAGTTGTAAGTTGCTTTGAACCAAAATGGTCTGCTACATGTAATTGTGTCCATGTGTGTGTTTCAGGCTCTGGGTGACCCGCTGTACCGCGTCAGCACCGGAAACTACGAGTATCGCCTGGTTCTTCGATGTCGTCAGGAAGCTCGAGCGCGATTCGCCAAGATGCGCAAAGACGTTCTGGAGAAAATCGAACTGCTGGACCAGAAACACGGTGCGTGGAGATGCATCACAAAACACATCACATGACCAGTGTTGGGGAGCGTTACTGATAAAAGTAACCCATTACATTATCGGGTTACTTCTTTTGAAAATGTGTTACATAGTTACTTTTTAAAGGAAAGTAAAGTGTTGTGTTATTTAGCTTAAATCTGTGCACCAATGCAGTGAAGATTGGCATTAATTTAGCTTAAACGAGTCTTTCTCATGTCTCGTCAGCGCAGTCGTCCCTCCATAGTAGAGCTGCACAATTAATCGTTAAAAGATCGCGATCTCGATTCGACCCCCTAGACGATCTTAATCTAGCATTTCTACGATTCTGCCAATCATATTTTCAAGTTCAGGAGAGAAGAAAAGGCGGCTACACAAGTCTTTTCATTGTCTCACACACGTTGCTCAGTGATGTTGACACCTCCAAATGATGTTAATTGAGTGACACACTGTATTCATAAGGTATAATTCACCTAAAAATGTAATTTTTGTCTTAATATAATGATGTTTTCGCGGCCGGGAAATCACACGTGACGTGAGCTACTGACCGTGAGCTGTTATCACAGAGAGGGTGGGCACGCGTCTACTTTAGTGAATAGAACCTGCATATGTTGTGAGTAACAGGTAATACAGTTGTAAATAATATTCAGTTTGTGGCACCGAGTGATCGTTTGGGAGTCGCGCGTGAAGTATGAACAGCACTTAGCAGTAAAAATAAAACCGAAAGTGTGCACTTCACTTAAATGATCATATCGCATATTAGAGTTATGATTACGGCAAGCATTTGATATGTTTATTCTTTCATAGCGAACAGAGTTGTGCATGAAAATAAATGTTTACAGTGTCAGTATAACTACTCTAGCCTATATAATGTTGAATATAATCTGATAATGACAAACGTCTGATTTTGCCAGTGAATAAATTTGTCTAATATGACAGATTGCAAGCAAATATCTCAAACATAATAGTTCAACATCAGAAATATTATAAGTAGAATAGAATTATTTATAAAAACCAGTAGACCTACACATAATATTATTATCGATGTTGTGCCATATGTTTGTTTTTACCATACCTTTATTTTACATCTACAGAATCGTGAGAGAATCGTGATCTTTATTTTAAGCAAAAAAATCTCAATTCTCATTTTAGCCAGAATCGTGCAGCTCTACTCCATAGTAAAAAGCGTCATTTTGTGTCTGCCGGTTTGTTTACTTGCGGGAGTTCATTGGCATTTTCCCCCATGTGAATTCTGACCAATCGATAAGCAGTTTAGGAACTATGTTCAACAACATGTGGCCAATGAGAGATGTGGATTTTGTCAAATGACTGCATTTTTGTTCTTTTCAACGGGTTCGGTCCAAAGCCAGCAGTGTGGGGGACTCTATACTGCTCAGTGAGCGCCGTCTTTCAGATGAGATGTTTAACCGAGGTCCTGACTCTCTGTGGTCGTTAAAAATCCCAGGATGTCCTCAGAAAAAGAGTATGGGTTTAACCCAAATTTGTCCACTGGCCTCTGTCCATCATGGCCTCCTAACCCTCCCCATATCATTATTGGCTTCATTACTCTGGCTGTTTCTCAATTCCAAGAACGCAGAGAACGGACTTGCGTTCTTGTGGAGAGCGGTCTTGCTAGGTGTCCTCGGAGAATGAACTCAGGAGACCGCGAGGGCAGAGAACACGTCCTTTAAGAAATGGGATGTGGCGTTCTTCCTGATGGTCACATGACCTTCACGCATTTTAAATAGTAAATTATTTAAACATTACAGCATTCATTCAACAATTTATTGTTTCCCCCCTCTTCAAAATATATACTTTGCATAAAAACATTATAAATTTACTCTGCACAATATAAAAAAAACAGATTTTAATACGAATTTCAGCAAACAAACACCCTTAATGTGTTTATTCCTTTATTAAGATGTCCATGTTAATGTTTACTTTCACCATGTCGTTTAGGGAAACTCCTGAGGTAAATAAATTATATCTCTGAACTTTAATAATAAATCTAAATAAAATGCTGCGCTTCCCACCTCCAGTCGCAATGACTTCTGGGACTTCCAGAGCGAGTTCGGTGCTCAAGTCTGCATTGGTGCGTCCTCGATATCAAGAACACATCCGGGAAGTTTCACGCGTTCTCTATATAAATGTAAGGAATTATTATTATTATTAGTAGTAGTATTATTAAATGTACTCTGATTTTGTAATCTATAAATGAACGTGTGGTACAGTCCGTCTTGTCAAACAAGCATCACATGACGGAAACTACACGAACACCTACAAACTTGTAAACAAAGAGTCGCTGTCATTTATGGAGGAGATTTGCCATCAAGACCAAGTAGTGAAGTACAGCAGATGACCAGCGCGAGCAGATGCAGCATCATTCAGAGGATGATAATGTGTAACACGGCCATAAATGAGGTTGGTGTCGTGATCTTGTTCCTTTCGAGTAGCTCAGGAAACCTAAAAATGAAGCAGTTTTTGTTTGATTCGAACGTTTAGAAATGAAACTAAAGAGACCGAGGTTATTTAATTTTATTAGTGGTTTCAAACATGTAGTGTAATCATAAGCTTGGCGAACAGTTCTGGAGTATTTGATGTTTCCATATTCAGACCGAATGCCTGAGAAGCGTTTCAGAGTGAATTGACTCGCCTTACCTATGATTCTTGTAATGCATTACCCCTAACACTGCTCAGATGTTCAGTTTAGCATCTCTTAAACTCTCTCTGCGCTGTGCTCTTCAGTTCAGGACATCGTGTTCCAGCTTCAGCGATTCGTCTCGGGGATGTCGCATTATTACGACGACTGCTATGCCGTGCTGAAAGACGCAGACGTGTTTCCCATTGAGGTGGATCTGTCCAGAACCATGATCAACTACAGCGGACAGAGCCTGACGTATGAGGACGAGGATGAGGAGGAGAGCAGCAGAGCCCAAAGCCAGCAGCAGGAGGAGAACGGAGCTGAGAAGCTCATAGACGACCAGTGAGTGAATGAACGAATCATCTGAGGAGTAAACCATTCAATGAACGAAAGCGAATCATGTCATTTCAGGAGGAGAAATGAGCCTCTGCATAATCATATTCACTCACATATAATACACTATTAATTCATCCATCATATACAATGTTCAGATTATATACTGATGAACCACACTTTTATTCAAAACACTGATCAGACTCAAAAGATTCAGTCACAGAGTAAATGATTCAGCATACTTTGTGTTTGTTTTTGGGTTTGGATTTAAGTTACTAAATGATTATTAGTAACGTTTTTGCACTTTTTTTGTGTTTAAAAACATTTCCAGTAAAACTCGTTGATGATCAGTGAGTGTATGAATGAACTAATGAATCATCTGAGGATTAAATGAATCAGTGAACGAAAGTGAATCGTTTCATTTCAGAAAGAGAAATGAACGTTTACATAATCATATTCAGCAATTTATACTACATTGTAGATTTGTGGATCACATTTAATTCTATAATAATAAATTATGTAATGATAAACTATAAATTTATATAAAAACACTGATTAGACTCAAAAGATTCAATCACAGCAAATGATTCAGCACTCTTTAGATTAGAGTTTTATGTTTGTTTGTTTGTTTGTTTGTTCATGGTGATGGGATTTAAACTACTAAACAATCTTTGATTAGGTTCTTGCACATTTTTGTTTAAAACATTTTCAGTTAAACTCATTGATGACGAATGAATGAACGAATGGATCATCTCTGAATTAAATGATTCATTGAACAAAAATCAATGATTCTTCATTTCAGAAGGAAAGATGCTCCTCTGCATAAATCCTAATGAATCATATCTCCATCTGTCATATTTAATATTAAAGTACCATCAGGATAATTTACACTTTAATTCAAAACACTGATTTGACTCAAAAGATTCAATCACAGAGTAAATGATTCAGTATGCTTTTATTTAGTTTGTTTATGGTGATGGGGGTTTTAATTTACTAACTCATTATTAATAAATTTTTTTGGCACTTTTTTTGTTTAAAACATTTCCAATTAAACTCAAAGACTAGTGAGTGAATGACTGAAGGAATCATCTGAGAATTAAATGATTTAGTGAACGAAAGTGAATCGTGTCATTTTGGGAGGAGAAATGAGCCTCTCTGCATAATCATTCAACAATTTCTAATACATTATATATTTGTAGATCATATTTAATTCAATAATGATAAGTTATATAATGGCTAACTACACATTCATTCAAAAACACTGATCAGATTCAAAAGATTCAATCACAGCAAATGATTCAGCATACTTTAGATTGAGGTTTAATGTTTGTTTGTTTATGGTGATGAGATTTAATCGACTAAATTATCAATAATTTGCATTTTTGTTTAAATTTGTACATTTGAAACATTTTCAATTAAACTTAAAGACGAATGAGTGAATGAATAAAGGAATCATCTGAGAATTAAATGATTCGGTGAACGAAAGTGAATCATGTCATTTCAGAAGGAGAAATGAAAGTTTGCGTAATCATATCCAACAACATATACTTAATTTCATATATATTTGTGGATCATGTTTAATTCTATAATGATAAACTACACTTTTATTCCAAAAATGAATAGATTCAGAAAGATTCAATCACAGTAAATGATTCAGCATGCTTCAGGTTAGCGTTTTATGTTTGTTTGTTTGTGGTGATGGGATTTAATCTACTGAATTATCTTTGATTAGGTTTTTGCACTCTTTTGTTTAAAACATTTCCAGTTAAGCTCAATGATGACTACTGAGTGAGTGAATAATTCAATCATCTCTGAACTGATTGATTCAGTGAAGGAAAGTGAATCGTGTCATTTCAGAAGGAGAACTGAGCCTCTGCATAATCACATTCAGCAACATATAATATACTATATATTTACTTGTCATATTTAATATTAAAATTCTGTAATTATAAACTACACTTATATTCAAAACACTGATCAGACTCAAAAGATTCAGTCACACGGTAAATGATTCAGTATACTTTAGATTAGAGTTTTATGTTGGTTTGTTTATGGTGAAGGGATTAATATACTAGTAAATCATCATTAATGAAGTTTTTGCACTCTTTTGTAAAAACATTTCCAGATAAAGGGAGCTAAAGGTGTGTGTTCATGTGTGTTTCTATGCAAACACACATTTAAATGAGCAAATAAGTTTAATAATGGCCTGAATTAATGAAGGGAATGTGAATGATCAGAGAAAGAATCTACAGATCAGATGTTATTACCTTTTCTTATGTTTTGCTGGAGAAATGCACAACTGTATAATCATATTCAACATTCTACAATATATTCAAGATGAAATCTATTTATTATTACAGTTCACTGATGATAAGCCACTGTTTCTCTCATCAGAGACTATACATGATCATTGATCTTATTCAATTAAAACTAAACCCTATTTGCTACTTGAAATACACTTTCACTGTAAACAGAAATATACTAATAAGATAACTTTATTTTGTTTAAGTAAAGAAATATGTTGGGTGAAGGTCGCTGGGTCAGTTGGCGTTTCTGTGTGGAGTTTGCATGTTCTCCCCATGTTGGTGTGGGTTTCCTCCGGGTGCTCCGGTTTCCCCCACAGTCCAAACACATGCGCTATAGGGGAACTGATGAACTCAATTAGCCGTAGTGTATGAATGTGTGTGAATGAGAGTGTATGGGTGTTTCCCAGTCCTGGGTTGGGGTTAGAAGGGTATCTGCTGCTTTAAACATATTCTGAATAAGTTGGCGGTTCATTCCGCTGTGGTGACCCCTGATAAATAAGGGACTAAGCTGAAGGAGAATAAATGAATGACACATGTTTTGATTTCATTTATTTAAAATTATTATTAACTAAAAGTGTTCAGATTAAAGAGAATAAACATATAGACACTAATAAATGATGACAAACAAGAAAAACTAAAATGTTTAACCTTATTGCAGAGGAATATCCTTTAATTAACAGGTTTTGCATTTCCTAATTCACAGATGTTCGAATTTTGTGTTAAAAATTCAACTGTAATTGAACAAAGTAATTTTTATTGACATTTTAGTAGTCTTAAAACAACATATTGTGTAAAAAAATAATAATATATAGCAAACTGTGTGCATAAAATAACAGGAAAAGTGCTGGCTGTTTATTACCAGGGTTTAATACTGTAATTCACAACACCAACCCAGACAATATAACACTTTAAACTGTTAAAAATGTTGATAAAAGTCACTTTTTCAGACTTTTTAATGTCTGAAAATGTCAAAAGTTGTAAGAGGAAAGATCCCATGATGCAATTCAAAAGCAGAAACAAGTAAATAAATAAAATTAATCACAAAACAGTCTTAATTATCCTAATTTACAGCATTATTACAGTGTAAAATTCTTATTTTAACTAGAATATTTTAGAAATATATATATATATATATATATATATATATATATATATATATATATATATATATTAGTATATTTTAACTAATAAGCAAATAAAAGTGTACAATTGAAGAGTTTAGACACAAAAAAAAACTCTGAATATGCCATCTGAAATATCCTCTGCAGTTTTCTCAGCCTTCCATGTTTATGTTTAGTTATTTCACACTAAAGACAATAAATATAACCTGCTCATTCATTCATTCATTTCCTTCAGCTTAATCCTTTTATTAATCAGTGAATAATGAACCGCCAACTATTCCAGCATTAGTTTTACACAGCGGATGCCCTTCTAGCTGCAACCCATCACTGGGAAACACCCATGCACACTCATTCACACACACACCTATACACTACAGACGTGAGTTCATCAATTTCCCTATAGCACATGTGTTTGGACTGTGGGGGAAACCGGAGCACTCGGAGGAAACCCATGCCAACACGGGGAGAACTTGCAAACTCCACACAGCCACACCAACTGACCCAGCCTGGACCTTCTTGCTGTGAAGTGACAGTGCTAACCACTGAGCCCCCGCGCAGCCCCATAACCTTTTGACTCATCAACATTTGATGTCCTGAAAGTAAAACTACTGAACCGACACGTTCGTTTCAGGAGAGCATGTCAGATGGTGCTCAGAGGTTTTTGCATCTGAACTCTTGGATTGAATCCAGAGATGCTAAACTAACACTGGTCCAATCACAGAGCGCCTGGTTATCATGTGACGATACTCTAGAATGCATTCTGTTACTATGGTGATGGGAATTAAACTTCTAAACAAACATCATTAAAGTGTTTGCGCTCTCGGGTTTCAGATCAACGAGACCTGATGTTCGGTCAGTGCTGATTAACTCATTTATCTGTAATATTATTATTGTTATATGCATTAAAAGACGTGTCTCTTTACTGCGGTTTGCCTTTGAAACACTGGATGAATGTCTTCAAGCTGTAAATGTCCTGATCTGTCTCTGTTTTCTTGCTCTTCTGTTGTGTTTGTTTGCTCTGGGCTTTATTTATTCATGTTACGGGTGTGCGGCTGTGCTTTGTGTACTTATAGAAAGACTCAAACATCAGAAGAAAAGTTATTAAAACCAAAAAAAAAAAGTTTGAGAGGGAAAATGAAGAGCAGTAAAAGCTGTTTTCAGTGAATTTTCCTCATTAAAGGTGTGAGTTTCTGCAGTGTTTGTGGTGTTTTTTTCTCTGAATGGTTGATGATATTGTAATGGACTGAAACGGTAAAGTGTGTCTGAATAAATAATTATGAATAAAGTCTGTTTTTGACTTCCTGGTCAAACTTTAATCAGGCAGACAATCGTGAAGTTCTGAGCCTTTTTTAGATGCAAAGTTTGTTACCTTACTATACATGGTAAAAAATGTTGTTGTATAAACGCAATATCACACGAGTAGCAGTGCGATATGGCTGTATATCAGCACTGGTGGGAGGTGTGCGTTGCCTTAGCGTCCCACCAGTAGTGATATACAGCCATATCGCACTGCTACTCGAGTGTGATATTGCGTTTATACAACAGTTCAACATCACAATCATGTATATAAATAAGAAAATCAAACACAGAGAGTCTAAAAATCCCTTTTTTTATTAGGAACTACTTTCTTCCGCCATTCATTCACATCTGCAGCTGACGTCAGAACAGCAGAAGCATTTACTAATTCACCAACGTCACTGTAGAGCTAGTGTTTGACTGACTCTCTGTCTAAAGTGATGACAAAACTGCTGATTTTGCTTACAGTTTAAGATTATAAGGCTGAACATGACATGAAATGCCCTCCATCTACAGAGATATCTTCTTACAGTGTTACAGTCTACAGTATTTCTCTGTTACAATCGGGATTTCACAATAATTAACCCCGAAAATAACAACGAATCCACCACTAACGTTACCAGACTGCTGTTGTGTTTGCGATAAGGAAAAACGCTAAACACGTGCAGACTTTGCTTATTTCAATCTGCCAACACAACACACATTCCTGATATGCGAGCAAATCGGTATAAATACAGCACTACAACATACAAAAGAGAGAGATCATCGTACCTGCCAACATGTCTCTGAAAACCAGGGAGACAGAGGGGAGGGGGTGTTCTGAGGTTAGGTTGAGAGCAGGATGCAGCGGGTTTTGGCGGCCGCTTCAATCGGGTACTGTACCAAAAGTTGGCAACAGGGGGGTGTTTAGTTAACAGACTGTACCAAAGAGAGGGGGTGGGTGAACTTACGGGAGTTTTTAAAAAAAATTTTTAGGAAGAAATAAAAACGGGATGTTTGCGTGAGACTGGTCTGAAATACGGGATACTCCCATCAAAAACGGAAGTGTTGGCAGGTGTGCTTACCAGTTTAATATTTGATTTGATCTGCTGTAGTTAGAAATCAGACTGTTGTATCTTCTAAGTGTAAGGGCTTATTATGCAGTTCTGTCGCCATTTTGTGGATAGAAAACGTCAACTGTCGCCGACACACAGTCTCTCATAAATTGTAAATATTTTAAAATAGGCACTATTCTTGCAAATAAACTGCAGAGTTGCAATCTAAACAACTACATTCTCCACTAAAAAAAGCCTCAAAAGTATTTTGTTGTGTAACAGCAGTAATATTTGTCAAACTGTAGTGTGTCTCTGCTTTTTGCTGGCTGTATGTGGGCGGAGTAATACACAAAGGGTAAAGAGGCTGTACGGATGCTGATATTACTTAAATACATCACGGCTATCAGCCAATCAGATTTGAGATCCAGACAGAACCGTTGTATAAAACATTATATATCATTCTCATCATTTAAAAAAGTGTGTTTTGCCTAAGAGATAATGTGATAAATATGTAAACCTCCTGCTTTAAAAGTACATTTCATTTGCAGTCTTAGTGTTTTTTAAGCTCATTTACATTATTGCTGATAGTGTGGTTTAAATGTGATCATTTTAATATATCTAGGGATGACTAATCAGCTGCAAATGCTTTTGAATATCAGGATTTATTTGGGTTTTATTTGTCTGTTTTTATGTGGTACTTTAGTTATTGTTTAATGGTAAAAATGACAACACAGTGTCTCCATCTTCTGATGGCTACTTCCAGCACGATAACGCGCCATGTCATAAAGTGTGAATCATCTCAGACTGGTGAACATTACAATGAGTTCCCTGTACTCAAACGGCCTCCACAGTCACTAGATGTCAATGCAATAGAGCACCTTTGGATGTGGTGAAACAGGAGATTGGCATCGTGGATATGCAGCCGACAAATCTGCAGCAACTGCGTGATGCTATCATGTTAATATGGAGCAAAATCTCTGAGGAATATTTTCAGTACCTTGTTGAATCTCTGCCACGAAGGATTAAGGCAGCTGTGAAGGCGAAAGGTTCTGAACCCACTAGTAAAGTGTACCTAATAAAGTGGCCGGTGTGTGTATTTTCTTATTTAGACACAGACTGACGGTCAGTTGCTGGTAAAACATTTAGTGACTGATAGTCTGAAAGGTTCTACGGTAAGTAATGTAATGAATAACGTAATTAACGTAACGTAATAAGGACAACTGCGAACAGCTTAATAAATTGTGATTTTAATTGCACAATATTTTTGTTACGATGCATACAGAAAGATTTGAAAATATACAGAAAACGAGCCATGTACAACAAAAACACCATAGTTATGTCTTAAAGTCATATAACGCGTAGTGTGAATGCTTTCTAATAATATCAGAGGCTGTTTCCCACACTTTATGTCAGGGGGTCCCTCCATGTCGGGGGAATCACGCCCCATGATCACCTAAAGGGTCCTTGAGCAGAAAAGCGTTGAAGACTCATTCTGTATGCGTAGTTAAGTACTATTTTTACTTAATTATTAGTAAAATCTACGATTAAACTTCAGAAACTTTCCACGTCTGTTAACTTCTGCGCTTCCGCAATATATTCCTCAGCGGTCGTCACATGATTCCTCTCCACTCTCTGATTGGACAGGTTTATAACCGTCTCCGCCCTGCTATTGGTAATGCAGCCCCAGTGGCCTAATGGATAAGGCACTGGCCTCCTAAGCCAGGGATTGTGGGTTCGAGTCCCATCTGGGGTGAAGTTCATTTTAATTCCTCTTTTCGTCTGTTTGTGTTAGCCGTGTAATTTAGCGCGTGTCGCTTGTGTTTTATTAACTCAGATGTACGTTAATAACTAATAGTTAGTCACTGGAGATCGCGTGCATGTGCGGTTTTCCCACAAGGAGACTTTTTACGGGCGGATTTGCGGTTTATTTTCGGTTTCTGGGCTCCGACTGACTGAACACAGACACAAACATGACAGACTTCAGCTTCTGTGTGTTGTTTCTCATCGGGTTTACAGCTTCAGTGAGGAGCGACAGTGAGTATAACTGTGACTTTTGTATTAAAGTTGGTTTTATATTCGCGCATTCGTTCATTGTTTACCTAGCTAACGCTAACTTAAACTGTGAATATAGTTTCTGAATTAGCATGAGTATGACTTCTAAACAACATGTAGCACTATTTAATTGACTGTGAACAACAATAAAAGGGAACTATGACAGTTTTGGCTGCTAATATGATTTCTGAATTCATTATTATGGAGAAAGTCTGAATATGTGAATTTAAAACCAACTTAATGTTTAACGTTACCGCTCTACTTTGAATATTCGGTCTAAATTAGCATGAATATGACTTCAAAACAACAACATTAACACTATTTATTTGTCTGTGAACAATGTATTTTGATCATCACTGGTGCTAATATAATTTCTCTATTTAGAATTTGTAAACAATACTTTTCTGAAATTATATTGTGAAGGAAAAGTCTGATGTGCGAAAATATAATCAAATTTATTTATGAATGGCTTTCATAAATCTGCTTTTTTGATACATAAGGTGAATGTTTTGTTTGTTTGTGATCTTATGTTTGGTGTAAACCTCTTCAAAACCCTCTGAGCTGTGTAAAGTTGAACTCGAGAGTGTTTTAAGTGTGTTTATATGGTGTAAATCTCTTTAAAACACTCTGAGCTGTGTATAGCTGAACTCGAGTGTGTTGTCAATGTGTGTTTAGTGTGTTTATATGGTGTAAATCTCTTTAAAACACTCTTGAGCTGTGTAAAGCTGAACTGGAGTTTGTTTTTAATTAGTGTTTATATGGTGTAAAGCTCTTTAAAATACCCTGAACAGTGTAAAGTTCATCTGGAGTGTGTGTTAAGTGAGTGTTTATATGGTGTAAATCTCTTTAAAGCACTCTGAGCTGTGTATAGCTGAACTCGAGTGTGTTGTCAATGTGTGTTTAGTGTGTTTATATGGTGTAAATCTCTTTAAAACACTCTTGAGCTGTGTAAAGCTGAACTGGAGTTTGTTTTTAATTAGTGTTTATATGGTGTAAAGCTCTTTAAAATACCCTGAACAGTGTAAAGTTCATCTGGAGTGTGTGTTAAGTGAGTGTTTATATGGTGTAAATCTCTTTAAAGCACTCTGAGCTGTGTATAGCTGAACTCGAGTGTGTTTTCAGTGTGTTTATATGGTGTAAATCTCCTTAAAACACTCTGAGCTGTGTAAAGTTGATCTCGAGTGTGTTTTCAGTGTGTTTATATGGTGTAAATCTCTTTAAAACACTCTGAACAGTTTAAAGTTGATCTCGAGTGTGTTGTCAATGTGTGTTTAGTGTGTTTATATGGTGTAAATCTCTTTAAAACACTCTGAGCTGTGTATAGCTGAACTCGAGTGTGTTGTCAATGTGTGTTTAGTGTGTTTATATGGTGTAAATCTCTTTAAAACACTCTTGAGCTGTGTAAAGCTGAACTGGAGTTTGTTTTTAATTAGTGTTTATATGGTGTAAAGCTCTTTAAAATACCCTGAACAGTGTAAAGTTCATCTGGAGTGTGTGTTAAGTGAGTGTTTATATGGTGTAAATCTCTTTAAAGCACTCTGAGCTGTGTATAGCTGAACTCGAGTGTGTTTTCAGTGTGTTTATATGGTGTAAATCTCCTTAAAACACTCTGAGCTGTGTAAAGTTGATCTCGAGTGTGTTTTCAGTGTGTTTATATGGTGTAAATCTCTTTAAAACACTCTGAACAGTTTAAAGTTGATCTCGAGTGTGTTGTCAATGTGTGTTTAGTGTGTTTATATGGTGTAAATCTCTTTAAAACACTCTGAGCTGTGTATAGCTGAACTCGAGTGTGTTGTCAATGTGTGTTTAGTGTGTTTATATGGTGTAAATCTCTTTAAAACACTCTTGAGCTGTGTAAAGCTGAACTGGAGTTTGTTTTTAATTAGTGTTTATATGGTGTAAAGCTCTTTAAAATACCCTGAACAGTGTAAAGTTCATCTGGAGTGTGTGTTAAGTGAGTGTTTATATGGTGTAAATCTCTTTAAAGCACTCTGAGCTGTGTATAGCTGAACTCGAGTGTGTTGTCAATGTGTGTTTAGTGTGTTTATATGGTGTAAATCTCTTTAAAACACTCTTGAGCTGTGTAAAGCTGAACTGGAGTTTGTTTTTAATTAGTGTTTATATGGTGTAAAGCTCTTTAAAATACCCTGAACAGTGTAAAGTTCATCTGGAGTGTGTGTTAAGTGAGTGTTTATATGGTGTAAATCTCTTTAAAGCACTCTGAGCTGTGTATAGCTGAACTCGAGTGTGTTTTCAGTGTGTTTATATGGTGTAAATCTCCTTAAAACACTCTGAGCTGTGTAAAGTTGATCTCGAGTGTGTTTTCAGTGTGTTTATATGGTGTAAATCTCTTTAAAACACTCTGAACAGTTTAAAGTTGATCTCGAGTGTGTTGTCAATGTGTGTTTAGTGTGTTTATATGGTGTAAATCTCTTTAAAACACTCTGAGCTGTGTATAGCTGAACTCGAGTGTGTTGTCAATGTGTGTTTAGTGTGTTTATATGGTGTAAATCTCTTTAAAACACTCTTGAGCTGTGTAAAGCTGAACTGGAGTTTGTTTTTAATTAGTGTTTATATGGTGTAAAGCTCTTTAAAATACCCTGAACAGTGTAAAGTTCATCTGGAGTGTGTGTTAAGTGAGTGTTTATATGGTGTAAATCTCTTTAAAGCACTCTGAGCTGTGTATAGCTGAACTCGAGTGTGTTGTCAATGTGTGTTTAGTGTGTTTATATGGTGTAAATCTCTTTAAAACACTCTTGAGCTGTGTAAAGCTGAACTGGAGTTTGTTTTTAATTAGTGTTTATATGGTGTAAAGCTCTTTAAAATACCCTGAACAGTGTAAAGTTCATCTGGAGTGTGTGTTAAGTGAGTGTTTATATGGTGTAAATCTCTTTAAAGCACTCTGAGCTGTGTATAGCTGAACTCGAGTGTGTTTTCAGTGTGTTTATATGGTGTAAATCTCCTTAAAACACTCTGAGCTGTGTAAAGTTGATCTCGAGTGTGTTTTCAGTGTGTTTATATGGTGTAAATCTCTTTAAAACACTCTGAACAGTTTAAAGTTGATCTCGAGTGTGTTGTCAATGTGTGTTTAGTGTGTTTATATGGTGTAAATCTCTTTAAAACACTCTGAGCTGTGTATAGCTGAACTCGAGTGTGTTGTCAATGTGTGTTTAGTGTGTTTATATGGTGTAAATCTCTTTAAAACACTCTGAGCTGTGTATAGCTGAACTCGAGTGTGTTGTCAATGTGTGTTTAGTGTGTTTATATGGTGTAAATCTCTTTAAAACACTCTTGAGCTGTGTAAAGCTGAACTGGAGTTTGTTTTCAATTAGTGTTTATATGGTGTAAATCTCTTTAAAATACCCTGAACAGTGTAAAGTTCATCTTGAGTGTGTTTTCAGTGTGTTTATATTGTGTAATCTTTTTAAAACACTGAGCTGTGCAAAGTTGATCTCGAGTGTTTTTTCAGTGAGTGTTTTGTGTGTTTTATATGGTGTAAATCTCCTTAAAACACTCTGAGCTGTGTAAAGTTGATCTGGAGTGTGTTTTCAGTGAGTGTTTTGTGTGTTTTATATGGTGTAAATCTCCTTTAAAACACTCTGAGCTGTGTAAAGTTTATCTGGAGTGTGTTTTAAGTGAATGTTTATAGGGTGTAAAGCTCTTCAAAATACCCTGAACAGTGTAAAGTTGATCTTGAGTGTGTGTTAAGTGAGTGTTTATATGGTGTAAATATCCTTAAAACACTCTGAGCTGTGTAAAGCTGAACTCGAGTGTGTTTTCAGTGTGTTTATATGGTGCAAATCTCTTTAAAACACTGAACAGTTTAAAGTTGATCTCGAGTGTGTTGTCAGTGTGTTTAGTGTGTTTATATGGTGTAAATCTCTTTAAAATACTCTGAGCTGTGTAAAGTTTATCTCGAGTGTGTTGTCAGTGTGTGTTTAGTGTGTTTATATAGTGTAAATCTCTTTAAAACACTCTTGAGCTGTGTAAAGCTGAACTCGGCTGTGTTTCAAGTGTTTTGTGTGTGTATATATGGTGTAAATCTCTTGAGCTGAGTATAGCAGATCTCGAGTGTGTGTAAGTTAGTGTTTTGTAAGTTAATATGGTGTAAATCTCTTTAAAACACTCTGAGCTGTGTAAAGTTGATCTGGAGTGTGTTTTTAGTGTGTTTATATGGTGTAAATCTCTTTAAAACACTCTTGAGCTGTGTAAAGCTGAACTGGAGTTTGTTTTGAATTAGTGTCTATATGGTGTAAAGCTCTTTAAAATACCCTGAACTGTGTAAAGTTCATCTTGAGTGGGTTTTCAGTATGTTTATATGGTGTAAAGCTCTTTAAAGCACTCTGAGCTGTGTATAGCTGAACTCGAGTGTGTTTTCAGTGTGTTTATATGGTGTAAATCTCCTTAAAACACTCTGAGCTGTGTAAAGTTGATCTGGAGTGTGTGTTAAGTGAGTGTTTTGTGTGTTAATATGGTGTAAATCTCTTTAAAACACTCTGAGCTGTGTAAAGTTGAACTTGACTGTGTGTTAAGTGAGTGTTTTGTGTGTTTTATATGGAGTAAATCTTTTTAAAACACTCTGAGCTGTGTAAAGTTGAACTCGAGTGTGTTTTCAGTGAGTTTTTTGTGTGTTTTATATGGAGTAAATCTTTTTAAAACACTCTGAGCTGTGTAAAGTTGAACTCGAGTGTGTTTTCAGTGAGTGTTTTGTGAGTTAATATGGTGTAAATCTCCTTAAAACACTCTGAGCTGTGTAAAGTTGATCTGGACTGTGTTTTCAGTGAGTGTTTTGTGTGTTTTATATGCTGTAAATCTCCTTAAAACACTCTGAGCTGTGTGAGGTTGATCTGGAGTGTGTGTTAAGTGAGTTATGCAGGAATCCAGCGACTCTGCAGATCTGTGTTTAGTGACTGGAGAAGCACATGATCTCCTCTGTCTGAAAGCTGATATCTGTCTACTGTTACTGCATGATTACTTTACTGTGATGAGATTATATTAGATTGCACATTATACTACTTTTCCTTAGAGAGCAACACTGTAAAAACACCTCTCAATTAGCAGTTTTCTGTATTTTGTGTTTCATGTTTAATTTATTTCTGCTTTTGAGTTGCTTTATGAGATCTTGATCTTTCCTCCAACAGCTTTTAACCTTAAAGAGTAGTAAAAAAGTGGCTTTTATGTACATGTGTAATAGTCTGCAGTGCTATATTGTCTGGGTTGGTGTTGTATATTACGCTACAGTCTCCTTGTAATAAACTGCAGCACATTTTCTGCTATTTTACAGATTTATTTCTCTAGTTATTATAATTTTTTTATTATATAAATTCACAAAAACTTTAATAGAGTCACTTTGTAAAACTGTTGAGCTGAGTTTTTAACATCTAAAGTAGACAGAGCAGAGATCAGCAACCTATAATGCAATTCACAGCCATAAATAAACGGAAACTGTTAATTACCAGATGTTTTTTCAGTGTACTGATTAAATAGCAATGCATTTGACATTATTTCAATACTCATTTTGTTTTACTTAAAAGCCAAGAAAAGTACAGTAGTTCCTAGTGTATTGTGTAAAAAAAATGAACAGTGAAATCTCACAGCTGCTGGTAGCCAATGGACAAACTGGGGAACACATAAAACTCTACACTTTGAAAATAAACACACATGTGAAGTTAATAAAGATAAATTGGCCATTTCTAATAAACATATTTGTACTTCAGTAAACATTAATAAACCATCTTAATTATCTCGGTGCTGGAAAAATGCGAGACTGTAGTCTGTAATGTGGATCGAGTGCTTTTATAAGATGACAAAAGCCCACATCTCCAATCACCGAAAACGGCTGCAAATCTTCAGCAATGAACAGCCGCACTGCCTTTGTTGTTTTTATGTGTCTCTCGGAACCAGTTGGGTGTGTTTGCTGGAAAGATTCAGTGAGGGATTGTTGTTATTTGGAGGACTTTATTACCTTCTCTGCTTTCCTGCTTCAGACAGTGATATTGCTGATGGCGCTGCAGATGTGCAGTCATGGTTATATGTGTAAATCAATGCTTGCACACAGTTATTTTTTTTGTTCACCATTTTTTCTTTTATTGGCATTACTCTTACCGGCTAAACCGAGATGTCCTGACACCGCAGATTTGAAAGACGCCGGTGCTTTCTCGTACTGTTGCCTCACTTTACCAGCACTTCCTTGAACTGTTGCCTCAGCCTCACTTCACCGCCGCTTGCCATGGTAAAGTGTGGAATGATGGTCAAGCCCCCCCTAACTTTAGAGCACAGTGATTGGATATTTACTCGCGGGGAGGAGTTTCCTCATCTCAGCTCATGGATTTAGAGACACACACAGTCAATTCGGGGAGATTTAAAATGCACATACATTATTTAAACACAAAACTGGGAAAACTGCAATTCACAAGCGCGTATTGATCCGTGGAGGTCTTACCATACAGTTCAATGTTATATTGAGAACCGTGGCATCCCTAATATATATATATATATATATTATATATAAAGGCAAAAATCAGTAGAATATTAAGTAAAGATGATGTTCCAGAAAAATATTTAGTAAATTTCTAAAACTATTAATATATAAAATACTAAACAATGTTGGATTTAATTTAAATGCTATTTTTTCAATATATATATATTTTTATAAGCCTACAGGTTTTCCAGGTTGTTAAATGGTTGTAAATCGACTAAATGTTGTCATATTATAACAAACTATATATGTATGGAAAGCTTATTTATTCAGCTTTCTGTCAATGCTTATATCATGCAATACAAAAATGGACTGGTCTAGTGGGCCAGGGTCACGTATAAAGTCCAGCACACAGCAATACAGAAAAATAAAAGAGTTTTAGGAAATTTACATTTTAGCAAGTTCATTTGATTAAAAGTTTTTTATTAGAGCAAGGTGACAGGGTGGCTCAGCTGTTGCCTCACAGCTTTTTATTTTTTTAAGTATTTATTTATTCATACATATTTTCTTTTAATTAATTTAGTTTTTTTTCTCTTTCTTTCTATATATTATTTATTTATTTGTTTGTTTGTTTATAAAGTTACTCATTTAAAGATTGACCATAAAATATGACACATGAAGTCACAATGAAGCTGTTTCAGAGGGAAATGTTAGTATTGTATTTTGATTATTTACTTTTTGTTAAATATTTTAAATTCGCTCAGCTTGTAGGCCGTTTGTAAATATAACCAAGAATTTCTGAGTATTCATTTCCCGTCTCATATCCTCAAAAATGTTCCTCTTGAGGTTAAAAGCAGCACAGAATATGTTTAGGGAAGTAGCAGACGCCCACAGACTGAAACTCATCAGGAATCAGACATGTATTTCATATGGTTAAAAATACAGTAAAAACTCTGAATATTTAAAATATTATTATAGGTTAAAAACAGTTGTAATCAGTGTGAATATACAGTACAGTCTGTTTTATTAATGTGATGTAGAGCTGCATTTCCAGCATCAGTTCTGCAGTCTTCGTGATCCTTCAGAAATCATTATAATATGATTATTTGATGATCAACAAACATTTATGATTGTTATTATTATCAGTGTTAAAACACTTGTGCTGCTTTCTAGAAAAATGCAGTTTACTGTCCAGGATTCACAGGTCAGTAGAGAGAACAGTGTTTAAAACCATCTCTTTTCAAATAAAATTACATTAAAAAAAACATTGTTTTTAGATATTCTTCATATTTGTTTTTATTTTCTTCATATTTTTGAGGAAACGGGGAAAGTGATTCATTAATTTTCCCGAATTTGTAAAGCAGCATCTGTTTGAAATGCTGTATAACTTTCTATTTTATTTATATCTCTGCCGTTACTCTTGCTCAATGTGTTGTTGCTGAATAACTGCTTCATCACTTGCGCTGTTTCATCGCGTGTGTGTGTGTGTGTGTGTGTGTTTTGTTTGTGCTCTGTGTGTGTTGTTTGTGTATTTGATCTCCCTCTTTGTGTGTGTGTGTGTTGTTCAGAGCTGAAGGCGACTGTGTACTGGGACGCGACCCATAAGTCTGCAGTGCTGAAGCAGGGCATCCTGGACCCGGCAGGCGCCTCTTACGGTTACTATGACGATGTTCTGCTGTCGACCGGATGGGGCGTGCTGGAGGTGCGAGCGGGATATGGGGACACAACGCAGACTGATGACATCACCATGTTCACAGCCGGATACCTGGAGGGCTTCCTCACCGCACCGTAAGTGTGTGTGTGTGTGTGTGTGTGTGTGCGCGCTGTGAGATGCTGAAGACCTGTAAACCTGTTTCTACATGTTTCCTCATGAATGCATGAATCACTTCCTCATTTTTTTTTTTAAATGCCGAATCCTCTCTGCAATACTCACAATAGTGCAATACCAATGCTGTTGCCTGAACATGCACTTGTGTTTATTACAGTTTCCTGCATTTAAAACTCATAAATAAAGAACACACACACTAAAACCTGCTTCAGTTCATCATCATCATGACTATTCTCCCTCTTCATTCTCTGACTGACTTTGACTGTTGAAACCACTTGACACTCTTAGTTAATTAATTCAATTCAAGTTTATTTGTATTTTGCTTTTCTCAATAATTATTGTTCCAAAGCAGTTTTACAAAAGACTTGCACATGATTACATTGAGCTCAATATCAGGTAGCTTGTGTATAGGGTGCTAATAGGATGATAAAACATGTAAACGTATGTAATATATTGAGCTCTATTTTAGCGATCTCGGCACAATAGCATTAGATGCGTGTCTGAATCCACTTTTGCTAATTTATTTATGGAAAAATCCGCTTTGCGCCGTGGCGCATGGTCTAACAGGGTCAGAGCCGGCCCAAGGCATAAGCGAGCTAAGCGGCTGCTTAGGGCCCCATGGCCACCAGGGGGCCCCCAAGAGTGCATGAAATTACTAACTTTCGTTTTTGTTTTAGTTTGTTGGAGAGTTTGGTTATAGATTATGGGTGGGGCAAATATATCAATATGCTCTGGCACCAAGAATCAATATTTATCTAAATGTACAAAAGATCTTAATTAATTAATCTACTCTGACTGCAGCCATTTATCTCTGTGGCTGCAGTACACCCAGCTGCCACCAGGTGGCTCTTCCCGTAATGGTGGATCAACAATACATCAGAGACGCACCAGCCTTTTTAACCACTGACAGATGAGCGATTGCAATTGTGAAACTTCATACAGGAATATTTATTTCCGCCAAAATATATAAAGATATCAATAGGACAAGAACAAATAATTTGAAGGGTTTTTCATTTATTTAACCCTTGCAGACCTTTGCAAAGTCTTGTAGATGGTATTTTTGCTGAAAATATTAGATAAATTAAAAAGAAAAACTTAAAAAAAATGCTCTTTTTAAATTGATGAGCAAATAACTAATGTTCTCCACTGCTGGAGGAATTATAAGTGCTCAGAGGAGACTGTGCTCACCTTTCTGAGCATTTCATCAGTAACTGTTCTTGAAGAAAATATATTAATCTAGTGGCAATGCAAAATTTTGCATGATTAAAAATAAACCAGGGCTATGCATAAAATACATCAAATAGGTTGGCCAAGTTGTAATAAATGTCTTTAGTTTATAGAAAACTAGAAAGCAATAAATAGCTATTTTAATTGTTTTCTAACATGCACAGTTGAAGTCAGAATTATTAGCCCCCCTGAATTATTAGCTCCTCTGTTTATTTTTTCCCTAATTTCTGTTTAATGGAGAGAAGTTTTTTAACACATTTCTAAACATAATAGTGTTAATAACTCATTTCTAATAACTGATTTATTTTATTTTTGTCATGATGACAGTAAATAATATTAGACTAGATATTTTTCAAGACACTTCTATACAGCTTAAAGTGACATTTAAAGGCTTCACTAGGATAATTGTGATGCTGCTGCTCTGACTAATTTAGAGATGAGCCCTCTATCTCTGCATTTTTCAGCTTGTTGAACAGTTGTGTGCTTTTTTACACAGTTGCAATACTATAAACATGTGCTTTTAATGAAAGAAATGCATCTTATAACTTTTTGAAGCATTTTTTACTCTTCATTTGCAAAAATTTGTATATTTCATGGTTGGTTTTCTTGTGATCAAATTTCACAGCCATGTACTACGAATCATTGACAGTTGGTAAATACTGCAAAAAATTCTTTCCTTTTTATTGTTTTTGTCTTGTTTCTAGTCCAAATATGTAAATAATCTTAAAGAATAAACATTTTCTAGACAGATTTTCTGTGGAAAATGCTTCTTGATTTAATTTGATTTTGATTTAAAGTGATTTTTTTTAGATATTGGAACTAGAAAATACAAAAAGTATATGTAAGAAAAAAAGCATATTTTATAATGTAAGCAACACAGCTACAGCAAATAAAATTGGTAACGCGTGTTTTAAATGTAAAGTGTGCAAATAATCAAGGATTATCGATAATTTATCATATTGTCTGCACCAAGGGGGCCCCAAATAAAATTCTGCTTAGGGCCCCCTAAAGGCTTGGGCCGGCCCTGAACAGGGTTAAGCTTATTCTCTTAATGAGTTCTAGGTGTGTTTTCAGATTAAACCAATCAGAGGCTCATCTCCCATTCCCTTTGAGAGCCAGTTGCGTCGCGCCATGGCACAGTTGCTATTTACATGGTGGACTTTGTACGCTAGTTGAAAAACTGAACATTTCACTAGTAAGAAAACAGTTAAACAGAGCATCTACAGCGCGAGAATGAGAGAAGTTATCTACTTTCACTTTCACTCTCGTGGATAGGGAAACGTGTTGTACACACAGACATCAATTAGCCTATAAATAATTTATTTCGTTTGTTAAGCACAAATATTTGTTTAAAACTATTTCTAAATTCAGTTCTAATCTCCAGCAAACGAATAAATGAATAATAATAATGAAGTGTGCTCAAAAACCTGAGTTATATCCTAATACACATGCTGTGCCCCATATGGTCTTAAACCTGACAGGTGGACAAGTCTAAGCTTGTTTTTAATAAAACAAATATAAATATGCATTTAATAAATAATGCTGCTAATAATGATAACATTATACAAAAGCAAATTGTCATGAGTAAACTGAAAAAGCCCCCGAGATAAATAAGGCATGGGCGCGGTGGTTTTTATATTTATGTAGAAAATAATACTTTTTGTCACATTTTAATATTTTAATTCTTTTTCATATGTGAAGATATTTGCGTTTTGCTGTACACCCTGTGTGTATTAAGCAGTGTTTAAGCGAGGCGCACAACTAACGCGCTCTGCGCTGGACTTTAGACCTCCTCTCTGCTAGTCTATTAGACAGTCTATTATAGTTTCTCAAAATATCAACATGCCAGCAATGCACCTCAACAAGCCTCCTTTTTTTTTAAGACCAGAACGCCTACGGGTGCACATATGAGCGCAAATGCATTTGTTATTTAAACTGTGCAGCAAAATGCCAAAATTACACTTGCGTCCAGCTGAAACTAGCAAACAACAATTGCGTCTTGCCTTGCGCCCGGTGTATGATAGGGCCCATAGTGTTTATTCCAGAAAGGAAAGGTCTGTGTGCATAATACATGCTTAGTGAAGTGCTGTGGGTGTTTTTTTTTATTATTTGGAAGATCTATTACAGGGCTCAACAATAAGGACTGCCCGGTGGCCCAGGGCCAGTGTGAGAGACACTTGGGACAGTAGACCGGATCATTACTGGCCCGATTGGGACAGTGCTGCCCTGTCACTAACATTTAATTTGTCTGCGACTATTTGTCAATTGCGTGCATTTTAAGTTTGTGCTTTTAAGTCTTTAAACACCACCTTCTCTGTGATGTCGTAAACACCATATTGCTTTCTGGTTCCTCTTATCTGATTAGATGTTTTGAGCATGCAATTTTTTTCCATAACCTGCTAACAACCAGTACAGAGAAGAAACAGCAACATGGCGGCAACATCAAATTATAAGGCTAAAAGAAAATGTGTTTCTAATGTCTTGAAGGCGGACATTTAAGTGAGAACAACGCGGCAAAAAAATGAAGTGATGTTTTGCACAGTTTGCCGTCAGTTTGACAAGTCAGCCACCTTTTGTTAAATTATTTTGAACCGCAATAAAATGCTTCCACATTTTCCATATTACTATTTTTGTTTGCATAACACTTTTATTAAATTTCTTAAGTATTAAATTCTAGATTTAGAATTTATTTTTGACACATTTTTTAAAATATGCGGCTAAAAAATAACTATTAACTTCCCATGTTTTTTATTTTTTTGGGGGGGGGCCAGTGAAAATTTTGGCAGGGCAAGTAAAAATCTGAACCACTGGCCCGATTAGACCAGTAGAAAAAATCCATAGCGTTGAACCCTGTATTATCACTTGAAGGCATTTCGTCCAAATAAAAAATATATATATACATATGTGGTCATTTACATTTTTGAATGACATTTTTTATTACTAAATTACTTACTGGCAATTTATTGAAATGCTGAATATTGAAATCCACAATAAACCTACATCGTAGGGATGCTCTGATCAGGACTTCTGCAGCCGATACTGAGTACTGATTCCTTGTCGTGGTGATCGGCCAGTACAGAGTTTCGTTTCTGATTCTTCAAGCTTTAAATAATAATAATAATAATACATTTTATTTATAGTGCGCTTTTCTCAGACCCAAAGCGCTACAAGTCAAACAAAGCAGAACAATAAAAACTGTAAAAAAAGGCCACAATAAAACAATAAAATATGAACGATTCGGTACAATTGGATGATTAAATTATCAAAAATAATCAATCTAAGTTGAAAGCAACGGTAAAAAGGTGAGTTTCGAGAAGTTTTTTAAAACAGTCCAGAGAAATGGACTAACTTAGGCACACTCTACGAAAAAGCACGCCCACCCATAGTCTTCAGTTTACAGCGTGGCTGATACAGCAAAAGTCCAGATGAAGAACGAAGACTGCGGGTGGGAGTGGCCAGAGTTACCAGGTCACAGATGTAGTCAGGTGCAAGCCCATGCACTGCTTTATATGTTAAAATCAGGGTCTTAAAATCAATACGTGATTGAACAGGAAGCCAGGGAAGTTGCTGAAGTACAGGACAGAAAATAACTTTGCCATTGCATTAGCACATTTACCCTTTAAATAGGAGATCTCGCCTTACCTAAGAGAAGAAATGAAAGATGTTGCGTACATGTAATGCTCAGAAGCAGCTTTACAAAACAAAAATAGAGAAGACGGATAGAAAAGTGTTAAGAAATGTTACTGATGCAATTTGGAAACGTTTTTCATGTGTTGTAGCGCTGCTGATGCATCTTCCACTGCTTGTAAAGTCACAAACAAACACTTGTGATCAATGAGCACCGATCGAGTCGTAAAATGTGATGATTGACTGATCTCCGGCTGATCGATGACTATAAAAAATAAATAAAACTTGCATTAAGTTATAAAAAGCGCACAACAAAATGACTCCAAGCTGAAATATTAGATCAGAATAAAGCATTACATTTATTTTTTAAATGATTTGTTGTACTGTACATCAATCTTTGTCCAAATGTGTGCTAAAGAGCAGTGTTTTTGGCGTGTGTGTGAGTGTGAAATCTGTGTGTTGACAACAACGATGATGATGTTCTGTATCTGTGTGTTTCAGGCAGATCTTTGATCACTACACCAACATGTACCCGCAGATCATCCAGAGCCCCAAAACACTGATAGCGGTCAAACGCTTCATGGCGTGAGTGATTAACACACATACTGTTGCATGTGTGTGTGTGTTTGTTTGTTATATATGCATGTGTGTTCACTAAGGGTCTATGTGTGTGCTTGTTCAATCAGTCAGAGAGGGAGAGAGCGTGCATGCGTGCATGTTGTTTGCTTGCTCTGTATGCATGTTACAACTATGTATGTGTGTTCACTCGGTGTGTGTGTGTTTACTCTATTTGTGTGGTGCACACATTGTTTTTGTTTGCGTGTGTGTGTGCGCGCAGTAAACAGGACGAGTGGAGTCGTCTGCAGGTCAAGCGTAACACCACTGACCCACTGTGGATTCACACTGGACTGATCCTGGCTCAGCTGGACGGACTGCAGGCCGGAGTCAACCAATGGGCCAAACAACACGGCCGGAAGGTGAAAACACACACACACACACACACACACACACACACATACTGACTCCAGTAATATGAGCTCAACAGCTAAATAGTTTGGTCAGGGCTTTATTTATTAACAGTCATTTACTGGGTTCATCATCTCTTGTAGTTGAGGTGTGCTTACATGTGTATTTGAGTGTGTGACCCTGCTGTTTATGTGTGTGTGTGTGTGTGTGTGTGTAGCCTCTGTCTCAGTTTGCGGCTCAGTTTCTGAATGCAGTGGGTGATCTGCTGGATCTGATCCCGGCTCTGAGTCCTGGAGAGTCTACTGTTCGTCACCGCTATCCTGATATACCCATGGGGCACTGCTCTGCTCTCATAAAGGTGCAGCACACACACACACACACACACACACACACATACACGATGACCTGATTTCTCTACATGTATGAATGCATGAATCACTTCCTCATTTTTTTAAATAAAGCATCATCTACATCAAGGGTTTTCAAAGTGTGAGGCTCGCCTCCCCTGGGGGGCGCCAGAGCATGTCAGGAGAGGCGTGGGAAAAAATATTATATAATAACTAGAACCCAAAGTTCATTGATAAACTTTGATGTTGGCTTGAGAAAGCCAACATGACTGCGCTAGGACTGGGATTGGCAGTTGGCAGGAAGCACAGCGGCGGTTGCTAAGTGGTTGCTAGGCAGTTGCTAAAACAATTATGGCATTGTTAGGTAGTTGCTAAGCAGTTGCTAAATGGCAATGCTCGTGTACATGTTTGATCAAATGCTAATACTTAGTAGGCATTTCTAGCATATGTTATTGCATTTAGATAATCATTCATAGCATGTAGCTAATCGTTATTAGCACTTAGCTTCCATTATCATTGTTACTATGCATAGTACACAGGAAGTCCCATTTGCTAGCATGAGTCAAACAAGCCAATGCCCAGGTCCCTACGATGTTCTGATGTAGAGATGTTGCTATTTTTAAATGGTTGCTAGGTTATACTGTTTTATTGCTATGGGGACATTTGACAGGTTAGTGATGATACATCAAAGCTTCTTGGCAATATGAGTAATCTAAATCAACCCCGATGTTTCTATGACAGTCTTTATGAGTGTCAAAAACTGGACCTGAACATTATGTGTTCCTGGTGTTGGGTTGCGGCTGGAAGGGCATTTGCTGTGTAAAACAAATGCTGGATAAGTTGGCGGTTCATTCTGTTGTGGCGACCCCTGATTAATAAAGGGACTAAGGGAAAAAACATTAAGTAAAATGTTTCCGTATTTTTTTGAAAATACAATGCTTAATAAGTGTGAAAGTGATACATGCAAAAATGGCTTGCCATATCAGTAAAAAATATGGAGTTTAAGTCAAAAACGGCTTGCCATATTTTGAGAAAAATAATGCTTAAAAATAATTTATTGGAAAACTATAAGTCTGATGAACCTTAAAGATATAGCAACAAAACCTAACGCATCTAAATACAGCTTTTGGCCAAATTTGGGGCTTGTATAATTTTTTTATATGCTCGGATTATAAAAATTTAATATTTAACATTTTTTATTAAAAAAAAACAATAAGTCTTACAGGCATGAGGAGGTATAGCAACAATCTTGAATGTAGAAAGCACTTTTTGACCACATTTGGGCCTTGTGGCATGAACGACCTAGGAGGAGATACGTTTGTTTTCAAGAAGAGTAGTATAACAGTATGTTGGCTTTCTCAAGCCAACATAAAAATATAATTATTAAGTTTAATTATTATTTGTATTTTTTATGATTTTTAAACGTTTTAATTAAACAAAGTTAAAATAAATAATATGTCAAAAATAAGAAAACCTTTTTTACCCAGAAGGCCATAGAGCTGTGAATTCGCTTCTGTTTGGCAAGCCCGCCAATACAGGTATATGCCTGCTTATCATGCTGCTAATGCAATGGATCGGTTTCTGGGACCCCCCACTCCCCCCTCCCCCCGAATCAAAGCCTTCAAGTTCAGGGCTTAAACCCAAAAGACGACAATATGATGATGAGTATCAGCGTTCGTGTGTGCGTGCGTGTTTGGGAGGAGGGGGGCGCCAATGGATAAGTTGTGTCAAAAGGGAGGCCCACTGTCTTAGACTTTGAAAAACCCTGAACTACATGATACATTTCCCACTGCTGTTGCTTGAAGGTGCTCTTGTACTGTTTATTACAGACTCCTACATTTAAATCTGGTAAATAAAGTACACACAAACTAATCACTTTTGTTTCAAGCAGCTTTACAGAAGGTGTACATTACAGCATTACAATCAAAATCTAAAAAGTGCAGGTAGTTAGTTAGTTAGTTAGTTAGTTAGTTAGTTAGTTAGTTAGTTAGTTTATAGAGCAAATGTTTTACAACACAACGTTGCCCAAAGTGCTGAACACAATCAATATTAAATAAAATAAAACCTACAGTACATACATAACAATTAAAACATAAGGCAACGGCAACGGCAACTCGTCAACATTAAAAAGACTCAGATGCTAAAGAACAAAGATGGATTTTCAGGCGCTTTTTAAAAACAGATGGCCCGTTCCAGAGTTTTGGGGGCGATAACAGCAAAAGCCCGATCCCCACTTCACTCACACCGGGACCTTGGTCCCAAAAGAATAAACTAATCAGAAGACCTTAGTGACCTACCAGGATTATACACATGTAGGAGGTCTGATAAGTTTATTAGTTACTAATAACTTTAACTAATTAACTAATAGCTTAAACTTATTATATATATATAAACATAGATGACCTGCAGTTATAAGTGTGTATGTGATGCATTGTGTATATGCTTTACTAAACAGATAGGTCTTTAATTTAGTTTTGATTTGATTTGAGTGTGTCTGAGCCTCGGACGTTATGAGGAAGGCTATTCCAGAGTGTAGGAGCCATAAATGAGAAGGCTCGACCTCCTTTAGTGGACTTTGCTATTCTAGGTACTACCAGAAGCCCTGAGTTTTGAGATCTTAAAGAGCGAGTTGGATTGTAGCGAGACAGAAGGTTGCTTAGATAAACAGGAGCCAGATTATTTAAAGCTTTATAGGTGAGAAGCAATATTTTATAAACGCAACGACGTGTAGCGCAAGCTCTGTGATTGGTCGGCTTGGTAGTGGGATCGAGAGCCACGTGAGCCCGATGGAGCGATTGTTTACAAGTGTGGAGTCCCGTGAAGGAGCTCCGGATGGAAAGTTTTGTTCTGTGTTTACCTCATGGTTAAAGTTGTTGCACGTCCGCCGGTTCCTGCCTCATAATGAGCGAGTTTGAGCCACTTGTACATTCAGGAGGTGTTCAGGAAAAGCAAAACACCAGCGAAGAAACTCAACACAGAGGAACATAAACACCTCACTGCACACTAGAGTTTCAGAAGTGTAATTGCAGAGCAACAGAAACAGCGCTGAAGTATGAATGTACAGCTATGCACGTTGCATGCGTCGTGGGTCACGCCGATCACTTGACGCTGTATAAGTATAAACCAGGCTTAAGGAGGATAAAATTGGGGTGATATGGTCCTATTTTCTAGACCTGGGTTTCTTTGTATGTGGGTTACTCAGTTAGCGGGATTTGGTTATTGGTGATTTGCAGACACCTTTACCAATATCAAAATGCTTTTTTTTTGATGCACAATTAATTTAAGGAGTCAGTTATTCCTTAAACTGATTAAGAAACTTGAATAGGCCTAGACTACTATAATAAAGAAAATTCGCTCTAATTGTAGAACTAAATAAATTGCTAAATACTCTTGACACATGAAAGTGTAACGCCTGCATCCCACAACAACCATGTAAAGTTTGTTGATTAATATTCAATTATCCATGCAAGCAAATTGCATCAAACTCATAGTAAACGTTTTTTTTAAATGACGCGCAATATTAATCAGATGATGTCATTACATTGCGTGTCATATTTAACAAACCGTCTACTATGATGTAATTTTGCTCACATGGATAATTGAATATTAATCAGATGATGTCATTACGCTGCTGTGCCATCAGCCAATCGTTGCATTGCTGATCATGATTTCGAGGATCGATAAATCTGTCGCTTTACAACACATGCATCGATCTCAGATCAGTTCATCCAGACATTCTAATCTGATTCGCGAACTTGTTTAAAAAACCAAATTAGCGAGAGATCAGTTATCAAGATTAAAAGATCCAGGATCTGCCAAATCATTTAAGATCAGTTAAGAGAGGTACGAAAAACGGACCCCTGGTAAGAACTCTGGCAGCTGCATTTTGTACTAGCTGAAGTTTGTTAATAGGGGATGCTGGGCAGCCAGCAAACAGAGCATTACAGTAATCCAGCCTAGAGGTCATAAAAGCATGGACTAGCTTTTCTGCATCAGAGATGGTTAGCATACTTCGTAACTTAGCAATATTTCTCATCTTATTTTGTGTTTCAGATGCTGCCAGGCTTTGAGAACCTGTTGTTTGCTCACTCCAGCTGGTACACTTACGCTGCCACCATGCGCATCTACAAACACTGGGACTTCAGACTGACTGAGCCGCACACCGCCACCGGCAAACTCTCCTTCAGCAGCTACCCCGGTACACACATGCGCACACGGCTTTATTTTATTTTGTTTTATTTTGTTTACACACATTCTGCTTTTTTTATTTTCAGTGGCTACCCCAGTACACAGTTTTTTTTTTGTTTAATTTAGTTTTTTACTTTTATTTTTAGCCTCCATGAACACAATCTGTTTCATTTATTTATTTATTTATTGTTTTTCAGCTGGTACACGTTTATTTATTTGTTTTTTATTTTGTGTATTTTTTATTTATATTTGATTTTAAATTTTTTATATATATATATATATATATATATATATATGTGTGTGTGTGTGTGTGTGTATTTATATGTATATATATATGTATATGTAAATAAAATAAAATAAAATAAAATAAAATAAAATTTATTCAGCTAAACTTTAAATAAATGAATTATTATGTAGCAAAATGTATTCCTCGGTGTATTAATACCAATAGTATTTTATTTAATTTATACAGCATGCTGGTTCTAGTGTCCAGCTCTTTTATTGAGACAAAGATAAAACCAAAATCTAGTTATTTTTTTTTCTGGCTGTTCGTTTTAGAGCACAGAAGTTTATTAACTTTATTAGGTCATTATTTCATTATATTCATTATTTTTTTATTGTTGTTTTAAATGTAGAACGTTTTTTTTTACTATTTTATAAATGGTATATAACATAGTTCATTATTATTATTATTAATATTATTTTCTTTCCAAAAGTAGTATATAAATTTATATATGTGTGTGTGTGTGTGTGTGTGTGTGTGTGTGTGTGTGTGTGTGTGTGTGTGTGTGTGTGTGGATATATATATATATATATATTATATAGGTGTTTATTTAAAGCACTCTTTGTAAATAGTTGTAAATTGTATAATACAATTTTGATTGCTGTTATTCCGTTTTTAAACGGTAGAGGGCAGTGTGTATATAGTGTAGTCTGTGCGTGCGTTTGTGATTATTATATATTCTGTGTGTGTGTGTGTGTGTGTGTGTGTGTGTGTGTGTGTGTGTGTGTGTGTGTGTGTGTGTGTGTGTGTGTGTGTGTATAACACTCTGTATGTGTGGTCAGTGTGTACTGTGCAGTGTGTGTGTTTGTGTATAATATACACTGCAAAAACTGATTTTCTTACTTTGAGTTTTTGTCTTGTTTCTAGTCCAAATATCTAAAAATTCCTAACTAAAGAAGCTTTTTCTAGACAAGCAAAAAAGATTGTCTCGTTTTTAGAAATAACAGACCAAAATTAAGTGAGTTTTTCCATTTAAACAAGCAAAATAATCTGCCAATAGGGTAAGCAAAATAATCTTATGTCAGAAGGAAAAAACATTTCACTTACCCCATTGGCAGATTATTTTGCTTGTTAAGGAAAAACGCACTTCATTTTGACTCGTTATTTCTTAAAACAAGACAATGTTTTTTACTGGTCTATAAGATGCTGCTTGAATTAAGAATTTGTAGATATTTGGACTAGAAACAAAACAAAAACACAAGTAAGAAAATAATTTTTTGCAGTGTGTGTGTGTAATGTGTTCATTTACAGTTTTCTGTGTGTGTTCAGTGTGTCTAATATGCTGAATGTGTTTTGTTTCAGGGTTTCTGGTGTCTCTGGATGACTTCTACCTGCTGGGCAGTGGGTTAATGATGACCCAGACCACTAATAACGTCTTTAACATGTCTCTGTTCTCCTCCGTCACTCCTGCCAGTCTGTTCGCATGGCAGCGGGTTCGACTGGCTAACACTCTGGCCAGAACTGGAGCTCAGTGGGCAAACACCTTTTCCAGATACAACTCTGGTTAGAAACACACACACACACACACACACACACACACACACACACACACACACACACACACACACACACACACACACACACACACACACACACACACACACACACTCTTGCACTTCACACACTCACCAGAGCATAATTATAACACATGCAGAATTGTATGATTAATGGAGTAATGCATCATTAAAGATCATCATTAAAATAATAATAATTCATATGTAATGTAGAGTTTCAAATATAAAAAATTTTATAAAATAAATAAATTATATAAATATTTTCTATGTTTTTGAAAAGCGTTATTACATATTACTTTATTGGTACATCGATGTATAAAATTAAATCACTTTAAAAAAATCTAATTGTACATGAATATAAAATGGTACATATATTAGGATTATAACATGACAATAAATAAAATATCACCAGATTTTATATAAAATAAAATGCATTTTAAAAAGTATATATAATATGCATGTAAATATATGCAAGTTGTACAATTTCATAAATAAAACACCTGTGTAAAAATGCTTTCAAATCTCTTGAAAGGTTTATAAACGCATGCAGATGGTCAGCTTTTGCTCCATTGTGGTATTAATCTACATTGCAGATCCTGAGATGTGATTGTTGTGGATACACTGATTGTTATATTGATGGTAAACTGATGTATATGGTGTAGTGTGTGTTGCTTTGAGCCTGTAACTCTATCTCTGGGTCAGGCTGGTCAGTTGTGTGTGCGTCTTTGTTGTTGTTTTGTATATGTGTGTGACTGTGTGCTCTCTGTCTCTGGGTCAGGCACCTATAATAACCAGTACATGATCGTAGACTCCAGTAAGGTGAATCTGGGGGTCAGTGTGGATGACGGAGCTCTGACTGTGGTGGAGCAGATCCCGGGACTGGTGGAGTTCTCAGACCAGACGCAGACACTGCGCAGAGGTCAGAACACACACACACACACACACACACACACACACACACACACACACACATACACACATACATACATACATACATACATACACACACACACATTTGATTCATTTTATTTGGAATGACTAATACTATTAAAACAACACAGCATCCAAATAATCGTAAGGAGCCCATAATGTTTCACAATACAAGCAGCATGCAACCATTGATGATCTTTTGCATAGCACTATTAGACACTCAATCCATTCTGCGTGCAGTATTAAGTAAATGGATTAAGGATAGAGATGGCATCGTCTTCTCCACACATGAAGACTGCCTATTATTGCAGATACAGAACAATACTTTGCAATTTGTTTAGAGTTAAAAGCTAGTAGACACACACACACACACACACACACACACACTCACTTACTCACTACTCTCAAGCTTGCACAGACTGTAAGTAGATCAGATGTTTTTCGAAAGCTGAGGTAAATTAACCAGTGTTGTTCTTATAGTGCTATATAAGTCAGGCAAATAATATTGAAGCTACTGTCCGTTTGACAGGGAATTTGATGTTTGCTTGGAAAGTGGGGACTCTGTAGAGCAGCGGTTCCCAAACTTTTCAGCAGGCGACCCCCAAAAAAACAATGCCAGTGACTCCCACAATATCCTGTGAGGTGGTTATAAATACAGAAACCTTGCATGCAAGGGCGCACACACACCAATAGACCCAAGTCTCTTCTTTGTTTAATTTTTTTAATGCATGTCAGTGCTGTAAATGTGCCAGAAAGTTTAACCTGGTGTTATAAAGTCAATCTGCTCCATCTGACGCTTTTGCTGTGTCTTTAATATAATGTAATTACCCCAGGGGGGGGCAATCCAATACAACTAGTAACTGTAAGCTACTGTAGTAACTTTTTAGTATGTAGTAACTATAAACGACTATTTTTTTTCTCTTCAGTAGGTTATGGATAAAATATGTCAATTCTTATGGTTTAATAAAAATAAATAGAGTTTTGGAAATCACCAGGCGAACCCCACTTTGAGAACCACTGCTGTACAGAATAGGTCTCACAGCTGATCAACTAATTAAGGTGTTCAAGACTACTGTTACAGTTTGGGCTCGGCTTTTAACCGCTACGCCAACCAGCGATTGGTGGCGCAAACCCAGCATCAGCGGCCAACGTCATCAGCACGAAATGCGGATCCTCCAATGCCGTTCGTAGCTGTAACACATGCATGAAACGACACACCCACATGCAAACGAACGCACACACTTATCCAAAATACGTTCTGCAAGCGAACGTTACAACTACTAAAGACTATTGAGCAGGTGTGAGCTGGAGGTGGTTGGAGCTGTAGAGAATACATTTTTTGATATGTGATTATGATATTTTAAATAATGTTATAAGCAACATATGTTTTAAATGATCTCAGCCATTAGAAACAATCAATGCAGCTTCAGAAAAGCAATATTTGACTGTTCCATAAATAAATAAGACGTCTTACAACAAGTAAACAACAAACAAGTAATGATGAAATAAATATCATTACTGTACTGTACGGTAAAATACCAGACATTAGATTACAGAAATTTACTGTAAAATAACGGATAATAAATTACAGAAATTTACTGTAAAATAACGGATAATAAATTACAGAAATTTACTGTAAAATAACGGATAATAAATTACAGAAATTTACTGTAAAAATAATGGACATTAAATTACAGAAATTTACTGTAAAATAACGGATAATAAATTACAGAAATTTACTGTAAAATAACGGATAATAAATTACAGAAATTTACTGTAAAAATAATGGACATTAAATTACAGAAATTTACTGTAAAATAACGGATAATAAATTACAGAAATTTACTGTAAAAATAATGGACATTAAATTAAAGAAATTTACTGTAAAATAATGGACATTAAATTACAGAAATTTACTGTAAAATAACGGATAATAAATTACAGAAATTTACTGTAAAAATAATGGACATTAAATTACAGAAATTTACTGTAAAATAACGGATAATAAATTACAGAAATTTACTGTAAAATAACGGATAATAAATTACAGAAATTTACTGTAAAAATAATGGACATTAAATTACAGAAATTTACTGTAAAATAACGGATAATAAATTACAGAAATTTACTGTAAAAATAATGGACATTAAATTAAAGAAATTTACTGTAAAATAACGGATAATAAATTACAGAAATTTACTGTAAAAATAATGGACATTAAATTAAAGAAATTTACTGTAAAATAATGGACATTAAATTACAGAAATTTACTGTAAAATAACGGATAATAAATTACAGAAATTTACTGTAAAAATAATGGACATTAAATTACAGAAATTTACTGTAAAATAATGGACATTAAATAACTAAAATTTACTGTAAAATACCAGATATTAAATTACAATTTACTGTAAAAATAACAGACATTAAATCACAGAAATGTACCGTAAAATAACAGACATTAAATTAATTAATTATTAATATGATTATGATATTTTAAATAATGTTATAAGGAACATATGTTTTAAAGGATCTCAGCCATTAGAAACAATCAATACAGCTTCAGAAAAGCAATATTTGACTGTTCCATAAATAAATAAGACGTCTTACAACAAGTAAACAACAAACAAGTAATGATGAAATAAATATCATTACTGTACTGTACGGTAAAATACCAGACATTAAATTACAGAAATTTACTGTAAAATAACGGATAATAAATTACAGAAATTTACTGTAAAATAACGGATAATAAATTACAGAAATTTACTGTAAAATAACGGATAATAAATTACAGAAATTTACTGTAAAAATAATGGACATTAAATTACAGAAATTTACTGTAAAATAATGGACATTAAATTACAGAAATTTACTGTAAAATAATGGACATTAAATAACTAAAATTTACTGTAAAATACCAGATATTAAATTACAGAAATTTACTGTAAAAATAACAGACATTAAATCACAGAAATGTACCGTAAAATAACAGACATTAAATTAATTAATTATTAATATGATTATGATATTTTAAATAATGTTATAATTAACATATGTTTTAAATGATCTCAGCCATTAGAAACAATCAATACAGCTTCAGAAAAGCAATATTTGGCTGTTCCATAAATAAATAAGACGTCTAACAACAAGTAAACAACAAACAAGTAATGATGAAATAAATATCATTACTGATTTGCTCCACTGGTACAGATTTATCGATCTGAAAACATAAAGAACAATCAAGAAAACAAGAATGGAGTTACTTCAGTCAGGGTCAGTTCAGTTTCTAAACCTGTTTGGACGTGTGATTCTACGGCCCCGTTTCCACTGCCATTAGATGATGTTGCACTAAAAATCAAAATAAAATAGTCATACAAAATAAAACTTGCGTGTACCGTTGGAATAGTATAACAGAAAATGCTAGCAGTTTTAAAAAGTTGACTCTTTCCAAACCGCGGCAAACCTTGAAAGCGGTTATCATCCCATGCCTAGTTTGCAGCATAGATATATACACTAGATATCGTATAGGGACCCTGAGCATGCGTCAATAGCGCCGCCACATTGGTACAGTGCTCCCAGGACAAATGTCATTCAACCGCACTAGTCAAGACAGTGTTATTACGTGAAGATGCGGGACTTTAGCGCTGTCTACGGGTGTAGTAACGAGCAAACAAAGAAAACAAAGCACAAAGGCAGAACATTTCATAGGTAATATTAAGTTTTTTTCTGTTTTTGTGTGTTCTGAACTTTTATGCTAATCAGGTCACGTTATTGATGATAACAGTCACTTACTGCCTTCACCATACGGCAAAGCAGCTCCAACTCGCACAAAACACTCTATGCTAGCTTATGCTAGTTTTGTTGAATAAAATCAGCAAACAATGCTAAAGAAATATGACAACGAGATGCTGCGCTGCCAGAAACTTGTATTATTGTCGCCTAACGTTAGTGAAAGAGTCGTTCGGGGGATTCATTCACAAACGAATCGCTCCCTCCGTCAGTATGAGAAATGAAAGCAGGAGGAGCTGTGTTTCAGGACATGATTAGATCAGATTTAACAGGGAGGGTGAATAGTACATTTCTGTACACACAAGCACAAGCTTTTTGTCAGGAATGCCCGTGCGGTCACTGATCCATCAATGTAGAAAAGTGATGTAAAATTATAATTTTCGTAATTAGAAAAAAAAAATTACATACTAACATTCAGGAAAACTCCCGATCATAGATATATGTGTATATGTGTATATCTCTGGCTTTGCATGGCCACAGTCCTCCACTTTACCTTGGTCCCGCATTCATTTCAAAGGAGCGCTACCCTGTAGCAAGATGGCGGCGCTATTGACACATTCCGTCCAATAGACAACCATAGGCCAGGCGACATCTAGTGTATATTTCTATGAGTTTGCAGTAAGTGTGTGTGTGTCTGCAGGTTACTGGCCGTCCTATAACGTGCCGTTCCACCGGCGCATCTACGAGCTGAGCGGATATGATGAGATGTGGAGGAAGTACGGTGAGGATTTCTCCTACGATCTCTGTCCTCGAGCAAAGATCTTCCGCAGAGACCAGTCTGCAGTCACCGACATGAGCTCGCTCAAACACATCATGAGATACAATGGTACACTGCGTATATTAATTTACTTGCTGTATTTTGTATATAGTACTAGTCGATCATTTGTGCTTCTCTAGTCATGATGTTATCATACGGTGAGAGATATAGCTATGAGTGGCTGGTGTGGGAGAGAATAAACCCACTCAATCATGCAGTAATTCTCCTGTGTTTGTGTCCACAGAATATAAGAGCGATCCGTACTCTCAGGGTAATCCGTGTAAGTCCATCTGCTGCAGAAACGACTTGCTAGAACACGGGGCGAGTCCTGGAGGCTGCTATGACACCAAGGTGAACAACACATCCAATCTGTTGATCCACAGCACTAATTTTAAATATACTGTAAAATACCTGACATTAAATAACAGAAATTTACCGTAAAACACCAGACATTAAATTATAGAAATTTACAGTAAAATAACGGATTTTAGATTACAAAAGTTTACAGTAAAATATCAGACATTAAATTACAAAAATTTACAGTAAAATAACGGACATTAAATAACAGAAATTTACAGTAAAATAACGGACATTAAATTACAGAAATTTACTGTAAAATAACGGATATTAAATTACAGAGATTTACCGTAAAACACCAGACATTAAATTATAGAAATTTACAGTAAAATAACGGATTTTAGATTACAAAAGTTTACAGTAAAATACCAGACATTAAATTACAGAAATTAACTGTAAAATAACGGACATTAAATTACAGAAATTAACTGTAAAATAACAGATTTTAAATTACAGAAATTTACCGTAAAATACCAGACATTAAATTACAGAATTTTTCTGTAAAATATCAGACATTAAATTACAGAAATTTACCATAAAATAACGGATATTACATTACAGAAATTTACCATAAAATAATGGACATTAAATTACAGAAATGTACCGTAAAATACTGGATAATAAATTACAGAAATTTATCGTAAAATAATGGACATTTAATTACAGAAATTTACTGTAAAATACTGGAAATTAAATCACAGAAATTTACTGTAAAAATAACGGACATTAAATTACAGAAATTTTCCGTAAAATAATGGACGATAAATCACAGAAATTTACTGTAAAAATAGCGGACATTAAATCACAGAAATTTACCATAAAATAACGGATATTAAATTACAGACATTTACTGTAAAAAACCGGACATTAAATTACAGAAATTTACTGTAAAATACCTGACATTAAATAACTAAAATTTACTGTAAAATACCGGACATTAAATAACTGAAATTTACTGTAAAATACCGGATATTAAATTACAGAAATTTACCGTAAAATGCCAGACATTAAATTACAGAATTTTTCTGTAAAATATCAGACATTAAATTACAGAAATTTACTGTAAAATAACGGATATTAAATTACAGAAATTTACCGTAAAATACTGGATATTAAATTACAGAAATTTACCGTAAAACAATGGACATTTAATTACAGAAATTTACTGTAAAATACTGGACATTAAATCACAGAAATTTACTGTAAAAATAACGGACATTAAATTACACAAATTTACCGTAAAATAATGGACATTTAATTACAGAAATTTACCGTAAAATACTGGACATTAATTCACAGAAATTTACCAAAAAATAACGGACATTAAATCACAGAAATTTACTGAAAAATAACGGACATTAAATTACAGAAATTTACCGTAAAAATAACGGACATTAAAACACAGAAATTTACCATAAAATAACGGATATTAAATTACAGACATTTACTGTAAAATAACGGACATTAAATTACAGAAATTTACTGTAAAATACCTGACATTAAATAACTAAAATTTACTGTAAAATAACGGACATTAAATAACTGAAATTTACTGTAATATAACGGACATTAAATAACTGAAATTTACTGTAAAATACCGGATATTAAATTACAGAAATTTACCGTAAAATACCACACATTAAATTACATCTTTCACACTTTAAAGATCTCATGAATTGTGCATTTTTTATTTGATGTTTGATGTAATCTCAATACCATGAAGAGAATGATAAAAAAAACATTCAATAAAAAATGCACATTTCAAAGCACTTCACAGGACCTTTGATTTAATATCTAAAAGCTATGAATGGAAATAAGACGTCTTGTATGAAAATGGGAAGAATGACCAATATTGCAATTCTAGTAGTTCTTTCTTGAAGAATTCTGGTGTTTTCAGTGTTAAGCGCAGTGTGAAAGTGTATTGTGTCCTCCAACAGGTGACGGATGTGCGTTTGGCTCGGAGCTTCATGGCAGAGGCGATCAATGGTCCGACCACAGCGGGAGGAGACCTGCCAGCGTTCAGCTGGACGGACTTTAACAGCACCACACACACCGGCCTTCCGGAGCGGTACAATTTCAGCTTCGTCCACATGAAGCCACAACTCTTCCAGCCCTGAAAAACCTGACTCCAGATCAGTCTCACTGAGAAACATGCAGAAACTCCATATATGAGGAGCTCGGTTTTACTTTCTGACTGATGAATGTAGACTGTAGATCAGCGTCCACTGTGCAGTCATTACTCTAAAAGACCATAAGAAAGTAAAACAGATAGAAATTTAATCAAGTCTGACCAAAAAATTCCAAAATGTTCAAATTATAACTTTAAAATCATCTTGGGTGATTTATTATTATTATTATTATTATTATTATTATTATTATTATTATTATTATTTGTGCACACTTTGGATTATTACTACGAAAAACCGATAAATTAAATGGTAAACCATAAATAAAATCATGACTTTGACCTGAAAATTTTAAATGATTCAAGTTACGATTTAGATGAAATAGTTAGTTGATTTTTTTTATTATAATTATTATTTAATTATAATTATTAATTATTATTATTATTTTGTTAGTGCACACTGTACAATGTAAAAAAAATCAGTAATTTTACGGTTTATTATATTAAAAAAACATAAAATACAGAACATTAAATAACAGAAATTTACTGTAAAGTAACGGACATTAAATTACAGAAATTTACTGTAAAATACCGGACATTAAATAACAGAAATTTACTTTAAAATAACGGACATTAAATAACAGAAATTTACTGTAAAGTAACGGACTTTAAATTACAGAAATTTACTGTAAAATACCGGACATTAAATAACAGAAATTTACTTTAAAATAACGGACATTAAATAACAGAAATTTACTGTAAAGTAACGGACTTTAAATTACAGAAATTTACTGTAAAATACCGGACATTAAATAACAGAAATTTACTTTAAAATAATGGACATTAAATAACAGAAATTTACTGTAAAATAACAGACATTTAATTACAGAAATTTACTGTAAAATACCAAACATTAAATAACAGATATTTGCTGTTAAATAACGGACATTAAATAACAGAAATTTACCGTAAAATAAAGAATATTAAATTACTGAAATTTTCTGTAAAATAACAGACATTCAATTACAGAAATTTACTGTAAAATAACTGATATTAAATTACAGAAATTTACTGTAAAATAACGGACATTAAATTACAAAAATTTACTGTAAAATAACGGACATTAAATAACAGAAATTTACTGTAAAATAACTGATATTAAATTACAGAAATTTACTGTAAAATAACGGACATTAAATTACAAAAATTTACTGTAAAATAACGGACATTAAATAACAGAAATTTACCGTAAAATAACAGATATTAAATTACAGACATTTACTGTGAAAAACCAGATATTAAATTACAGAAAATTACTGTAAAATACTGGACATTAATTTTCAGAAATATACTGTAAAATACCGGATATTACATTACAGAAATTTACTGTAAAATAGTGGACATTAAATAACCGAAACTTGCTGTAAAATACCGGACATAAAATAACTGAAATTTTCCGTAAAATAACGGATATTAAAATACAGAAATTCACTGTAAAATACCAGACATTCAATTACAGAAATTTACTGTGAAATACCGTACATTTAAATTACAGAAATTTACTGTAAAATAACGGACATTAAATAACTAAAATTTGCTGTAAAATAACGAATATTAAATTACAGAAACTTACTTGCATTCAAATTTCTGTAATTCAACCTATGTTATTTTACAGTTAATCTCTGTAATTTAATGGCCGTTATTTTACGGTTTATTTTCAGCACCCTAGCAGCTGGAAATAAACTGTAAAATTACAGGGTTTTTTTACAGTGTAGATTAATTGTATAAAAGCACATATTAAAAATGTTAAAATTTAATGGTTAAATAAAAATTATTAAAGTTACGATTTCAGTAAAAATGATCATGGTAGTTTATTATTATTATTATTATTATTATTGTTATTATTATTATTTAGTTGTTTTGTTAGTGCACACTGTAGATTTTTACAAAAATAATAACATAAAACAATTTAAATAAAATGGTCCATCATAAATAAAATCATAATTTTGACCTAAGCTATTTCAAATTATTCAAATTACAGCGATTTATTAATATTGTTATTGTTGTCAGTGCACACTGTGGATTATTCCTATAAAAGTCCATAATTCATATTTTTAAAAAAAAAAAAGGTCAATCATGGGTGATATTGTAATTCTGACCTAAAATGTCAAATTCTTCAGAAAAATGGTCAGTTTTTTTTTTTTTTTTGATTTATTTATTTAATTTTTTTTTCCATTTGTGCACATTGTGGATTATTTCTATGGAGGCCCCTGAGAACAAAACAACACACTATATTAAAACTGCTGGGTTTTTAAACTCATGTTTGGGTCAATATATGGACAAACCCATCAAACAAATGTTTGGCTCCATTGTTTTTATATCAAGTTTATAACATGAAATTTGGGATTCTGGGGTTCGTGCACACTGCATTATTTATGCAGTGAATATGTAAAAGCCCATGAAAAAAAAGTTAAATAAAATGATCAATCATAAGTGATATTGTAATTTAATTTTAATAATAATAATAAATTATTTTTTTGTGCACACTGTGGATTATTAATATAAAAATGTAAAAATTTAACGGTCGATCGGGATGATATTTGAAGCTCAAAAATCCCAATTAAAGTTGTCATATTTGATTTCTTATTAATGTTGTTATTGTGGTTTGTGCACACTGCATTACTATTAAAACCCCATAAGAAAAAGAAATAAAATAAAATGGTCAATCAAAGGTGATGATATAATTCTGACCTTAAAATCCCAAATTATTATAGTTAGGACTTTTCTTTTTTCTTTTCTTTTCTTTTTTTGTAAGTGCACTCTGTGGATTATTAATATGGAAGCACTCTATAATGAAAGAAAATGCTGGGTTGTTTAAACTCACTTCTGGGTCGATATATGGATCTACAACTGTTGGGTTAATTTTTTCAATTAAGTTTATAGCATCAAAATGTTGTTTCTCCATATGTGACCCAAAATTTGTCACCAGAATTGCTTTAGGAGTATTGTAACTTGTGTGAGTTTTGAGTTTCTGCAAAATAATCCACCGGTGAGAAGTAAAACAATACGGATTTCATTTCGAATCAAGATTATTTTGCGTACAGAATAATTAGCGTGTGTTAAAGAAAAACCCACTTAATTTTAGACTTTAGATTATTTCTGAAACAGAAACTATATTTTGTGCCTGTCCAGAAAATTCAGCAAATTTAAGACTTTTTTAGTTGTTTAGACCAGAAACAAGACTCCAATGTAGACAATCAATATTTGCAGTGCAATCACTATCACCCTGCTGAACAACACCAGCATGACCATCAGCAGAGCTTCAGATGTAAACGTAGATGATTTTTTATATGATGATGTGTCGTCTCAGGGAACACGAGTCAGACTGAGAAACGTTCAGTGCCTTTGCTGATATCTGTATGTCTTTGATCATCGCTGTCGTAATCATTATCTTCCTCATCAGGATGTTTGTGATCTGTGCTCTTCTCCTTTATTTGACCAATGAATGATTTCCAGCCTCATTACTCACTGTTGTGTGCTGTTTTTGTTGATATTCTTCTTTTTTAACTCTGGTTTTTAGGTGTGGGAACAGAATAATATACAAAACACCATTGAGTTATTAGAAAGTAATGCACTCTAGAAGCTTACCATTGTCTTAACATTGGAAAAGCGCCATTGTCTAACAATTCAATGACTTATCGTAAGTTAGTCCTTATTTATTTTAGACTACAGGTCTGCTGAATGCTTGATTCTGATTGGCTGATGAACACCCTATGGCAGGGGTGTCCAAAATCTGTCCTGTTCATAGGCACACCTGCCTGAAAATTTCTAGTACACCTAGAAAGAGCTTAATCAGCTGGTTAGGTGTGTTTAATTGGGGTTGGAACAAAAACCTGCAGGACACCGGCCCTTCAAGACCGAGTTTGGACACCCCTGCTCTAAGGTGTTTGGTTATTATCAGATAAATACAGCTAAAGTAGTTCCAGCAGGTTTTGAGGTCATTGCAGCTCCATATCCCTCCGCTGAATGATTAGAGGTATTACACAACATCAACAGTCAAAAATGACATGAAAACACAACAGGAGGAGATGTGGGAGAAACTGACTGCATCGCCACCTCGGGTGTGTGTTACGTTCTTATAACTCAACACTCATTATCAATTATTCCTTCAGGTATTGTTCTGCATTAGTGTTTGAAGGAGTAATTGACTCTAAAACAAGCAATAGATGGATGAAGGAAAAGAGGACAGAATGCAGTGAAAGATCTCGATCTGTAATGGGCAAAATAATACTGGATTTAGGAAGATATGGTTTTACGTCCTTGAGTTCCCCTGGTAAACTGCATTTACTCATCCCAGGTGAAAAAATACTATAGTAATGCTTTAGTGTTTTTGAGTCGTGTAGTAAAGTGTTAAAAGAGGTATATATTTTAGTATCTACAACTCAATGTTTATGAAGGCTGTCAAAAAACTGGAATAGTACTGAACTGATAAACTGTAATAGTATACTTTAATACACCACCGTTTACTGTAGTAAAAACTGTAGTATATTATACCATATAGTTGTGGAAAACTAGAGTATTGGGTAATTTGCTTATATTACTGTAGTTGTGCTACCATAGCAACTGTGTAGTATAATCGCAACAGATCAATCGCTATAGTTGTCCTGCTACCATAGCAACTGTAGAATCATCGCAACAGATTAATCGCTATATTTGTTGTTACCATAGCAACTGTAGAATCATCGCAACAGATCAATCGATATAGTTGTCCTGCTACCATAGCAACTGTAGAATGATCGCAACAGATTAATCGCTATATTTGTTGTGTTACCATAGCAACTATAAAATCAGAGCAACAGATCAACGCTATAGTTGTCATGTTACCATAGCAACTGTAGAATCATCGCAACAGATCAATTACTAAAGTTGTTCTGCTACCATAGCAACTGTAGAATCATCGCAACAGATCAATCGCTAAAGTTGTTCTGCTACCATAGCAACTGTAGAATCATCGCAACAGATCAATCGCTAAAGTTGTTCTGCTACCATAGCAACTGTAGAATCATCGCAACAGATCAATCGCTATAGTTGTCACGTTGCTATAGCAACTGTAAAATCATCGCAACAGATCAATCGCTATAGTTGTCACGTTGCCATAGCAATTACTGCTGCCACTGCACCGATCCGCCTGTCAATCTCACGCTCCATCCTTCCCTCACTCATGAACAAAACACAGAGATACTTGAGCTCCTCCACCTGGGGTAAGGACTTTTATCTCCAACCTGGAGATGGCAAACCACCTTTTTCCAGTGGAGCACCATGGCCTCGGACTTGGAGGTGCTGATTCTCATCACGTCACACTCAGCTGCAAACTGCCCCAGTGCATGCTGAAGGTCCATGTTCAATGAAGCCACAGAACAACATCGTTTGCGAATAACAGAGATGAAATTCTGTGGTCCCCGAACCGGACCTCCTCCAGTCCAAGTCTGCACCTTGAAATTCATTCATTCATTCATTCATTCATTTATTCATTCATTCATTTTCTTGTCGGCTTAGTCCCTTTATTAATTTTGGGTCGCCACAGCGGAATGAACCGCCAACTTATCCAGCTAGTTTTTACACAGCTGATGCCTTTCCAGCCGCAACCCTTCTCCGGGAAACATCCACATTCACACACACACTCATACACTACGGACAATTTAGCCTACCCAATTCACCTGTACCGCATGAACTGTGGGGGAAACCCACGCGAAGGCAGGGAGAACATGCAAACTCCACACAGAAACGCCAAATGACCCAGCCGAGGCTCACCTTGAAATTCTGTCCATAAAAATTAGAAACAAAATTGGTGACAAAGAGCAGCCCTGCCGAAGTCCAACCGGCACTGGACACAAGTCTGGCTTATTGCTGGCACTGCAAACCAAACTCCTACTCTGTTCATACAGAGAGGAGACAGCCCTTAACAGAGCACTTCTGACCCAAAACTCACACAGCACCCTCCACAGAATGCAACGAGGAACACGGTCGAATGCTTTCTCCTAGTCTACAAAACACACAAATCGATATATTAAACTAATCAATCTTTTGCCCGACTTTTAATTAGTCATTTCAAAATATTAAATAAGACATTTAATAACTTTGTTTTCATTATTAGTTATGAGCTTAAAAAAGTTGGCTAGAATTCTGCATTATAGTCTATAGAGAGAAATAACAGATGAAGCGAGACCGCATCGGATCATGAAGCAGATCAGTGTGAATCTTTCTCTGTTCAGAAATGAACACAACAATCAGCCTAATACAACATATTATAAGATTAAAATATGAAAAAATGATCAGATGGTAATTTCTGTCAATTGTCCTTACAGATAAACAGCTCTCGGTGATATTTCAGCATGCTTTCACTTTCGTATTAGACATGAATCATGGTGAGTGATTTGTTGGTCTTTTTATTATTCACACAGTGTATCTTTTCTGAGTGCATCCAACTTTAGAATTGCTAATATGCTCCCAAAATCGCAGGACGACTTGTTAGACTGTGGTAAGTGATCACTGTGTTTTTACTCTGTTTACCAGAATAAAGTGATCTGTCCAAGGCGTGATTTGGAGTCAGATCTGATCTATACTGTACACAATGCAGAGGAAACCGAGTACTAACCTTTACCCGTGTATTATGTTGTCTTGACAGATCAGAAATATGTTATGTAAATATATAAAAAATCACAAGATGCAGTCGTGTTTTTCCATTAGTTTTTATTTTCACTGAAACTTAAAATAACAGCATGTTGTTCATCAAAGAGAAATCGGGAGAGAGAAAAACTATCTGAGAGATGGATTTGCTTTAAAAACAAAGGTGCTTTTAATGATGTGATCAAACCCAAGAAACATGCAGTACCCACACAGAAATATGACCCATGGCAGTATTTGCATTTTACATACAGTTAATGACATACACGTTCATATTTGGATTTTTACACATATAATTTCATTTTAAAATAATGTCAAGCTTACATTATTATTTTTTTGTCATTGTAATTACAAATACGTACATGCGTGTTAGCAACAATTTGATATCCGTGTTCGTATAATTCAAGGTATTTTTAAATGAAAGGGCTTAGCTGGCTAGTACTTAAACACGTAGCAAAGTAAAGCTGAAATTGACACAACACTGAGGAAAGCAACTGGTTTCCCACTGCTGGATGCGGCGGCACAGTTGACATTGCTTACTATTCTGACACTGCTCAAAGTAAACACAGAGTCACACCACAGATTCGGGTCATCTGTTTTAGTCTTGACAGCTGTGACTGTGAACGTCTCATAAGGGGGAATCAGCACCTCTTGTTCTAAAGGATATTTAGAGTACTTCTGCACATCAGCACCTTGACAAGTGTAGATCACAAAGCAAGACTTGTCTCCAAATTTAATTGCTACTGCTCGTTTAAAAGAGGAGGATGCAAATGATCCGAAACGAACCTCTTTGCCAACAACATTCTTGGTGCTGTACGTGAATTTTGTACCCCGATATGATGTCTTACACACGCCTTGGTTTTTTCTCAGAATCTGTACGGCTTCCGTTAACCAAAAGTGAAGTGAATACCAGCTGTATTTCTTAGCTTTGTATCTGTTCTTATCACTACTGACAGCCTTATTGAACGTGCTGTACACTCGATCATCAGTGTACACATAAATGGCGATTGAATGATTCATTTTCAAGTTTGCATCTGTTGGAGTTTTGGCTTTCTTTACACCGTCTTCCCAAGCTTTTGTGAAATTAGATTTAGGATCAGATGTTTCCTTCTTCATATACACCGTCGTCACCATACGAGTCATGTTATTAACGCAGCCCTCATATTGATCATCAACAGATTTCAGCGCCATATCCAGATTCTTTGCTTCAGCTGTCGTGAGATCCTGCAGCAATGATGATGATAATAAGGCTACTGAGCACATCATGAACACTGATGTCTTTAATATTCACACTGAAACTGGACCTCACCTGTCCAAGAGCTGCTAAAATCAGAAGAGCTTTAATGATTGGCAGCATCTTGATCCAATCAAAACCCTCAGAATAGAGCTGGAGGAAGTACAGAAACGTAGAGCTTTTAATGCAGAATCACAAATTATTTGGTAATGTTATGATCACTCTTAATCTTTAACCTACCGAAGAATACTGCTGTCGATTTAATCTTCTTTTTTTTTCCAGGAGCAGTGATAAGATCAGAAGGTGGTGATGATTGTCATTCAGCCATGTCCAGACAAAAACGACGACTGAGATGAGAATTGTAGCACTTTTTGCTATTTATATGAAGTTGGATGGAAGTGTTTAATCATTATGCGAGAGTTCACTTTCGCATGTGTTCATTTTCTTCGACCAGGTAGCAGTGCCAGGAAATGTAAACGAAAGTGGTTTACAAAAAAATTATCTTTATGACTGGATCTTTATTGCACTGTTTAAATAAAGGTGCACGTTATTGTGCTACAGTCAAAAGGGTGGACAGTAGATATGCATGTGTAAACTTGCAGCTACACAATATATAGTGTACATTTCAAAAAGGTGATGGTAATGTGTGCCATACATCTACAATGAATCGATCTGTTCATTATAAACATTAAGAATAGTTTGTGTATTGCCTAAAGGGTCACGCATGTGCTGAGCTGTTGACAGTCGTATATGTGTCACACACTGCTAAAAACACTATTAGGACACATATATCTCGCTAAAGAGTGAAAATCGGTTGTTTTTACCATATTTCCAGCAAATTCGTACTTCCTGTTTGAAATTAATTTTTGAAGCTGCGTCACGGCCATGAGATCTTAGAGTGTGTTCCAGTGTGTAGACTGAACGTCTGTACCTGGGAGTCCCGTATTACGTCTCTGAGTGTGCTGCATTCATTCATGAGTAAGGCTTGGTTCAAACTAATCAGCGCGCTCCACTATGTTTGCGCTGCAACTTCATTAATATGCATGTTAGCTTCAAAGACTGTACGTGAAACCGTGTTCAGACGGCAGAGAGAAGGCACGTCATGTTGCCAAAAGTAGTGGGAAAGAAGAAGAATTGTTTGGAGATACGGGTCGTCAGTGTTGTGTTTATAATGTGCTGCAGTGAAGGTTTTGTTTCTGAAAGATCCACTGTAAATACTTTTCTGTCGTAAACATGTGAACACTGTAAGCAAACTATTGCAAACTATTGTTAGTAAATCCAAACGTGAGCGATTCTGAGCGTGAAACCTGGCGTACGCAAAGTTTTTGTGCGTACGCAGCGTTGATACATGAGGCCCCTGATGTTTCTGCTCCCTCTCTTATGTGTTTTTTTTTATTTTTTTTTTATATTTTCAGCCTAATGATGGCTTGCTTGACTGATAGTGACAGCTCTTTGGATCATCCTAAGTGTTGACAGTAACAGATTTCAAATACAAATAGCACACTTGAAATGAACTGTGGACCTTTTATCTGCTAGTTATAATTGGGATAATGAAGGAGTAACACACACCTGGTCATGGAACAGCTGAGAATTTCCCTTTGGACCAGTCGAGGAAGCCAAAATTCCATCAGAACGCAAGTAACACAAAGAGGGTTTCTTTTCATTGCTGAAACTGGTGTGAATTATATTTAAGTAGTAAAGAATAGCGAAATATTCTTTCTCTCAGGTTGCCATGCTAAGAACTTAGCAAATGCTAGAAGATGAATCCACTCAGTCTAAACTCTCCTCAAACTGCTTGTGCGTGTGTGTATGTATGTGCGTTTGTTTGTTTTATGTAGATTAGTACTTTGTGTTATAGAGTAGCAATAAACTTTTGTTTGGTTTTAAGATCCGTGTTGGTGTGTTGTGTGCTTTATAAGTTAATATCTCAGCTTCAGATACTGCTACCCTGCTCATTAAATAATTAGATTCTGTTTTTATATTGTTATTGTTGGCCACATAATAATATAATACAGGATTGCTTTACATTAAACGTTCTATTTGCTGGACAAATACAGAGGTTAAGTGTAAGCTTTGAATAATTCAATGTGACTCATGTTTGAATCTTTAGATTCGAATCCCCTGGTTTAAATGTGATCTAAGCCAAAGAGCTGATTATTACATTATTCACTTAAACTCAATTCTTAGGAATTAAATTGCAGACCGATTCCAAATCTGTCTCCTCTGTCAAAGATACTAGGATCACACAAAGCTGTTCATTAACAGCTTGCAAGGGAGCATGCAGTAAATTAAGAGTATCCCAAGGCTCAGCTCGCGGATCATTACATTTTACATGTTATTTGTGAGATTCTGTATGCTAATTGTGAGGTATTTATAGATTTTTTAAAATTATAATTTCTTTGGAGATATACACAAACATACAACTCCACACAGAAAAGCAGCATTAGAGTATGTAAAGATGGGTCTTGCTTATCTCACACACACCCACATTACTTACCATAATACAAAGTCAACTTCCTTATCTCTTGGATTAAACATTATTATCCACGTATTTACTTACTGTGCTGAGCTTCTCCCCTCACCATTGCTCCTGAGCTGCCGACAAATAAAGGTCTATAATCTCAGGTAAGTTTGTATATCAGTTAGCATTCCAGAATTAATTAATTATTTCAAACACATTTGCTGGGAAATACCTGTTCTATGAATATTGTCTTCTTATTTTTAACATCTTTGTTACTAGAAAATGCTTTTCTTAATTTCAGTCTTTGTGTCTTTGTGTGTGTGTGTGAGTGTGTGTGTGTGTGTGTGTGTGTGTGTGCTTTGGGGAAAAGTAGTTTAAGGAATAGATTTAGAATTTGTTTTTGAATGGGTCTCTATTTTCTCTTGAAACAATTTTAAGCTTAATTTTTAAGGGTTGTTGGCACTCTAGGCTAGATATTAACAGTAGATGACACTCAAGGCTAGCTTGTAATAGCTGACTGCATAGGCTCAGATAGTGATTTTAAGATTAACCAATTTTTTTCTGGTTTTAACCAATTCTAAACTTAGTTTTTAAGAGTGTCTGGCACTATAGGCTAGTATTTGCTCTAGGCTAGTTTTTAACAGCTAAAAGTGCTCTAGACCAACAGTGGACTTCACTCTACAGGCTAGATTTTAACAGTAGGTGGTGCTCTAGGCTGTTGTTTAACAGCAAACTGCATTCTACAGGCTAGATTTTAACAGTAGATGGTGCTCTAGGCTGGTGTTTAACAGCAAACTACACTCTAGGCTAGATTTTAACAGTAGGCGGCACTGTAGGATGGTGTTTAACAGCAGATGGCGCTCTATAGGCTAGTGTTTGCTCTAGGCTCGATTTTAACAGCTAAAAGCGTTCTAGGCTAGTTTATAACAGCTAAAGATGCTTTAATCTAGATTTCAACAGTAGCCGGCGCTCTAGGCTGGTATTTAACAGCAGACGGTGCTCTATAGGCTAGTTTTTGCTCTAGGCTAGTTTTTAACAGTGAGTGGTGCTCTAGGCTGGTGTTTAACTGCAGACTGCACTCTAGGTTCGATTTTAACAGCAGATGACGGCACTCTAGGCTAGATTTTAACAGTAGGTGGTGCTCTAGGCTGGTGTTTAACAGCAGATGGTACTCTATAGGCAAGTTTTTAACAGCAGACGGTGCACTGGGCTGGTATTTAACAGCAGATGGTGCTCTAGGCTAGATTTTAAGAGTAGTTAGTGCTTTAGGCTGGTGTTCAACTGCAGACTGCACTCAAGGTTTAATTTTAACTGCAGATGATGGCACTCTAGGCTAGATTTTAACAGTAGGTGGCGCTCTAGGCCGGTGTTTAACGGAAGATGGCACTCTAGGCTAGTTTTTAACAGCAGACGACTCTCTATAGGCTAGTTTTTAACAGCAGACGGTAGTCTATAGACTAGTTTTTACAGCAAACAGTGCTCTAGGCTTGTGTTTATTAGCATACTGCACTCTAGGCTAGATTTTAAAAGTAGGCGGCACTCTAGGCTGGTGTTTAACAGCAGACCGTGCTCTATAGGCTAAATTTTAACTGCAGACGGCGCTCTATAGGCTAGGTTTTAACTGCAGATGGTGCTCTATAGGCTAGTTTTTAACAGCAGGTGACGCTCTAGGTTAGTGTTTAACAGCAGACTGCACTGTAGGCTAGATTTTAACAGTAGGCGGTGCTCTAGGCTGGTCTTTAACAATAGAGGGTGCTCTATAAGCTAGTTTTTAACAGCACAGCGCTCTCGGCTGGTATTTAACAGCAGACGGTGCTCTATAGGCTAGTTTTTTCTCTAGGCTAGTTTTTAACAGTGAGTGGTGCTCTAGGCTGGTGTTTAACTGCAGACTGCACTCTAGGTTCGATTTTAACAGCAGATGACTACACTCTAGGCTAGAATTTAACAGTAGGTGGTGCTCTAGGCTGGTGTTTAACAACAGATAATACTCTATAGGCAAGTTTTTAACAGCAGACGGCGCTCTAGGCTAGTGTTTAACAGCAGATGTTACTCTATGGGCAAGTTTTTAACAGCAGACGGTGCACTGGGCTGGTATTTAACAGCAGATGGTGCTCTAGGCTAGATTTTAAGAGTAGTTAGTGCTTTAGGCTGGTGTTCAACTGCAGACTGCACTCAAGGTTTAATTTTAACTGCAGACGGCGCTCTATAGGCTAGGTTTTAACTGCAGATGGTGCTCTATAGGCTAGTTTTTAACAGCAGGTGACGCTCTAGGTTAGTGTTTAACAGCAGACTGCACTGTAGGCTAGATTTTAACAGTAGGCGGTGCTCTAGGCTGGTCTTTAACAATAGAGGGTGCTCTATAAGCTAGTTTTTAACAGCACAGCGCTCTCGGCTGGTATTTAACAGCAGACCGCGCTCTATAGGCTAGTTTTTGCTCTAGGCTAGTTTTTAACAGTGAGTGGTGCTCTAGGCTGGTGTTTAACTGCAGACTGCACTCTAGGTTCGATTTTAACAGCAGATGACGGCACTCTAGGCTAGATTTTAACAGTAGGTGGTGCTCTAGGCTGGTGTTTAACAGCAGATGGTACTCTATAGGCAAGTTTTTAACAGCAGACGGCGCTCTAGGCTAGTATTTAACAGCAGATGTTACTCTATGGGCAAGTTTTTAACAGCAGACGGTGCACTGGGCTGGTATTTAACAGCAGATGACGGCACTCTAGGCTAGATTTTAACAGTAGGTGGTGCTCTAGGCCGTTGTTTAACAGCAGATGGCACTCTAGCCTAGTTTTTAACCGCAGATGACTCTCTATAGGCTAGTTTTTTAACAGCAGACGGTAGTCTATAGACTAGTTTTTACAGCAAACAGTGCTCTAGGCTTGTGTTTATTAGCATACTGCACTCTAGGCTAGATTTTAAAAGTAGGCGGCGCTCTAGGCTGGTGTTTAACAGCAGACCGCGCTTTATAGGCTAGATTTTAACTGCAGACGGCGCTCTATAGGCTAGGTTCTAACTGCAGATGGCGCTCTATAGGCTAGTTTTTAACAGCAGACGGCGCTCTAGGTTGGTGTTTAACAGCAGACTGCACTGTAGGCTAGATTTTAACGGTAGGCGGTGCTCTAGGCTGGTCTTTAACAATAGATGGTGCTCTATAGGCTAGTTTTTAACAGCAGACAGCACTCTAGATTGGTGTTTAACTGCAGGCTGCACTCTAGGTTCAATTTTAACAGCAGATGGCGCTCTAGGCAGGTGTTTAACAGCAGAAGATGCTCTAGGCTAGTTTTTAACAGCAGGTGGTGCTCTATAGGCTAGTTTTTAACAGCAGATGGCACTCTATACGTTCGTTTTTAACAGCATATGGCGCTCTAGGCTGGTGTTTAACAGCAGACAACTCTCTAGGCTAGTGTTTAACAGCAGATGTTGCTCTAAAAGCTAGTTTTTAACAGCAGAACCCGCTCTAAGCTAGTGTTTCATAGCAGATGGCACTCGATAAGCTAGTTTTTAACAGCAAAGGGTCCTCTGGGCTGGTGTTTAACAGCAGATGGCGCTTTAGGCTAGTTTTCAACTGCAGGCAGTGCTCTAGGCTAGTGTTTAACAGCAGACAGCGCTCTAGGGTAGTGTTTAACAGCATACAACTCTATAGGTTAGTGTTTAACAGCAGACAAAGCTCTATGGGCTAGTTTTAACAGCAGATGGGGCTCTATGCTAGTATTTAGCAGCAGACAGTGCTCTAGGCTTGTTTTTAACAGCAGACGGTTCTCTATAAGCTAGTGTTTAACAGCAAACGGCGCTCTAGGCTAATTTTTAATAGCAGACGGTGCTCTATAAGCTAGTGTTTAACAGCAGACGGTGCTCTAGGTTAGTTTTTAACAGCAGACGGTGCTCTAGGCTAGTTTTTACAGCAGATGGTCCTCTAGGCTAGTTTTTGACAGCAGATGATGCTCTAGGCTAGTTTGTAACAGCAGATAGCAGACTAGGCAATTTTTTAACAGCAGATGATGCTCTAGGCTAGTTTTTAACAGCAGATAGCAGACTAGGCTACTTTTTAACAGCAGACGTTGCTCTAGGCTAGAGTTGAATAGCAGACGGTGCTCATTATGAACACTCCGAAGGTTTGTTAAAAACTTTATTAATTATTATTTTACGTTCAAGTGGTATTTGTAATGAATTAGATGCAGACAGAGTATACTCTTTGCAAGACATTGTGATAAAAAAGTTGTATAATATTATACTTTAATATTATAGGATTAATTGAGACAGAGGACTCTGATTGTCAGTTGTGTTTCTACTTGTCTTCCAGCATCATCATAGAGATTTGCCAGAATGGAGATTTTATGTTTTGTTGAAGCTCTTCTCCTGATTTTAGCAGCTCTTGTACAGGTAAGAGTTTCAGAGTTAATATCACAGATATGAATATTCATGATGTGCTCATTCTGCTCATTATTTCTGCAGGATCACTCGAGCACAGCAGCAGATGGACAGAGTTTTCCTCTGGACATGGCGCTGAGTTCAGTGGATGATCAATATGAGGGCTGTTCTGCAGAAATGGCGACTCTGGTGAAGACCGAATTTCTGGAGAAGGAAAGATCTGCATCTGCTAACTTTAATAAAGCCTGGCAAGAAGCTGAAGAGAACTCTGTGAAGCCAGAGGACAACCTAACGAGGAATCATTCCATCGCCATTCACATCTACACCAATAAAGATGCAAAGGTGTACAGTTCATTAAACAGCGCGACACGTACCGGCAAGCACGCGTACACCGACGGGACGTTTGCATGGCACTCACTTCACTTCCTGCTAACAGACGCCATACAGATCCTCAAGAAAACCCAAGATTCATGCTATCTAGCTTATCGGGGCACCAGTGACAAATTTGAGCTAAAGTCTGAAGAGGTCCGCTTGGGCTCATTTGCGTCCTCTTCTCTGGACCGAGCGGTCATTCAGGAGTTTGGAAATACCTCTTGTTTTGAGATCTACACGTGTGAAGGGGCTGATCTGACCAAATACTCAAAGTATCCTGAGGAGAAAGAGGTGCTGATTCCTCCGTACGAGAGGTTTCGAGTCGTGGCTGTGAGGAACCAGACGCATGAGGAGGATCTGTGGTGTGAAACTGTGTTTGTGCTGAACAGCAGCAGCTCCATGAGTGACCTGAACTGTGCTTTATTCAACAGCGGACACCACACTGCCTTCTGTAAGCTGCTATTAATAGTGCTAATCTTATTTTACGTAGTGTTTACATGCTAACTGCTTAATATGAGATTAATTAATTTGGTCCTGCTTTATATTAAGTGGTCTACTACACTTTAAGGTAATTAACAGCTCTGTATTTTGTTATTCACAAATGTTTTTGGTTTGTTTACGGTTGTGAATTGCATTATGGGATGTTGATCTCTGCTTTGTCCACTTTTAATGTTTAATTGAACAGTTTATCAATGACTCTTACTGAGATTGTTGTACTTTTGAAATTATAAAATGTATAATAAATCATATTTAGAGAAATAAACAAGAAAATGAAGTTTATTACAAGGGTTTTGTAGCGTAATATACAACACCAACCTAGACGATATAGCACTGCACACTATTAAACACTGTAGAGATTTATTTATATGTAAAGATTCATTTGAACAGGGCTTGAAAAGATTCGACTCTTTAAATACGAACAAAAGGATCATCCAGCGATCGTTTGGATGGTTGACTTTAATTATGGCTATTGCTATCAAAATATAAACGATTAAGCATGTTTAAGCAGGGTCGAAATAAAGACTCATAAACATTCACAGGTACCTTTCTTTATCAACCCGGGCTCATTGTGGAAACGTAGCCCCGCGGACGTTTCTGCGGACCGCGTTTTACGTCCCGGGAGGTACGCATTCGAGCGGTTTTTGTTTTCGCGGATCCGTGAGAGGCTGCTGTGCGCGCTTTTTCTCGGGAGCAAAAAGCCGCCGGATCAGCCGACTCGGCCACCCTCCTCTTCCTCCTCCTCCTTCCCTAAACCCGAGCGACGGTTCGCAAAAGCCGTCCAGAAAAAAACAAAAAACAAAAGCCCTCGTCTTCGATTTCGACCGTGTTTTCGGATCCTGCCGCATTCTCACCCTTATTTTTCAGATTCTGTTTTTCGTCTTACCTGATTTTCGGAACCGCTGTTCCCCGGACTTGATCCCGGTCGTCGTCCACCGCGGCCGGCTCCTCCTCCTCCTCCAGGGCCTCCGCTCCGCCGACGCAACGCTGTGAGCTAAGTGGACAAACTGGTTGCATCGGGAAAGCCCTCCACTCGGAGGCGAGCCGTCGGCTGGCGAGCGCAAAGAGGAGGGGCGGAGCGGTGCCACACCGCCCCGCAGCGTTCGCTCGAAAAAAGCTAAACGCGGCCTTACGTAAATCACGTCCTCCAGAAACGGCCTCGGGGCTACGTTTCCAGAATGAGCTTGGGTTGTTCTTTATACAAAACACTTTATTGACTAATCTAACAGAAACTAACACTTGCACAAACACACATTCATACAAGTGTAGAGAAGAGTAAAGAAAGTAAAATGAGAGTTGAGAGAGTGTAATGATGAAAAACCTCGGATTTTGTAAGACCAAATCAAGCGAACCAAAAATAATAATTTCAACCCTTCTATGGTCTCTTTAGATTTGCATTTAGTTTACACCAGTTCAGATGTGCAGTAGTCTGGAAGAGTTACTTGCGTTCCTTTTGTGATGTGAAGAAATTCTCTCTGTTGAGGACGTGGCTGGCTGATTGTTATTTGTCCTCGTGAGGCTTGGAGTGGGGTGGAGTCGGTCATTTCAAGTTTGAAGCAGCAACAGGGCGAGTCGTGTTGACTACTGGTTTGCGTATAAATTCTGTATATGTACTTTAATACATTACATTTTTGTATATATTATGAATATGTTGCTTGTGCCCATAAGGCCTATTGGTTAATCCGGCCCTGCTTAAAGGGAGATGAGACTCTGATTGGTTTAATGCACATTATGCTCAAAATACACCCATAACTCATTAAGAGAATAAGCACAACCCTTTAAGACCATGCGCTGGGTGCACAGACCGTTTTTCCCATTCTTAAAACAGCAAAAGTGGATTCAGACGTCCTCTTAGTTTACCTGCACCATGCACTTTAGATCACTTGTCTATATCAATAAAATTCAGACATGGCCTTGTTGCACCTTGCACTATAGAGCACTCACATTATGCTAACAGAATCATGCCCAGGCTAGTTTCCCGGTTCGTTTGAGAAGTAAGAGTACACTAAACTGTGCCCAAGTGCGTTTCCTGGTTCGTTTAAGAAGTAAGAGTGCTCTTAACCATGCCCAGGTGCATTTCCCGGTTCATTCGAGAAGTAACAGTGCTGTGAACCATACTCGGGTGTGTTTCCCGGTTCGTTTAAGAAGTAACAGTGCTCTGAACCGTGCCCAGGTGCGTTTCCTGGTTCGTTTAAGAAGTAAGAGTGCTCTTAACCATGCCCAGGTGCGTTTCCCGGTTCGTTTAAGAAGTAACATTGCTCTGAACCGTACCCAGGTGCATTTACTGGTTCGTTTAAGAAGTAACAGTGCTCTTAACCGTACCCAGGTGCATTTACCGGTTCGTTTAAGAAGTAAGAGTGCTCTGAACCATACCCAGGAACATTTTTTGGATTGTTTGAGAAGAGTGCTCTAAACCGTGCCCAGGTGCGTTATCTGGATTGTTTGAGAGGTAAGAGTGCTGTGAACTGTGCCCAGGCGTATTTTCTGGATCGTTTGAGAAGTGTGAGTGATGTGAATCAGGCTCAGGCGGGGTTCAGGTGGTCAGCCCTGGCCCGGTTGGAAGAGGTGTGCCAGAGCGTGTGTGCACTCACACTACAAGCGTACAGTGTCTAAGCCCGAAACTAAAGACGAGACGTGACTTTTAAGGGACTGTTTCATATTGATTTAATAATCATTCTTAATGTTCAATGAACACAAACTGTCGTAGTTTATTAAGTGTATGTCATATGTAATAGGGCTGCACGATATTGGAAAATTTAACATTGCGATAATTCTTATTCTGCGATATATATTGCAATATGAATACAATTTCACTAAATGAGGGGAATATCTGTATATGGGCAGAATCTATCATTGATTGGGATGATTCTGTATAGGAGTGCATGAAATATAAGGTGTGCGTTATTTTCACATTTTCAACAGATGTACATCACCTAGTGTACTTTTTTAAAAAGAGGAACAACAATATAATCACACTTTCTTGATTGTTGCTGGTTTTCCCTGTTGGAAAGTGGCACATTTTGTGAATTTTTATTTATTTATTTATTTTTTTTATCATCAGTTGTCAGCATTATCCCTTTAGATAGTCCTGTGCAGAAGAGTTTCTGTCTTTTATATGGAGTTCAGTGGAGTAAAACAGCAGATTATAGTGTGTGTGTGTGTGTGTGTGTGTGTGTGTGTGTGTGTGTGTGTGTGTGTGTGTGTGCCGAAATGCACTTACTGTGTTTACTTTGTTCTGAAAGGGAAAACCAGCAACAATCAAGAATGCATGATTATATGTGATTAAAATAGAAATCAATGAAGCAAAAACAGCATCAATATAACCAAAGGTAGTCAATCTGCCCGGAGTGTATTGTTGAGTGTTTGAAAAATGTTCGAAGCATTTTCCCAAAATATGTGTTAGATAAGATTTGCCAACAAACATCATCCCATTCGTTGCAACACAAAGAAATCTCTGGCCAAATCAAGACCCAAGAGTGGAAGTCAACCCAGAGTGGATGAAAACAACCCAACAGCACACATAAGGGTTAAATGTATTGTGTTTAACTAAGAGTCTGCATTGCATCTTCATCTTCATCATTGAGTCATCATCACTGTCGAGTTGTAACCTGTTTTTTAAGATTGGTTTCTCATGCTCTCTAGTGTGAAACCACTCATAGATCTTACCAAGTGTTTCATTATGACTAAACAGCTTAACACATAAGGGGCACACTTCTTGTCTTCCAGCACAATATTGAGAGGGATTTTAGTTGATAATATGTCCAACACCGTCCAACCCGCTCCAAGCTGGTATTTGAAAAAACATTTGAAAAAAATAAAAAATAAAACAATTATAATAGTAGTAGTATTAATAATGATAAAACAAATTATAGTAATAATAATAATGTAAAACTTTACAGTTTTTCTTGCTTCTCTTGTAAAAAATGTACATTTGAAAAATCATGGATAACAACAATCGCCAAATTGGTTTTCAAATCAATTTCAAAATGGTCCTTCACACCTTTTGATTGAGGTGTTTTGACTAGGTGTTTTAAATCACTTCAGTCATGTGACCTGGAGTTTCGAATCACTTTAGTCATGTGACCTGGTGTTTCAAATAGGGTTGGGTACCGAAACCTGGTGCCATTATAGCACCGGTGCCTAGGTAACTGGTACATACCGGTATTAAATCCGCGTAGGAATTTCGGTGCCTAATTTCGGTGCTGCGGCAAGGACGTTACGCCTGTTTCACACCGCAAGTGAAAGCAGTGCGTGAGCAGAGCGTGCGCAGTGCATATGTCGAGCAGAAGCAGCACGCAGGCATTTGCCTTTGACACCTATTTAAGACCGCAAGCAAAAGCAGTGGGTGAGCAGCGCATATGGAGAGCAGAAGCTGCACGCAGCCATTTGCCTTTTACACCAGCTGCGTCAACAGCAGCGTGCAGCTCTCCGGCAGCTGCTGCAGAGATCAATCTATCTATATTTCTATCTCTATGTCTATTCTATCTAGTTATGAACAGCTCTCGGGTGGAATAACTTGAGTGAACATAAAACAAAGCCGAGTAAAACTTGCTTCCTCTGCTTCAGCTGCACAGCACAGCACACAGCGAGCTCGCATCATCCAGCAAGCGTGTCGAACTACACTACCCACAATACACTTCGCTATGGACTACAACTCTCGTAAATAGCAAGTCTTAAAGCGACCACTCCCCTCTCCTACAACACTCGCGTGCAACTTAAGCAAAACAGATACAAAAATTGTTTTACATTGGGTTTTGTAGTTCGGGCCTAAATAAATGTTTGTTGCAGTTTTTAATCGTTTTAAGTTCATTTGAATGACTATATATAAACCAGTTGATATCATTAACACATTTATTGGGTAAAATTGCTACTTTTTACTGTCATTCAATGTGTTTAGGTCATTATCAATGCACATAAAAACAATAAGAAATAGGACTTATTATGACTCCAGAATAATTATTTTTTTAGGAAACACTGTAAACATTTTCAGAAACATTATTTTAAATGAATCTAAATCTTGTTACTTGTAAAATGTTTTCTTTGTTTTTAAACAATGCAGCAGCGAAATATGACTTAACCTATGTCAGATTGTAAAATGAAAATATTGGTTAGCGTTGGCCAAAGCTGAATAGCTGAAGTTGCAGCGAAGCGACAGCCAACAGAGGATTCTGCTTGGTCTTAAAGCCTTCTTCGATGGGTTATTTTCACTATTTATGATGGCATAGCAGTCAAAATAGGACAATTGAGCTCATGTATGGGACAAATTCTGGACCGCTGTCAGTGAGAGGTGGTTCTTCCGAAACCCCTGAACCAGTGGTGTATTCCTAAAAAAAGTGGTGTACTATTACACCTGACCCTAAATTCAAGTGAAAGTAGGCAAAGAAACAACAATTATATATATATATATATATATATATATATATATATATATATATATTTTTTTTTTTTTTTATGATGATGATGATGATGACAATTTTCATTTTTTGGGAAAACTATCCATTTAAAAATAAAAAAATGTAACAAATTTGTTGGTTTTAAAGGGAGATGCTGATAGTCTAATCCTATTTAAGGATTTATGTTTAGCTAACAGTGCCCCCCCCTCAGCAGACTCTGAGACTGGCTGCATGTAGACAGTATGTGGGAGTGGAGAACAGCGCAATTTAAACAAAATGCACCAATTTCAACAAATTAAGATGTGAGTTAAAAAAACATTTGGTATAGGCCTATAGTTAAATGGGACATGAATACACGTAATTCAGGGAAGTTTAATCAGAAAACCGAGGGTATACACAATTATTGATCCTCAGAAGTGGTAATACTCAAACAGCTCGTGGAAGAAAGTAAGAATACTGAGTATATGTGCGTATAGCAAGGACTACACCACTGCCCCGAAAACCCCCCCTGACTACAGGTCTGATCTGTATAATATTCATATGGTCATCACTGTTGAGCTGCTGTGGTGTAAAACAGTGGTTCTCAGAGTAGGGATCGCGGGACAATGGGGGCTTGTTGCTTGGTGATTTCCAAAAATCTCTTATATTTTATTAAACTATTAGAATGATCATATTTTGTCAGTTATTATATTTTATTTGAGACCCCTGGGGTTATGCTAGATTAACATCACAGCAATAGCATTAGTTACAGCAGATACGGTACAATATTAAACTTTGACACCCATATGGCACTCACATACATTAAAAAATAAGGCCACGACTGAACGAGGAGGATGATCTCCAAGTGGCTCAAAGTCCCTAAAATTAAACCAAGAATAGTCTTGTGCTGTAAACATTGTACGAGGTTAATATTAACTGAAGTTTAACAAACTAATTTCGAGAGGAGCACGTGATATGATTGAGCATTGCTGGCCACTCATCCGTAATCAGTAATAATCCAATCAGAATGATCCTAGCTTAATATAAATGGATCACTTTCTCCTTATTGCTCTATCTTCTTCTCCTTTTTCTCCCCTTCTAACGGGGGAGCGATCGAGACCTACCTGATATCGGATATGCTTCTAGACTGGGCGGGAGCCCTGAGCTCAAATATCTCCAAGCTCAGGGTTCTCTCCCGGGACAGCATGCCAAACCTGCTATAAATGCCAAGCATATCTAAGTTGGAACTGTTGATATTAAACAAATGAATAATGATTATAAAAAATATACATGGTCGTAAGACTGTTGCCCTTTTTTGTGTTGACAATATGCTTATGTTTATGTAGTTCCTATTGTTGTGAGTGCACTATTGTGTGCAATATTTGTATGCTTATAACTAGGAATCCCACACGAAATCTGCCTGTGCAGAATTCGGCAGATTTTTAGCCCATCATTAATTCTGTTTATTTACTTGAGTAAATGTGTGTAAATCTATATTTATTCAGGTTTTTTTGCATTTTAAACATTAAATAAAAGTTGACAATGTGTTACTTTTTATTTCATATCTTAAGGTTTTTGTTATGATACTCCCAAAATAATTCCTCAGAAATCTGCAGATTTGTACCAAAACTTTCAGCAGAAATATCAAAAAGCATCCGCAGATTCTGTCTGGCCCTACTTATAACCAAACTTCGAGCATGTGAGTCACTAGAGTTGTTATTTTAGGGGTGGTGGGCTGAAAAGTTTGAGTACCCCTGGTGTAAAGCATCAGTCTGGCTGGTGTGAAACCACACATGTAGACCTCAGAGGTGTTGCATTAATGATTAAACTCTGTAGAGGAGCAGAATGCATCAAGTTCACACTTCAGCTCAGACACACACACACACACACACACACACACACACACACACAGTAATATAGGTATATAACAACTTTCAAAGTCTGAAGAGTCATTGTCAAACAGCAAGAGACGTTTCTCATCTGATCTCATTGCACTGAATCTAAAGAAAACACCAGAATCACAGGTGATTTTTAATATATTATTCAAATCTTATAGACATATTCATGCTGACATGTGAATCAACCGCTTGTCTTCCAGCACAGTATTGAGAGAGATTTGTCAGAATGGAGATGTTGAGGATCACTGAAGCTCTTCTCCTGATGTTAGCAGCTCTTCTCCAGGTGAGATTGAGTTTCAGAGTTAATATCACAGATATGAATATTCATGATGTGCTCATTCTGCTCATCATTTCTGCAGGATCACACCAGCGCCGCTGCAGAAGCACAGGATTATCCTCTGGATATGGCGCTGAATTCAGTGGATGATCAATTCTCCATCTGCAGAGCCAAAATGTCACGTCTGGTGGAGAAAACCTATCTGAAAGAGGAAAGATTGAACTCAAATAGATTTAATGAGCTTTGGCAAGAAGGTGAACAGAAAGCGGTGCAGAATATTTCCACAATGTTTGATAAGAATCATTCGATTGCCATCTATGTTTATACGTACGCTAGTGAGGATATTAATAAGGTTGTATATCCTCAATTCAATGAAGACACTCGTAATGGCAAACAGAACTACATAGACAAGAGATACAGATGGTATTCACTTTACTTTCTGTTGACTGATGCCGTTCAGATTCTGAGGAAGGAGCAAAAAAACAAGTGCTATGACACTTTCCGAGGTACAAATTTGACATTTAATCTCCACAAGTCTAAGAAAATTCGCTTTGGCTCGTTTACATCCACGTCTCTCAACAATTTTGAAGCAAAAAAGTTTGGCAAAGTTTCTTGCTTTAATATCCACACTTGTGAGGGTGCTAATGTGGCTAAATATTCGCAAATTCCTCATGAACAAGAGGTGCTGATTCCTCCATATGAGAAGTTTAGAGTGGCCGCTGTCTTAAATAAAAAAGATGGTTGTAAAACTGTGTACAAACTGAAGCGCTCTGGGAAAAGAAGTGATCTGGACTGTGCTCTGTTCAAGAAAAATACACTCTTTCCCCAAACTCTTGACCAAGCTGACAGGGGTTCGCAGATCATTCTGTAACAAACATAATAGTATTGAATAATGCATTTGGAAGATACTTGTAAGGTTAAAAAATATTCTTAGAACATTATAATGTGACATATATATGTGAGAAAAATCATGGATCGATATGACAGTGGTGTTAGGTAAGTTTTCCATACATTAAAAGAAGAAAAAAGCCAGAGGATTTCTGTGATTTAAATTTTTTTATGTATTAAAATTAACTTCATAAAAGTATGATCTTGTTTTTTTTTCTTTTACTTTAAACAGTGATAGAGCTATACATCTGGGGTTTCTGCTCAGCAGCAAATAAAACAAATCCTTCTTTACACTCAAAACCAAAAAGCTGCTTGTTAAAAATAAAAATAGTATTGTGGCAGTTCAACAAATAAAAGAAAAGGACAATTTAGTTTTTATATGGAGCTCAGTTTCAATCTATTAGCTATTTTTTTTATCTTCAGAAGGATGAGTGTCCACCTTTTCCTCAGACAGCACAGATCTGCTTGGTTTGACTGTCACCTGCCATTTCAGTGGATCTGAAAGCAGGAATGATCGGACTGAAATGGGCTCATGAAGGAATAATGTCACGGGGCTCTATTACATTTAAAGGACACCTATGGTGAAAAATCTACTTTTCAAGCTGTTTGGACAGACATGTGAGTAGAGTGTATAGACTGTCATATTGGGGTCACATAAACACACACAGTCCTTTTTTATTAATTTAACAACAAAAAAACGGTGGACCAATCGGAACGGTTTTCAGATTGATTGCAACTTTCAAACCCCCCCCCCCCCCCACCCCACCCCACCCCACTGAATGCTCAGAATGAAACGCGAAAGTGTAAGTTACTGAGGTAAATTTGGTCTTATATTCACACATTCATTCAGTGACAACTTGTGACACACTCCCTGTATTGTTTACCACGGCACTCCTGCATACCTGCAAGTGTGACTAGAAAACAACATTAACACTGTTTATTTGACTGTGAACATGTTGTACTTTGATAGTCATTGGCTACTAATATGATTTCGCTATTTAGAGTTTGTAAATAAGATTTTCATGAAATTATATTATTAAGGAGAAAGTCTGAATGTGCAAATATAAAACCAACTTATGTGTAGGTCCACATACCCTGCCGTACAGGTGCAGTTCAGTGTCAGAATGCAGTAATTTTGCTTGTTGGTGATTAATTACCCAGGCCTTGTGTTACATTAACTCCGTCTTATTTCATTGTCTTTGGCTAGGCAGAATCTCGGTTTTTAGCTCTACATAGTGTTAAATCTGGTCATCAGGGAGCATTATTTCTTGCACATGACCTTAAAGAACATTGTTGGCATCCAAAGACTTGTACACCTTTAACTTCTCTTTTCTAAAGTCACTTAGAGCTTCAGTGAGATTGTATATTTGCGAGATCGTCTGCGGCTCTTTCTCTGTGTTTGAGTCAATTTAGCTTTTTCAATATGTACTTTTTTATATACTATATAAATATTTATATACTGTGTTTAGCTGTTTCTTCTTTATTTTTTGTTTGTTTGCTTTTTGCATTTATTTGTCTTCATTGTTAAATATGATTGTTCTGCCTATTTGTTGTTGTATGTATAAATTGTATGCACTGTTTATGGGCTTAATAAAAATAAATAAATAAACAGAGTAAAGCAAGGCTGGGAAAGATTGCGGAGCAGGATCCGGCTCAAATTAAGCACTGCTTGTATCAGTAACAGATTCATTCATGCACTTTACTACAGTCAAACACAATACAATATTTATTTCTATTTTTATGTGGGCACTTCTATTTAAACTGTGTAAAGGTGACTTTGTCTTTTAGTCACAATTAGAGAGTTTTATGTTCTATATTGGTTGTTTGCAGGGCCGGAGTGGGACTCCTTTTCAGCCCTGGAGTTTCAAGTCCGGCCCACCTCAGTTCACGACTGACTATATTAAAATAAGGTCATTTCCAATTCAGTTTCTAATGACACTACCGAGTCATTTCAAGAAAGAAAACAGCAGCTTTAGAACTTCTAATGTTCAACAACCCTAACAGTATTATATGTCTTAACAATAAAAATGAAAAAAAAATGTAGTAATGCATATTCAGGTGAGAATCGAAACATGGGTCGACAGCGTAGTAACACAACACGCTGTCCACTGTACCACAATGGCACCGTCATAATGGGAAGAAAAAATATATATTGCACTGTGACTCACCATGATCTTTTTCTCCCCTTTTAAGATTTCTTAAGTATTTATCAAGTAGTGAATCATCATTTTCTTTGAGCAGGTGTATTATTCATTAATATTAATTATTTGAGTTCTTACATTCACTAAGGTGCCGCTGTTTGGGGTCGAATGATGATTCACGTTTACATCATTAAAGTTACCCTGCAGGCTGCATTTTGCTCACGGGGCTGCGAGAAAATAAATAAGAGCGGAGCTGCAGCAAAATAATGAATAAAAAGAGTGAGGCTATGGTCAAATACATAAATAAATGAAAAGAGTGTGACTGCTGAGATTGCAAGCAGCAAGGGACACATTCCCTAGCGGCCAAAAAACCGACCGGCCCACCGGGAATTCTCCCTGTCCTCCCGATTAGCCAATCCGGGCCTGCTACTGTTACAGAGAAGCAGAGGACTCAAACTCACAATCCTGTGACCTTATGACCCCAGTCCTGCTGACCCCCTGTCCTCTAGGCTGGTCAGGACAACTGTCGGGTTTGTGTCCCCAAACTCATGATCTTTGAGGCCCTGCGCTACAGTCCGAATGTTCGATTGTAAATCTCGCCTCCTGCTGCAATTCAGGTCCTCTCCATCAACCAAACCAGGCCCATATAGGAAGAGCTTTGCTACCAGAGCAACTCCTATCCAATCGGGGCAATCGGCCATAGAGGAACTGCAATGTTTTGTAGTGATGTCACATCCTGTATGTGTAGACTCATCCTGGCCACTCCCACTCAGTTGGTTTGAAGTATTTGTAATTTTTCAAAAAAAACTCACGGTTGTGTGTGTGTGTGTGTGTGTGTGTGTGTGTGTGTGTGTGTGTGTGTGTGTGTGTGTGTGTGTGTGTGTGTGTGCGCGTGTATGCAGATTCAAGACCTGTAACTGCTTTTGTACATGTCAAGACTCGTATCAAGCAGTCGCCATGTCAGTGACGTCACACGCAGCGTCAACTGAAGCTACTCGAGTTCTGCAGGTTGATCGCTGCTGATTCTGCTGCTGCCGAAATGTGAATAAAGTAAACAGGTAAGTGAAAACACAATCACTTGCATGGGTTTTCTAGTTGCACTTGGATGATATAATGTCCGAGCAATATATGAAAATGCTTTTTAAATATGGCGCCATATGGGCATTCCACGCAAATCTCCAGACCCGTTAGTAAGTTATGAATTAAATTAACTTCGTTATTTACTACCGTGATTACTTGGATACTTTTGCAGTATTTTTAACCCTTGTGTCACGGTCACACAATGAAGACAAGGAAGGTTATCTCGTTTCACCAATTTCTCAAACAAATAGTGGATTAATAAACAAGAGAAGCAGGTAAGTGATAGGCTCTGCAGTTGAGCAGATGGATTGTAGTTTACGTTGTAAACATAGAGTGTAAAGTCACTTCCCTTTATAATAGCTTTGTTCATCCACAGGTTTGAGAGAAACATCCACAGGAGAAACATATGTTGGAGAGGGGAAATATCCACGGATGAAGGTGAGTCAGGGAGAAGGTAAGGTGAACTGTTAGACATTGATTCCAGCCACTGACTGACTGAAATCGCTGGGTTATATGAGGAGTCCTTGATGATGGGTGCAGGTGTGTATAATCAGAACTCAGGTGATTGTGCTCGGGGGTGATGAGAGGTGGCATGAGATGGGAAGTGATGATTGGTGCTGAGGGAACGTGATGGTGAGAGAGAGTGGTAGATGGAGCAGCAGGAACGAGCCGGGGATGTGGCACCTTGGCTGTTTCTCAATATGCGTTCTTCAGCAGCCTTGCATCCTCGTGTTCTCATGTAACGTCATCATCAGCTGCCTAAGTTCAGTTCCAATACTCAAGACCGCAAGTACAGAGGACACGTGAAACTTCCTGGATGTGTTCTTGATATCGAGGACGCACCGATTGTATGAATGCTGTATTGTTTAAATAATTTACCATTTAAAACACGTGAAGGTCATGTGACCATCAGGATGAACGCAGCATCCCATTTCTCACAGGACGGGTTCTCTGCCCTCGCGGTCACCTGAGTTCGTTCATCTGAGGACACCTGGCAAGACCGGTCTCCACAAGAACGCAAGTCCGTTCTCTGTTTTCTTGTGGAATTGAGAAACAGCTCTTGTGTGGTCTTACAATTATATATAACATAATTTCATCTCTCTTAATGTGTCAAAAATGTCTGCCTTCTCTAAAGCAGCACAATTTAACATTACTTGTTAAATCTATTTTTCATTAAGAAACAACCTCATCATTAAACACAAACTGTGACTGACCCTGCTCTAGACCGTCAAGGAAGTTTCATAAAATATACAGTGCGAAACATTGGAGTTGGGTCCGTTTATTTATTTATATGTTTCCCCCTTTTTCCAACCAGATAGCACAAGCAACCTTTACATATAACACCAAAATGCCAACAATCTCGACACTCTTCTTCATTATTCCTAATAGAATTTGGAAATAAAATTGAAAAAGAAATCAGTCAAAGTGTGAACATTTATTTAAAGATAAGCAATGACAGAGCAATAGTATAGGTGTGTGTCATGTCATCAATACAGTAATACAGTCATCTATCACACAGCCATGCTTCTGCTAGTAAATCAAGTCTATTGTAAATGATGAAATTAACAAAATAATACAGTCTTCAGAATATATTCTATACACAAGTCTTTTTTCCTGATTCAGCCACATACTGGAACATCAGGAGAGGACCACAACAAAATAATACACTGTCTTGCAAGATAAGTACAAAAGACATTGACATCCATAATATTTAGTTTTTCGTACAATGAAAGTCAGTGATTACAGGTTTCTAACATAACACATGGATTTACTCTCACTTATGCATAAAGTGAGTAAATAATGTGTAAATGTTCATTTTGGGCTGAACTATCACTGTAAATACTGTAGTGTAGTTTATATTGAATGCTTGATTCTGATTGGCTGATGATCGTTCAAGGTTTGCTGTTATTTTCAGATAAACGCACAGATAAAGTCGTTTGTGTGAGAAACTAATCTAACACATTTTCAGTTTGTGCAGAAAAACCTGACAAATGTCTGAAACAACATCTTTATTGTGGATGTAGGAGCTGTAGTATAAGTCACTTCAAAAAAGTAATCCATTACACATTATTAAAGCTGTATTGACATTACTTTCCTAAATGCATTGTCTGACAAGTAACTTCAGGCTCAATACTACTTAAATCTAAAAGTTAATTTATTTTAATTATTAATTCTATTGTTTAAGCATAGAGGTTTATTTTTGAGTCAATCAGGCTTAACCTTTACTAAAAAAAATAACACTTTACACAAACACTAAATATGATCTGTATCAAAACATTAAACGTCACCATATTACATACACTATTTTGTCAATTTCTTACTAATTGTTTAAGCATGTTTAATTACATCGATAAAGTTCTTTCACGAGTTTACACTTGCAGTCGTTTAAGTATAAGGTGTATTTGGCGTGCTGTAGGGGCTCTGAGCTTGGGGAGACACCCCAACTTGAGTTATTCCCCATATCAGGAAACAAAGTGGAGTTGGGATTCAAGCGAAGTATCTAGCCCGGCCCTAGAACGCTCCCCCCGGGAATGTAATGCTTAAGAGGTGAGGGGATGGGGTGGTGGAGGGATGCTAAAGTCGTCAGATGCTGCAGGTAAGACAGCTTTGGTATATATTGGGGTTTGGTCGAGAACTGATTTGATAATAGAATAATTGTCATTGGCGTATTCGATACTGAAACTTCTGCATATGCTCCTCCCGAAATTTGTTTACAAAACATTATTTTTGTTTTATTTTATAATGTCTTTTAATATTACATTCCTTCATTACTGCAATTGATTCCTGGCAAATTAAACAGACACATATTCCACTGACCTCTGTGAAGAAATATTCTTTGCCCCATTGTGACTAAAATTTCCTGCTCTCACTGTTGATTTTCCTTTTTCTTGCTTGTGTCATGGCTCGCCAAAACCTGATTATCAATTATGTTTCCTTCAGTTTGTTCGGTTCGTTTCACTTCATAACAGGAACTGCTGCCTAATTGAAGGCATGTCATAGCGACACCCGGTGGTTATTTATTGAATTACGTTCATTTTTGAACGTTAACTGATTGCCACAAAACTGATTGCGGGCCGCAGATGTCACTGTCATATTCAACAAACCATTCTGTCGCCAGTCTTTCTGTGTGTGTTGGCTCATAATCATCCTAATACACAGCACTGCCTTCAGAATACAAATGTTTCTACATCTGTGTAAATCAAATTAACATATTTTTTAATTCACACATTTGATATGATTGTGTGATCTTGTGTGTAAATATTTATGAAATGCTGCAACATGTCCAACATGTGGTGAACACAAAAGCAAGGGTCATGCTGCAATATGTGTATGTCGACAGTTTACACTCAACTGAACTTAGAAATGTATAGATTTTTCACAAATATTGCTATTTAGAGCATCTTTTTTGACTTGAACATGTTCAGTAGATTGATGTGCTGGGTTCATGATCTTCTGCTGCAGGAGTTTAATGTTCTCCTTCATCTTGGGTAAAACACTGATGCTGAACTTATCTCTGATGTAGCGACTGACTTCATCTCTGATGAAACTCTTGAAGTGATCTTTGGGATAATGAATGTAGTTCATGTATTTGTCAAAGTCCTCCTCTTCTGCCAGTGTCTTCAGGATGTGTTTCTCCAAATTTGATCTTTTTTCCACTCAGGGATTCACAGTCTGATATCAATTCAAATTCCAAATCTCATTTCAAAGTATTTCTGGAAAATACTGTAGTACTCTTCTCTTTTTTTCTTTAAATATATTTCAGGATCATTGTCTTCTCTGAAGAGGCTGTGTTGTTCAGTGATTGTCTTGTTTGCTCTTTTACAGATAGAATAAAGCAAATCAATGAAGAATTTATTTGTGAACTTATATTTCACTGCTCCTTCCACATGTTGTGTTATTCTTGCCTTGATATAATCTATGAGTTGTTGAATGAGGCTGATGTTGTAGCCCATCTTTGTAATGTTAAATGACTGAATCAATTGGTTTGTCTGCTGAGCAACATCTGTGATGAATGATTTAATTTCAGCTTCATCCTCTTTAGACAGAGTCTCACCTCTGGCATATTTGAATTTTAATGAAAATCTAGAAGATTTTTTCATCTTCACATAATCTGAATAACTCTGCACAGTGAAAATATCGGCGTAGTCATTGCTTGAACTGCTGTCTTTGAATAAACTTCCATAGACATCACTGAGGATTAGAGAAAGATCTCTCATTATGTTGATGTCTCTGAATTTAGGAGTGTCTCTGATGATCTTCTTCACACTCTGTTCCCAAAACAAATTAAACTCTTTCATCAGTGTTTCTTTATTGTTGGTTTTGTCTTTAAGTTGTAAGGCCAGTTCTGTGCTCTTTACATTGAGAGCATCAATCTTTTTCTTCATGTCTCGTTGCTGAAGAATGTCATTTAATTTCTCCTTTGTTTCTCTCACAATGTTCTCCTGAAGCTCTTTGCTTTTGATTTCAAATGATGTTCTCCACTGAATCAGTATATCTGCATCTGGATCCTTCTCAAAAAACTCAGTCATCCGTTTTTCCACTTCTTCACTTGTCTTCTTCAGTTCATTGTAAAGATCAATTTCCGCAACCTTATGAATTGCTTCATTTTCTATTTGGTTGTGTAGTTTGTTCTCGGTTTCCATCACGCACCTGCGGAGACTCCAATACCACTTGCTGTATTCGGTCTCCAGTTTCCTGTAGACAGAAATCTCCAGAGAATTCCGGAAGCTGAAGACAAATCTTTCATTCAGTAAAGCCTCCCAGAGATCTTTAATACAATCTTTTAAGTGTGTCAACAACAGTCCATCTGATCTCGAGACATTTAACAGAATAGATTTCTTCAGCTCCTGAATATTCTCACAGTAGTTTGGGTTTGGTGGAGCCATTGGTGGACTGCCCTCCCAGAGCTGAACAAAATACTTCACATCATTCTGAACATCAAATCTAATGACATCACTGAAGCGTTCTGCATCATAGACTTCCTCTTCAGCAGCAAGTTTGGTCATCTTATCCAGTGTTTCCTGCAATCGTCTTCTACCCTCCATGTTTCTCTTTCCAGCTGTGATGTCTGAAACATTCTGATGCACAAACACACAACTGGGATTCAGTCTGACCTTCTTCATCCTTATGAAGGCCTGCACAACAATCTGAAGAACATCCTGCATCTCAGACGGGTTTTCTCCAAAGACGTTGATCAGTGTCAGATTTGCAAGACCAACAACAAATGTGGCCAATTCATTGTCATGATGTCTTGTTGATCTTCCAGCCAGTTCTAGAGCACGAAGACCCTCAGTATCAACAACCAGAATATAGTCACAGTTCATCTGTGTTTTCATCTCCTCAGACACTTTGACCAGCTGCATGAAAGCTCCTCTGGTGCACCTGCCAGCACTGACGGCAAACTGGAGTCCAAACATGGCGTTCAGCATGGTGGATTTCCCAGAGCTCTGAAGCCCTAAAACTGACAGCACAAAGACTCTGGTCTGGTCTCCCAGCTTCTGGATGAGTTCATCAAGAACAGCAGAGATCCAGACCAGAGGAACATGAGCAGCATCTCCATCCATCAGCTCCAGTGGAAACCCAGAGATCATCATCTCTGCTGCGAGACTCGGGAGAGAAAAGAAGTGAACCGGCAGATCTTTCTTGTTCTCCTTCACAGATGAACATGAAACATAGATCTGACCGATCTCCCTCATGATGTGCTCCAGACCAAAGGCTGCAGCTTGAAGATCCTCAGATATTCTCTCAAGTTCAGCTTGTTCTGCTTTGAGTTGTTCAGATTTGTTATGGTTCTTTTTTAGTTTCATGACTATTGACCAACTTTGATCATATTTGTGGTGTAGAGCCGACAGGTCAGCTGATGTATGTTCATCCAGGAGAATTTTGAGCCATTTGAGGAAAAACTTCTTTTCTTGTTCATTATGTGAGTTAATTTTTTTAACAAAGACCTTTATGAAGACACTGATGTCAGACTCATGCTGCTGTTGACGGATTTTCTTCATTTCTGTTTGTTTTCTACTGATGTCCATTTCTATCTCATCTCCTTGAGGTCGATGTAGTTCTTTGTTCTTCTGACTCCACTGATGCCACAGTTTCCCCTGATGAGGCAGAAATGATTCTTTGATTTCTGTCAGTTTTTTCTCCTCCAGTAAACTGATCATCTGCTGTGCTGCTGCTCTTCCTCTCCTGCAGTCTTCATCATCTTCCTCATCTACTCTGATGTCTGAGTGTTTGGACACATCTTCAAGTCTGAAAGTGGGAGATGATTCTGAGAGACAATCATTTATTGCTTTCATAAGTTCTTCAGATACTTCTGACTGATTTCTGTCTTTTAGACCGATCTTATATTTTCTTTTTTTCATCTTAGTTAGAGTAGATTGACCCTCACTAAGAAGGCAAATAAGTGGCTTTCTGTTCTTGGACAAGATTTGGATCTTTTCTGCATGTCTGTCATTCTTGTTCACTTGTGGCAGAAGTACCACATTGACTGAGGCCATCTCAGTGAGGATCCTCCACTGTTTCTCGTGGTCTCCTGCATCTCCATGTAGATTACAGAAGGCCACACAGTCAGTGAATTTATCTGTGTTTTTCCCAGAAGGGCAGAACCAGGCGATCTCCACCACTCCATCCATCAGGACTCTGGATCTGCTGCTGCCTGGGCAGTTCCTGTGGAAGAACGTGTTGTGTTTGTCATTGATCAGACTGTTCATCAGCTGAGACTTGGATGAAGACACAGAGCCAAACCTGAAGAAGAACACCATTGGAGTTTGTGCCTTGTAGATGGGCTGGGTTTGACTGATGGTTTCATTGTTGGTGTTTCTGATCTTCCAGCTCTTGGTGATTTGTCTGAATGTCCAGAGAGGAAACTCAATCTGTTGTGTTTCTGGATCAGGAACAAGCAGAGGCAGAGCGAACTGACACTGGGACAGTTTAGTGACCATCAGCTGCTTCAGGAAACCATCAGAACAATGAAACACAGCCATCTGAACATCCATCGGGTGAATTTGCTCAGATTGATTCAAGTCTTTAGCAAAATACATTTCACTGAAAATATCAAAGTCATCTTCTGAGTCATCTTCATTGGTTATTTTAACTGTAATGTATCTTGCTTTATAGTTCATCATCAGTAGTTTCTGTATGTAAGTCTGAATCAGCTCCTCTTCACCACAAGACTCCTGAAACTGTAATGAATATTCATTAATCTGAAGAACATCTGTAGCTCTCAGTTTATAGTACCACCAGTTTTCAAGATGAAGTCTGTGGATTATAGTATCGATTTTCCCTCGATCTGTGCTGAATGCTGTTGTTTCAGTCTCTTCGTTTGCTCCCTGTTTAATAGAGAAAACAACACACTTTAATCATTGTTTACAGTAGGGATTTTGAGTCATTTTAAAGAGCCCCTATTATGGGTTTTTAATTATCTTCCATGAAGTGTGTAACACTAAGGGAATTAAAACATCCAGATGAGGATTAAATATTAAAGTGCTCCATTTTTAAAACCAGGGGTGAACTGGAGCATCAATCTGGCCTGCCACTGAGAAAATCTTCCATCAAAACTAATGTACAGTAATGTAATGTAATGTGTGTATTTATATAGAGCATTTATTGTGTATGGCCATACACCCAAAGCGCTTCATAATCATGAGGGGGGTCTCTCCACACCACCACCAGTGTGCAGCTCAACTTGGATGATGCAACGGCAGCCACAGGACAACGGCGCCTGTGCGCTCACCACACACCAGCTATTGGTGGAGTGGAGAGACAGTGATAGAGCCAATTCTGTGGATGGGGATGATTGGGAGGCCATGATTGTAAGGGCCGATAGAGGGACTTTGGCCAGGACACCGGGGTTACAACCCTGCTCTTTCACGAGAAGTGCCATGGGATTTTTAATGACCACAGAGAGTCAGAACCTCGGTTTAACTTCTCATCCGAAAGAGTAAGGATTTTAATGATGCTGCATATGCTGGCGCCATGACTTACAAAGGTGCTTGATTGAAAATAAACAGAGCTTCAAAAAGTAATTGACTTTGCTGTTCATGAAGGATTGGGAACCCTGAAAAGACCTTCTATAATGCATAATAGAAGCTCTTTAGGAATAATTTAATAATTGTAAATATGAATGATAACATCATAATAATGTGCCAATGGTCTAAAAACAGAACATATTTATATATATATAATATATATAAAATATATTAAATATTTTTCTAGATCAGTGTAGTGTCAGATGAAGAACACTAATCCAAATCTCTGCAAACTCACCTTCACCTCCTCTTCATCCTCCTTTCCAACTGTTAAAGACAAGAATCATGCTTTAGCAGATCACACAGACTCAATATCAACTTACAGATTGTCCTTTACAAAATCATCAAATCAATTGCTTATGCAAAGTGAAGGCTGCAGTGAAATGTAGCAGTTACTCTTCATATATATTCATTTTAGTAAGTGCAGTATTCATTGGTGCGTTTTTGATTAATATGTTGGGTTACGTTATAATAAAGGTAAATAACTGCTGTCATATCAATAACATCAGTCACCATTCATGATTTCGGTGCCGAGTGTTTCTGTTAGGACTGCAAGATATTAAAAATAAACTGACACACCAATAATTTGCTTTTCTGCAATATATATTGCCATATTAATGTAATTCCACAAATGTATTTAGATAACTCTGTTAGGAAGAATACATAATTTTATGTTGTGATAATTTTGTAGGGAGTGTGTTTATTATAAAGTAACAAATTAATACAATAAAACAAAGATACAAGTAAAACAGACTGTGCTTTATGATATTCTGGATATTCTAGCAGTATTGAGATCAAATGTAATTTAATTAAACAATGTAATCAAATGTAAAATAACACTATATGGTCTTCATTTTAATAAAAAAAATACAATTAATCTTTGTTAAAGCTACAAATCTTATAATTTCTTGTGGCCAAATGGATATAATTAGCATTAAATCTTACACATAAATTAAAAAAAAAATTTTTCACTGAACTGGGTTAAACTTTGCTATTTTTATTGCTATTAAACTTTTCCTGGTTAATTATAAACACTGAACTCAACATTGCTGATTCTGTGACGTGACTATTGCATATTCACTCGAGTTCAATGCTGAAACAATGTATCGTGCAGCCTAGTTCTGATGAATCTTAAAATGTGATTAACATTAATTAACATTACAGATGTTGAACAAAAAGAGTAAGTGAGGTCATCTCATGTGTTTTCACATATATACAATTGTATGACTCACAGTTCATAGGTGGACTTTTGCTCTTTCTTCTGCTGTGATCAGGAGTTTCAGCAACACTTTCTGTATGAAGCAACATTTTATATTTTATTTTCATCCTGGTAACACTTCCAACATAAAGATCAACATCTTCAGCTGATTCTTACTGGCAGGAATATTAATTAAACATAAAGAGTGAGACACTAAAAAAATTGAGGCGACACAATGGCTCAGTGGTTAGCAATCACCTCACAGCAAGAAGGTCGCTGGTTCGAGCCGCGGCTGGGTCAGTAGTGTTTCTGTGTGGAGTTTGCATGTTGCATGTATAGGTGAATTGTTGAACTAAACTGGCCATAGTATATAAGTGTGTATGGGTGTTTGCCAGTACTGGGTAGTACTGGAAGGGCATCCGCTGCGTAAAACATATGCTGATTAAGTTGGCGGTTCATTCTGCTGTGTCGACCCTTGACTAATAAATCAACTAAGCCGAAAAGAAAATCAATGAATGAATGCTAAACACTTATATTCAAGAGTGTACAATCATTCAGAGTTTTTTCAGTGATGCCTAAAGAAATGAACCAAATGAATAATTATTGTCATTACTGTTTATAAACTGTGTCGAGAGATCCTCAGATGTTAACTGCTATAATCTATGATCTCTCTATAGCTCCTCATTTGCTCAACATTAGTTAATATCCACATATTCTTCTGTATTAAAATGAATGGAGTAGTTTAGTACCATAGTTCTGTTTGTAGTATTGCCATTGTTTTTCATAACTTTACCTCTGCCTTGCCTCTTTGACATGATGATGTTTTCTTCTTCGTCTCTTTCTTCAGTGTTCAGTGGATCATCAATTCTGTCTGTTCATCATCCTGTAATAAATTCATCAGTCCTGGGACTGTTCATTTCTCTAGACTGCTGTATGCCATGTGGAGCTGCACACCTGCTGTGAGTCAATGAACAAACACACTGATTCAGATTCACTGAGTCAATGAACAAACACACTGATTCAGATTCACTGAGTCAATGAACAAACACACTGATTCAGATTCACTGAGTCAATGAACAAACACACTGATTCAGATTCACTGAGTCAATGAACAACACTGATTCAGATTCACTGAGTCAATGAACAAACACACTGATTCAGATTCACTGAGTCAATAAACAAACACACTGATTCAGCTTCACTGAGTTGATAAACAAACACACTGATTCAGCTTCACTGAGTCAATTAACAAACACACTGATTCAGATTCACTGAGTCAATAAACAAACACACTGATTCAGATTCACTGAGTCAATAAACAAACACACTGATTCAGCTTCACTGAGTCAATGAACAAACACACTGATTCAGCTTCACTGAGTCAATTAACAAACACACTGATTCAAATTCACAGAGTCAATTAACAAACACACTGATTCAGCTTCACTGAGTCAATTAACAAACACACTGATTCAGATTCACTGAGTCAATTAACAAACACACTGATTCAGATTCACTGAGTCAATTAACAAACACACTGATTCAGCTCTGCCTTCAATACTGTCTCTAGTGATTTACTTATCTCACGTCTCTGATCTGGGTATTTCTGCTATTGCTCTCTCTTGGTTCTCTTCATATCTCTCAGATAGACAATTCTTCATCTCTGTTAAGGATTTTCTGTCACCCACTCTCCCCCTGAAGCGAGGTGTTCCCCAGGGATCTGTTCTAGGCCCATTACTGTTCACAATTTACCTAAACCCACTTGGTCTGATTCTACAATGTCATGATCTAAACTATCATTTTTATGCAGACGATATTCAACTTTACTCTGTCTGTACACTTACCTCATCCGCCCAAATTAACAATATCTCTGCTTGTGTGAAGGATATTAATGATTGGCTCACCTCAAATTCCCTGAAACTCAACATGGACAAAACTGAGATGATTTTTATTGGCACCCCAGCACTTACCAGCAATATTTCCACCAGTTTCTCCTGTGAGATTGCTGGCTCGCACATTAAAATGTCTACTTCTGTCAAAAATGTAGGTGTAATCTTCGACTCCACACTCTCTTTTCAGTCTCACGTTAAATCTGTCACTAAATCTGCATTCTTTCATTTACGTCGCATTTCACAACTGCTTCCCTTCATCAGTAGCAAGGATGATGAGACTATTATTCATGCATTTGTCTCCTCACGCATCGACTACTGTAATGCTCTTTTCATTGGTCTGCCTGCTAGCCTCATCTCCAGATTACAGTATATTCAAAACTCTGCAGCAAGAATACTCACTCATACCAAACGTTCTGCTCACATAACCCCAATCTTCTACAACCTCCATTGGCTCCCGGTTGCATACCGGATTAAATTCAAAACTCTTCTCCTTGCATTTAGATCCCTAAATAACATGTACCCACAATAACATGCTTGTCCCCTACACCCCAACTCGTTCATTACGTTCCTCTGTCTCTGGCCTTCTCGCTGTCCCTCGGTACCGCCTCTCTTCAATGGGGGGCAGATCATTTAGTGTTATTGCACCTAAACTCTGGAACTCTCCACCACGCTCACTCCGCTCTGCTAATAATATCAATTAATTCACATTTTTACCTAAAATTCACTTTTTTGCTGAATGCTTCACTTCTAATCTGCCAAACTGACCACTTCATTTGATTAACCTCTGCTTATTTGTCTCTTAGGTCTTGTTTTGTATTTCCAGTTTGTTTGTTTGACTTCCTGTATGTTTGAGAACTTAATGTTGTCTCTAATGTCTGCTTGTACTATCTGTTTTTGTTAAATTCTTTATAAAGTGTCCTTGAGCTCTGGAAATGTGCTATATAAATAAAATATATTATTATTATTATTATAATTATTATTATTCACTGACATCCACAGAGGCTGAATTCAGAGTGTTTATTTCTCCATCTCAGTCTCTCTGTCATGACGAAAGACATGAATCTGCATGAGATGTTTAGATCTTTCTTCTTCGTATAGTTTAGTGAATCTGTGTTGAGCATCATGATGTTTGACGTTCATCTCTACGTGCAGAAGTCTTTGAGGATCTCAAATGTGGAGTTTTATTACGATTCTTTGATAAAAGTGAAAGTGAAACTCTCAGATGTTGCTGCAGTTCATACTGATCATTACATTTATTTAGTTTTGCATCTCACATGTACATTTCATTCAATAAACAAAGAGAGTATTTATAGGGAAAAGTCACACTGTACCTTTAGTTGAACATTCGCCGTGTTCAGAGGTTTATTTTGGAGATCAAGAAGAGGTTTGCAGGCGAAGTCTCTCTCAGAAAACTGTAAAAACCGGTTTCTGTGTTTCTGGTCTGACAACATTTACTATAGGGGAAAGTTCAAGCTCTAGCTGGTGTGAACATTAGGTATAATATTGAAACAACATTCAGTATATTCTGTGTGCTGATAACTCTGCAGTATATATTGAGCTTACTGTCTCAGTGTGTCCGCAAAGATTTAAAATGTCAAAAACTCAATTTTAGGCCTTAAAAAGTCTTCATTCATTCATTCATTCATTCATTCATTCATTCATTTTCTTGTCGGCTTAGTCCCTTTATTAATCCGAGGTCGCCACAGCGGAATGAACCGCCAACTTATCCAGCAAGTTTTTACACAGCGGATGCCCTTCTAGCCGCAACCCATCTCTGGGAAACATCCACAAACACACTCATACACTACGGGCAATTTAGCCTACCCAATTCACCTGTACTGCATGTCTTTGGACTGTGGGGGAAACAGGAGCACCCAGAGGAAACCCACGCAAAGGCAGGGAGAACATGCAAACTCCACACAGAAACGCCAACTGAGCCGAAGATCGACCCAGCGACCTTCTTGCTGTGAGTCGACAGCACTACCTACTGCACCACTATGTCGCCGTCCTTAAAAAGTCTTACATTTACTAAAATATTTAGGTAAATTTACATTAACATTTAGTCATTTAGCAGACGCTTTTATCCAAAGCGACTTACAAATGAGGACAAGGAAGCAACTTACACAACTATAAGAGCAACAATGATTAAGTGCTGTAGGCAAGTTTCAGGTGTGTAAAATCTTAGAAGGAAAGTATTAGTAGTGTTAGTATTTTTTATTTATTTATTTATTTTTCTTTGGGTACAGTTAGTGTGACATCCAGAGAGGCAATTGCAGATTAGGAAGGGAAGTGGAGACTAAATAGTTGAGTTTTTAGTGGTTTCTTGAAGACAGCGAGTGACTCTGCCGTTCTGATGCAGTTAGGGAGTTTATTCCACCAACTGGGCAGATTGAATGCGAGAGTTCGGGAAAGTGATTTCTTTCCTGTTTGGGATGGAACCACGAGGCGATGTTCATTCACAGAACGCAAGTTTCTGGAGGGCACATAGATCTGCAGAAGTGAGTGCAGATAAGAAGGTGCTAGGCCAGAAGTCACTTTGTAGGCAAACATCAGAGCTTTGAATTTGATGCGAGCAGCAACTGGCAGCCAGTGCAAACGGACTAGCAGCGGAGTGACGTGTGCTCTTTTAGGTTCATTAAAGACCACTCGTGCTGCTGCGTTCTGAAGCATCTGAAGAGGCTTGATAGAGTTAGCTGTAAATAATTGTGAACAGGACTTAATTGTACCTTGTCCATGTAAAGCTACCCAATCTGGCCACACATCCGATCACCAACAATCCATCTCAATAGAACTTTTAGCAAAACTCTACAGACCTTTTTCTTGGCTGCTGCATGGAGGGCGCCATAGCCACCAGCGTTTAATAACTTCCATTTACAGCGTTTACAACCAGGTAATATGCGCTCCGAAAATGAGTTTCAGTAGCGTTTTGCGTGGTTCACGGAGTGTTTTTGTGACACACAAAAAGTGTCTGTTAAAGCCGTTCTGTCAGATGTGGTTCAAGCGCGAGAGAAAAATGTTCTCCTAGTTCACGTGTTTGCCGTCAGAAACACAGTGTGTGTGTGTCTCCTTGGCCTGTCAGCTGTTAGCTCGAGAAGCGTCTGGATGCAGACCTGGTGCAGTGCAATCTGAGCTGCATCCAATGCTTTTTAATAGGCTCACCTAATCCCACCCCTTACCCTACCCGTCACAGTGACATCACTCACTTCACTGAGTGCATTGTGTCTGACATTGCATCGCTGAGTGATGCAATTTCAGCTTGCATCATAAAGGCTGCATCCAGATACTACTGGGTAGCTGAGCGGCTTTTCAACACACACACACACGCGCGCAATACTTCACTGCATCATAATCGAACAAACCAGATTACCGGTGTTATGGTTTAACTGGTGACCATGTTAACTGGTGTCCCTTTCCAGATGTAAGCTATTCACGTTTGCAGATTGACAGATTCGTCACTTTTTCACAGCAATAAAACATGATCATACTGAATAAAGAGTCTTATTACTTGGTGTCAGTGTAAACATTATTGACTTTAATATCTGTGTAGCAGAACAGTATAAACCAAAATTAATGTAAAAATTGGTCACACTTTACAATGAGGTTCATTAGTTATTGTTAATTAATGCATTTACTAACATAAACAAACAATAAACAATACATTTACTACTGTATTTGTTCATGTTAGTTAACGTTAGTTAATGAAACGTTAATGAAAATACAGTAGTTTATTGTTAGTTCATGTTAACTCATGGTGCATTAACTAATGTTAACAAGCATGGACTTAGATGCTAATAATAATAATAATAATAATAATAATAATAATAATGAATTAGTAAATGTTCAATTATAATTAATAAATGCTGTACATGTGTTGTTCATGATTAGTTCATGATAGTAAATGCATTAACTAATGAACCTTATTGTAAAGTGTTACCTAAAAATAAATAGAATTTACATGTCTTCAACGGGATTCGAACTCGTGTAGTCAAAAGGTTCAGCACACGCATCAATCACCTTATCTAACTGAGCTACGCTGAACTACATGAAGTAGTCTGTTTTAATATTTTTATCAGTCTAAATAAGCTGTGCTGTGTTTGTGGACTCGTGTTGACAGGTTTTCATCGATGTCAACATGTTTACATGTTGTTTAGTTAAATGTACTCGCGTTAGCATAAGACATTGTTTTTTTTCTAGTGTTTGAGAGAAGTTTAAAAGAATTTGGGGATCTATTGGTTTTGTTTTTGAGTGCAATGTTCAGTAAACCATTTGTTTTCCATTTGGGAAATAAAATATATGCATAGAATAAATATTTACTAGCATCAGTATTTCACTATTTCACAGTATTTCACTAATATTCTAGTGGTTAACCTTTTTAATGTGACTGCATTGAATAAAAACAATGAAAAGTTACAATGTAAATAAATTTGTTCCAGGGGTCAAATAATTTCAAGAGTCAACACTTAGCTGATGATTGATAGTAAAGCTAGTTTGGCGTGCTGTCCTGGGAGAGAGCCCTGAGCTTATAAGATCCTCGAGCCCTTGGCTCCCTCCCGTTGCAAGGCGAGAGGGGAGTTTGAGCTCAGGTAGATCTCGATGACTCCCCCTTTTGCTTGTTGTAGCTAAGTGTCAGATATGGGTGCTGAAAGGTGTACTCAGAGTTTAGCTAAAGTATTTGGACTAATTGTTTAGGGTGTTTGTTTTTGAACTGTGGGAGAAAACCGGAGGACCCGGGGAAAATCCACGCGACCACTGGGAGAACGAGCAAACTCCGCACAGAAATGCCGACTGGTTTGGAAAGGAATTAAACCAGGGGCATTCTTGCTGTGAGGCAACAGCGCTAATCGCTGGCCTACATGATGCCGTTTGAAAGGAGGGAAAGTAGGGTTGGGTGGGGGGGGTTCTTCAATATGAAGATATTGAGATGAGAAAAGTCTGGTTATTTATAGTGAGTTAAGGATCATCTGATAGGATAATCAGTCATTAGCTAAACTTGGAACAGCTGTGAACAATCATAAGCACGTGATCCTCTCAAAATTTGTTTATAAATAAACTTCACGTCTACTATCACTACGACTAAAATAAAGCAGCACAATTTAAGTTCCATTCTCAAGTTTATTTTTCATCAAGAAACAACCTCATCATTAATCACAAACTGTGATTGACCCTGCTTTAAGCCGTCAAGGAAATATCATAAAATATACAATGCAAAACGTTGGAGTTGGGTCTGTTTATTTATATTTTCCCCTCTTTTATCAACCCAATAATGAAATTCATCCTATACACACAACACCAAAATGCCAACAATCTCGCCACTCTTCTTCATTATTTTTAATGGAATTTGGAAATGAAATTGAAAAGAAATCAGTCAACTTTTTTAAAGTGTGAACATTTATTTAAAGATTAGCAATGACAGAACAATAGTATAGGTGTGTATCATGTCATCAATACAGTAATGGAGATGGTGCTCACTGCAGAGCCATTTGAGCAGAGCTGAGCTCCAGCGAGGGAAAGCATGAGCTCTCGCTCCTCCTCCTATAAGATGTTTTAATGCGTACACCAACCCCACCCCTAACCCTACCCCCAGTGACATAACTTGTAGAAGAAGTGCAAGAAAGGAGGAGCGAGAGCTCATGCTCCCCCTCGCTGGAGCTCAGCTCTGCCCAAATGGCTCTGCAGTGAGCACCACTTGCAGTTATACAGTCATCTATTACACAGCCATCCTTCTGCTAGTAATTCAAGTCTATTGTAAATGATGAAATTAACAAAATAATACAGTCTTTAGTATACATTCTACCCACAAGTCTTTTTTTCCTGACTTTCCCACATTTTGGAACATCAAGAGAGGACCACAACAAAATAATACACTGTCTTGCAAGATAAGTAAGGTGTAACACTGATTATAGTCATTGACTGAGGTATAAACCAGTGTTACAATTTAACAGAGAAATAACCAAGTAAACATGAGATTTATTTTTTACACAACTTGGCTAAAAATAATTGGGCATATATGTTTTTTAATATCAATTTGGATTGCTTGTCATGGTTAATTAAAGTTACAAACCTGAAAATTCTCATTATTTACTTTCGCCCATTTTTCTCACTCTCCTTCAAATTAATTCTTAATCTATGAGGTGGAATGAGCCGTCAGTTACTCTGGCATGTTTTTTTTTATGCAGCAGATGCCCTTCCGGTATATTTACAGATTTATAAAGGGACTAAGCCAAAAAAAAAAAAATGAATGAAAGAATGAAACGTAAATTGTTGGAAACGTAATATTTGACTTCCATAATATTTAGTTTTTCCTACAATGGAAGTCAATGATAACAGGTCAATCATTCATTCATTCCTTCATTCATTTTCTTGTCGGCTTAGTCCCTTTATTAATCCGGGGTCGGATTAATAAATGAATGAGCAGAATGAGCGGAATGAGCAGCCAACTTATCCAGCAAGTTTTTTTTTTTACGTAGCGGATGCCCTTCCAGCCGCAACCCATCTCTGGGAAACATCCACACACACACACTCATACACTACGGACAATTTAGCCTACCCAATTCACCTGTACCACATGTCTTTACACTGTGGGGGAAACCGGAGCACCCAGAGGAAACCCACGCGAATGCAGGGAAAACCTTTTTGTTTGCGTTTATCATCAGCGTTTTACGAGACATTTTTCCAGATTCAAACCTAATCGTTTTTCACTGCCGTCGAGCAAAGAGTATGCAAATCACTCCTGGACGTTAGATGGCGCTACACAACTTAAAGCTTCTGACATCCGCTTATAACACAGAAGAAGAAAAGAAAATTGACACAGTTGTTGTTAAAGTTACTGGCGATTCAAACAAGCATGGCAAGCAGCAGCTCCAGCTCTAGCGATGAAGAAATGATTATTGTTCAGCAGTGCAATAAGCAGGTCCATGTTCATATCGCCTCTGGGCATCTTTTTCAATCTGCGCTCGCATTGACAGTTTTGTGCTTGAGCGCCTCCATGAGCTGTTTACTGTAACTTCAGCAGCTCTGTGCACATGAACAAAAGTGCCAATCTAATAGACCAATTACCAACATACTTCACACATCCCGGTTGCAGAAAACAGACAGGCAACAATGGGAAAGATGTCATGTTTTGCGGTAGGATGCCGAATTCGAGTCCAAAAATGGAAAACTTAACTTTTACCATACACCACACACCGCTTTAATACCGACTGCAGACGTCTTTGGCTAAATAGGAGCTGAATGAAGTGAGGAGCTAATTAGAAATGCTGGACTCTGCAGTTCTCATGTCATATCAGGTCAGTTCACGCTATGCTGAATCAGACTCATCACTCGTTTTTGACTGCAGAAATGATTTCAGCAAAAACAGTTACATGTGGTGAATTAAACTGCCGACACTGAATGCTCAGAATGAAATGTGAACGTTACTTTTATTAAGGTAAAGTTGGTTTTATATTCACACATTCATTCAGAGACAACTTGTGATAAACTCCCTATATTGTTTACCACGGCACTTTGAATATTCGATCTGAATTAACCTGCAAGTGTGACTTGAAAACAACATTAGCACTGTTTATTTAACTGTGAACATGTTGTACTTTGATAGTCATTGGCTGTTGCTAATATGATTTCGCTATTTAGAGTTTGCAAATAATACTTTAATGAAATTATATTATTAAGGAGAAAGTCTGAATTTGTGAATATAAAACCAACTTTACCTCTATGTGTAGGTTCACATGCCCTGCCGTACAGGTGCAGTTCACCGTCATGCAGTTGTTTTGCGTGTTGGTGATTAATTACCCAGGCCTTGTATAACGTTAGCTCCATCTTGTTTCCTTGTGTTTGGCTAGGCAGAATCTCGGTGTTTAGCTCTTGAATCTGGTCATCATGGAGCAATATTTTTTACACATGAACTCAAAGAACAACATTGTTGGCATCCAAAGACTTGTAGACCTTTAACTTCTCTCTTGTAAAATCACTCGGAGCTTCATTGAGATTGTATATTTTGAGCTGGATGCTTGGTCACTTCGTCTAATCCAATATTCATTGGGAGGGAGCTATCACAAATGGAGCTGTCAGATGAACGCCGCTCGCTTTAACGTTAATTTAGCTGAATCACTGTGGTTGTCACTGGGTGACGAGCTGTTATAATATGCTGTAAGCATTATGTAAATAATATATATAATATGTAAGTAATATATCTTATTTCTAAGACAACAACAAACTCTGCACCGCATCTGATGTCATCCCCTCGCTGTAAATGCTAGAGCTCCCGGTTGCTTTCTGCTACCTCCCTACGCGCACATCCTGAATGTTTACAAACATGGTAATTGGTCTATAACTGGAGAAGGCTTTGACGCCGCGTGTCTTAAACGAGGCGTTTCTTAAACAATGCTTTTTGCCGTTTTGTGCATTGGTGTGCATGATCACATTAGTGCCATTTATTTAGTCACGAGGCGTTAAATGTTGATGGCAAACACGAGCAAAAAGCGTCCCGGTGTGCACGGGTCTTTAGACACTTCAAAAAATGTATTAATTACACAATATCAAAGATGTATTTAAATTACCTTCCTAAATGCAATACTACTTAAATTTTAAAGTGAATTTATTTATTATTTAATCATTATTTCTATTGCCTATGCATAGAGATTTATTTTTGTGTCAAACAGGGTTTTTACTTTTATTAAATAATGTAACACTTGAACACAGAAGCATTAAACATGATCTTCATCAAAACATTAAACATCACCATATTACATAAACACACCATATTGTTGTTTTCTTACTAAATGTTTCTTAAGCATGTTTAATCACCTTGATAAATACAGTATTTTTTCTGCACACAACATGCGTTGGACAATAAAACTTAACCGTCTGGCTTTAGAACACAATAATTCATTGTTATAGTGCAGGGCCTTCTTTTTGTGGCCAATACAGCATCAGTTGGTGTTGGGAATGACAGACACAAGTCCTGCACAGGGGCCAGAGGGGTTCTGAGCCATTCTTGCAGAATAGTGTTCAGGTCACTATGTAATGCTGGTGAAGGAAAACGTTTCCTGACTCGCTGCTTGAACACCCTAAAGTGGCTCAATAATATTTGGATCTGGTGACTGTGCAGGCCATGGGGGATGTTCAACTTCACTGTCATGTTCATCAAATCACTCTGTCACCAGTCTTTCTCTGTGTGTATCAGTGCATAATCATCCTGATACACGTCACTGCCTTCAGGATATAAATGTTTCTACATGTGTGTAAATCTAATTTTTCATTTATTTTTTAATTCACACATTTGATACGATTGTGTGATCTTGTGTGTATATTTATGAAATGCTGCAACATGTCCAACATGTGGTGAACACAACAGCAAGAGTCATGCTGCAATATGTGTATGTGGATAGTTTAAACTCAACTGAACTTATAAATGTAGATTTAAGAACAGTTCTTCACAAATATTGCTATTTTCAGCATCTTTTATAGTGTTGTAATGCATAAAACTTGTACATGTTATTAAGAGTCTTCTCTCATGTTGTTTTGTCAACTGAACATTGCATGATTACAGAATTCCTGAGGTGAAGAACACAAAACTTAATGTGCAAATTAAAAGGAATTTAATTCTCAATCTAAATGTATTTATCTAAACTCTCAATAGCGTCTAGTTTTCTATATTTTCTCCACTCATCTGGTATCTCACCACTTCCCTCAAATGTTTTACTGTAGTATTTTTCCAGATCTCTCTGGAATCTGCACACAAACCACTTCCAGTAGGGCAGTTCAGAGAGATCAGGAGTGATGCTCCAGTCTGCATAAACTCCTCCTGCTGATCTGTAATATCTCCAGAGGACTGATTCAGCTGAGGCAGTGGGATAAAAAGATCGATCACTGGCTACTGCTGATGAGCAAATGTTAACAGACAAGTTTCTTGTTCCTGCATTACACTGCCCATTCAGCCCAAAATTACGATGGAAAGCAACACTGTGATCTTCATAATGGTCCTCTATGGTGTTTGTGCAGATGGCCAGACAGAACGGACACTGAACCCAACAGCACTGACAGAAGTGATCAATCAGAAGCTCATCTGGCCTGAACTTATAGTCCAGCTTTACTGGAAATGTGTCTGTGTTGAATCTGCTGCTGATGTCTGACATTACAGCAGGAAGCTCTTGTCTGATCACATCTTCTAGGAGTGTGAAATCATCATGTTTGACTCCACTGAGGTCTTTTTCAGAGAAGATCAGCTGATCTGAGAGCTGCTGTGTGAAACTCTTCAACCACAAACCAACATCTCCACTGTTGACTTGAACATGTTCAGTAGATTGATGTGCTGCGTTCATGATCTTCTGCTGCAGGAGTTTAATGTTCTCCTTCATCTTGGGTAAAACACTGATGCTGAACTTATCTCTGATGTAGCGACTGACTTCATCTCTGATGAAACTCTTGTAGTGATTTCTGGGATAATGAATGTAGTTCATGTATTTGTTAAAGTCCTCCTCTTCTGCCAGTGTCTTCAGGATGTGTTTCTCCAGATTTGATCTGTTTCCACTCAGTGATGCACAGTCTGTTTTCATTTCATCTGCTAAATCTCTGGCAGTTTTCTTGTAGACGCTCTGCTCAATGGGTTCCTTCAATTTATGACAGATGATTTCGGCAAAAACTGCAGCTGAATTTGCTCCATGACAGTATTTTTGGAAAATACTATAGTACTCTTCTCTTTTCCTCTTGACATATATTTCAGGATCATTGACTTCTTTGAACATTCTATGTTGGTCAATTATTTTATTGTGTGCTCTTTTACAGATGGAATAAACCAAGTCAACAAAGAATTCATTTTTAAACTCATATTTCAATGATGTTTCCTGATATTTTGTTATTCTTGTCTTAATGTAACCTATGAGTTGTTGAATGTAGCTGATGTTGTATCCTATTTTTGAAATGTTAAATGAGTCAGTCATTTTCTCTGTTTTCAGAACAACATTATTCATTAATGACAGAATCTGGGCTTCATCAGCAGGTGACAGAGTTAAAGAATATCCAATTTTGTCTTTAATTGTTTGGTAAACATTTTTAACCCTACTTTTTGTGGATTTTCTGGAAACATATTCTGAATAATGTGAAACAGTAAAAATGTCTATGTTCTTGTTCCAGTGGCCTACAGGAGCACTTTCATAAATGTCATTGAGGATTTCTCTCACATCATTCATTATGTCTATGTCTTTGAGTGGAGGAGTGGCTGTGATGACCCTGTTCAAACTGTGTTCCCAAAACAAATCAAACTCACTGCTCAGGGTCTTATCATCATTTGCTTTTTCTTTGAGTTTTAAGGCGAGTTCTTTGCTCTTTTCATAGAGAGTGTTTTCATGATGTGTCCTCTGAGCATCAATCTTTTTCTTCACGTTTTGTTGCTGAAGTGTATCATTTAATTTCCTCTTTGTTTCTCTCACAATGTTCTCCTGAAGCTCTTTGATTTTTATTTCAAATGATGTTTTCCACTGAATCAGTAAATCTTCATCTGGATTTATCTCAAAGTATTTAGTCATAGATTTTTCCACTTTTTCACTTGTCTTCTTCAGTTTTCTTTGAAGATCAGTTTCCTCAATCGCATAAATTGCTTCATTTTCGATTTGGTTGTGTAGTTTGTTTTCAATTTCCATCATGGCACTGCGAAGACTCCAGGACCACTTGCTGTATTCAGTCTCCAGTTTCCTGTAGGCTGAAATCTCCCGGGAATTTCTGAAGCTGAAGACAAATCTTTCATTTAGTAAAGCCTCCCAGAGATGATTAATACGATATTTTAAGTGTGTCAACAACAGTCCATCTGATCTCGAGACATTCAACAGAATAGATTTCTTCAGCTCCTGAATATTCTCACAGTATTTTGGGTTTGGTGGAGCCATTGGTGGACTGCCCTCCCAGAGCTGAGCAAAATACTTCACATCATTCTGAACATCAAATCTAATGAAGTCACTGAAACATTCTGCCTTTGAGTCTTCTGCTTGAGCAGCAAGTTTGGTCATCTCATCTAGCGTCTCCTGCAATCGCTGTCTCCCCTCCATGTTTCTCTCTCCAGCTGTGATGTCTGAAACATTCTGATGCACAAATACACATCTGGGATTCAGTCTGACCTTCTTCATCCTCATGAAGGCCTGAACAACAATCTGAAGAACATCCTGCATCTCAGATGGGTTTTCCCCAAAGACGTTGATCAGTGTCAGATTTGCAAGACCAACAACAAATGTGGCCAATTCATTGTAATGTTGTCTTGTTGATCTCCCAGCCAGCTCTGGAGCACGAAGACCCTCAGTATCAACAACCAGAATATAGTCAAAGTTCATCTGTGTTTTCATCTCGTCAGACACTTTGACCAGCTGCATGAAAGCTCCTCTGGTGCACCTGCCGGAACTGACGGCAAACTGGAGGCCAAACATGGCGTTCAGCATGGTGGATTTCCCAGAGCTCTGAATTCCTAAAACTGACAGCACAAAGACTCTGGTGCGGCCTCCCAGTTTCTGGACGAGTTGATCAAAAACAGCAGAGATCCAGACCAGAGGAACATGAGCAGCATCTCCATCCATCAGCTCCAGTGGAAACCCAGAGATCATCATCTCTGCTGCGACACTCGGGAGAGAAGAGAAGTGAACCGGCAGATCTTTCTTGTTCTCCTTCACAGATGAACATGATTCATAGATCTGACCGATCTCCCTCATGATGTGCTCCAGACCAAAAGCTGCAGCTTGAAGATCCTCAGATATTCTCTCAAGTTCAGCTTGTTCTGCTTTGATTTTCTCAAATTTATCATGATTCTTCTTCAGTTTCAGGACTGATGACCACTTTTCATCATATTTGTGGTGTAGAGCAGACAGGTCAGCTGATGTATGTTCATCCAGGAGAATTTTGAGCCATTTGAGGAAAAACATTTTTACATTTTCATCTTGTGAGTTCATTTCTTTAACAAAGACCTTTATAAAGTCACTGATGTCAGACTCATGCTGCTGTTGGCGAATTTGCTTTAAGTCTGTTTGTTTTCTACTGATGTCCATTTCTATCTCTTCTGCTTGAGGTCGATGTAGTTTTTTGTTCTTCTGACTCCACTGACGCCACAGTTTCCCCTGATGAGGCAGAAATGATTCTTTGATTTCTGTCAGTTTTTTCTTCTCCAGTAAACTGATCATCTGCTGTGCTGCTGCTCTTCCTCTCCTGCAGTCTTCATCATCTTCCTCATCTACTCTGATGTCTGAGTGTTTGGAAACATCTTCAAGTCTGAAAGTGGGAGATGATTCTGAGAGACAATCATTTATAGCTTTTCTCAGTTCTTCTAATACTTCTGACTGATTTCTGTCTTTCAGACCAACCTTATATTTTCCTTTCCTTTTTTTCATTATTGCAAATTTATGTTCAGTAAAAAGACAAATCAGAGGCTTTTCTTTACTGAACATGTTTTGTATTCTTACTGCCATTCTGTCATTCTTATTTAGTCCTGGCAGAAGAAGCACATTGACTGAGGCCATCTCAGTGAGGATCTTCCACTGTTTCTCATGGTCTCCTGCATCTCCATGTAGATTACAGAAGGCCACACAGTCAGTGAATTTATCATCATTTGTTCCAGAAGGGCAGAACCAGGCGATCTCCACCACTCCATCCATCAGGACTCTGGATCTGCTGCTTCCTGGGCAGTTCCTGTGGAAGAACGTGTTGTGTTTGTCATTGATCAGACTGTTCATCAGCTGAGACTTGGATGAAGACACAGAGTCAAACCTGAAGAAGAACACCATTGGAGTTTGTGCCTTGTAGATGGGCTGGGTTTGACTGATGGTTTCATTGTTGGTGTTTCTGATCTTCCAGCTCTTGTTGATTTGTCTGAATGTCCAGAGAGGAAACTCAATCTGTTGAGTTTCTGGATCAGGAACAAGCAGAGGTAGAGCGAACTGACACTGGGACAGTTTAGTGACCATCAGCTGCTTCAGGAAACCATCAGCACGATGAAACACAGCCATCTGAACATCCATCGGGTGAATTTGCTCAGATTGATTCAAGTTTCTCGCTAAAGACATTTCACTAAAAATATCTACAAAGTCATCTTCTGAGTCATCAGTGTCTTTTTGGAGTATGTTATATTCATCATCGGTCACTTTGACTCTAATGTATCTTGCTCTGTAGTTCATCATCAGTAGTTTCTGTATGAAAGTCTGAATCAGCTCGTCTTCAGCACAACAATTAAGAGACTCTAATGAACACTCAGATACCTGAAGAACATCTGCAGCTCTCAGTTTGTATCCTATATCAAGGTGAAGTCTGTAAAAAAGATGCTTTATTCTTTCTGTGGCTTCAATACCCCTGTTTTTACGCTGTATAAAAGACAATAAAACAATAATGTACACATACCATATATTATTATAAGCATGGATACATATATTTTTCTCAATAGTCTTAAACAACTCTTGTCTGACATTAGCTGTGTTATAGATTAAAGAAAAACAGATACACATTGTGTTAAAATACCTGCAGTGAATCATCAGTTTCAGAGCAGATTTTCTCCTCTTTCTCTCTGTCGTATTCCTCTCTCCACTCCACTCGTCTCCTCTTCAGTTCTTCTTCATGTTCTTCCAGCAGTTTCAGATTCTCTTCATTTGTCTTTTGTTGATCTTCTCTTGTCTTTCTTTCTTCTTTCAGTCTCTTCTCTGAATCCTCTAGTTGCTCTTGCTTCTTTATTTCTAGTTTCTCCTTCTCTTTGATTATTTCCTCCATTTCACTCTTGAGTTTTTGAATCTGTTCATCTAAAATCTGCTTTTCTTTCTCATCCTCTTCTCTTCTCTTCTTTTCTTCTTGTATCAGTTTCTCCCATTCTTCTCGTTCTCTGCTCATCTGTGTTTTAATTTGTTCTTTTCTCTCTTTAAACTCTTCTTCTCTTCTCTTTCTCTCTTTGTCATGACTCTCTCGTTCATTCTCTATTCTGTTCATCAGTCTGTCTGTGTCTGTGTTGTATCTGGTCTGCAGTTTTTCTTTCTCAGTTTTTACTTGCTCAGTTTCATGTTTTAGTCTCTCTCGTTCTCTCTTCATCTCCTCACGCATCTCTCTCTCTTCCTCCATCTTCTCTTTGATTTGTGCTTTGTATTTTTCTTCTCTTTCTGTATGCTCCTCTTCACATTTTTTCTTTTCGTTCTCTAATTTGTTCTTTAGTCTGTCTGTTTCTGTCTCATATTCAGTTTTAAGATTCTCTTTCTCTCTTTTTATTTCCTCTATTTCATGCCTAAAAGTCTCTCGTTCTCTCTTCATCTCCTCTTTCATCTCTCTCTGATGTTTCTCTTCTTCTCTTATTTCTCTTTTCAGTTCTTCTTCTCTTCTCTTTCTCTCTGTCTCCTGATTCTGTCGTTCCTCCTCCATCATCATCTTCATTCTCTCTTTCTCTTCTTCATGTCTCTTCATCAGTTTTTCTCTTTCTCGGTTCATTTGCTCTCTCTGGATCTTCATCTTGTTTTCTTCTTCTTCATGTTTAGACTGAAGCTCTTCTTTCTCTCTCTCCAGTTGTTTCTTTTCTTCTATCAGTTTCTCATTAAATTCCCTCTGCTCTTCTTCTCGTCTCTTCTTTTCTTCTTGTTTTAGTTTCTCCCATTCCTGTCGTTCTCTCTTCATTGTCTCCTGCATCTTTTCTTCACTCTCTTCTTTCTCTTTAATTTCTCTTTTATATTGTTCTTCTCTCTCATTAAACTCTTCTCCTTCTTTCTTTCTCTCTGTTTCATGAATCTCTCTTTCAGTCTTAATTCTATTCATCAGTTCTTCTATGTCTGTCTGATGTTTGACCTGTAGTTTCTCGCTTTCTTTCTTCACATTTTCATTTTCTTGCTTTAGTTCCTTATTTTCATTTTTAAATCTCTCTCGTTCACTTTTCAATTCATCTTGTATCTCTTCCTTTTCTTTCATTTCTTTTTTATATCGTTCTTCTCTCTGATTAAACTCGTCTTCTCTTCTCTTTCTCTCTGTTTCATGACTCTCTCTTTCATCTTCTATTCTCTTCATCAGTCTGTCTGTTTCTGTCTCATGTTGGATCTGAAGTTTTTCTTTTTCTCTCCTCATTTCCTCTATTTCACATCTAAACGTCTCTCGTTTTTTCTTCATCTTAGTCTCTTTCTCCACTATTTGTGTTTTATACTTCTCTTCTCTTTCTGTATTCTCCTCTTCTCTTATCTTTCTCTCAGTCTCTATTCTCTTCATCAGTCTGTCTGTTTCTGTTTCATATTTGATCTGAAGTTTCTCTTTTTCTTTCCTGACTTCCTCTATTTCATGTCTAAATGTCTCTCGTTCTCTCTTCAGTTCTTCCTCTCTTCTCTTTCTCTCTTTCTCCTGCTTCTGTTCTTCTTCCTCCATCATCATCTTCATTCTCTCTTTCTCTTCTTCTGCTTCTTGCACTCTGTCCATCAGGATCTTCATCTGTTGTTCTTGTTTTTCTCTCTCCATCTCTCTGAACATCTTACATGAGTAGAAGCTTCCTCCGTTTGTCTTCACCATGTTGTCTATCTTCTCCAGTAGTTCAGACACTTGTCTTTGGTCTTCTGGCTGATTATTGTTGAACACATGGTATCTGTTTCCACAAGCTTCAATCAGTTTTCTAACCACAGACCCAGGTCTATCCAAACATTGATCAATAGTTGTGTTCTTCAGAGAATCTCCTTTGGTGAAGAGCACCATGGTGAACATTAGAGAGTGTTCACCAAACGTCTCCTGGATGATCTTCACTGATGCTTCCTCCTCTTTAGTGAATCTTTGTCCCAGTGGAATCAGCAGGAGAAACACATGTGGTCCAGGCAGAATCATGGAGATGCAGTGTCTGATTTCTCTCTGGATCTCCTCATTACTGAGTTCAGTATCAAACAGTCCTGGAGTGTCGATCACAGTGATGCGTCTGCCATTGATCTCACTTGTTTCTCTCTGACTCTGTTTGGTCACTGATTCAAAATAGTCTTCTGCTTTAAATGCTTCTCTTCCTAAGATTGTGTTTCCTGTTGAACTTTTACCAACTCCAGTTTTTCCCAGAAGAACAATCCTCAGTTCATCTTCACACTCAGTTAAACCTGTAAAAAAGGAAATGCACTAGTTTTAAACTAATAAATCAAATATACAAATTTTTGTTTCTGTTTGATGGGTGTTTTATATGACATGAAGATACACTTAATTTAAAGAACACCTATTTTACGCCTTTTTCAAGATTTAAGAATTGTCTTGTGTCTCCAGAATGTGTATGTAAAGTTTCAGCTTAAAACACCCATCAGATTATTTATTAGACCTTTCAGAATATTGGATTTTTTTTACTTTGAACACACTAGCCATGTTTCCACTATCGTGCCTAAAGCGAGCGAGCCAGGGCGAGCCAAGGCCAGTCGCGTTTCCACTGTCACTTCTGGGGCCTAATCGGGCCAAATCGGGACTTTCTTTCGGCCCACCGAATACCTTGGGCCACAGAAGGCCAGCCGGGGCTTCAGGGTGGAGTGAAAGGAGAGGCGGGCACAGTTTTCCGATCGCACATGAGTCCATGCGCCAGACACATAACAAATAAATAAATAAGGGAGAGAAAACATCTGGAACAAACTATAGGCTGGGGCCTTTTTGTGTATGATCGCCCTTATGTTTCTCTTAAATGTAAGGCTGTTGCATAAAATAATAAAATAGTTTTAATTTATAAGTGACTTTTCTTTGCTGCATCCTCCTTGATGTTTCAATAATGCATAATAATCTTTATACCATATTATGGTTGTCGAGAGTTTTTGTCAAGTTTAAAAGGTGTGTTTGTGCGCGTTTAGTTGCCTGTATGTGTGTGTGAGACCGAGGAAAAGAGCGCTCCCTTCATAGCTCTGTTGATGCCGCGAGCGGCTTTATTCTTTTATTTATTATTGTTTTTAGTTATTTTGGAGATAATACACTATATGAATACAACAGAAAGACATTAAACTTTACAAATTTCATGTCCACTTTTGTGGGCTCAAAACAATAGAGTCATTTAGATAAAATAGCCTAAGCTAAGCTATATTGAAATAATTTAAAGAATTACAAATATCAGATATAATAAAATCATATTAAATAAATAAACCAATATAAAACTAACAAAAGCTATAGCTATAACAATTAGGTGCTATATCAAACTGTTTTAAAGCCATAACACTTTCCTTTACTTAAGATATAATAAGCAACATCTTTAAATAAAGGGAATCATCTATTAAGTGTCATTAAGCCTATAGGGAAAAGTTCATGTTTCAGTTCTCTCCGGAACATTTAGGATGAATGTTGGACAGCGTCTGTCTAACTGAGGATGTTATAAAAACATTTTATATGGAGTTATTAACGGAGAATTTTATATATATGTTGTTATATTATGGATGTGTGTGCTCCCTGCGCTGGGTCCCTCCATTAGTGGCAAGACCACTGGATTTCGATCGTTGAGTAAATGAATATGATGAATGAGGACACACAGGTATGTGCGTATAGACATGCATTGTACTGCTGTACAGTAACGGGTCATTTGTTTGTTTCGGTTGTCTTCATTTTTATAATTTCGTGATGATGTGATGTGCTTTATCTGCTTGATTCCCACTGAAGTGGGCGCATTGAGTGACGTTCGATTCAGGGGATGTTCTGGGGGCGGGGTTTGCGTGACGCGCTGCAAAATACTAACCCGACAGTGGAAATGCGACATGATTTCGGCCTCACTGCTCAACCTCCCGGGCGATTGGCCCGGCCTGGCCCGATAAAAGCCCTGGCTCGCACTGGCCCGATAGTGGAAATGCGGGCCTGTGCCTTTAATTCTAGTCCTCCCCACCCACTGTTCACACATGCCTGTCAGAGTGTGCCTCCGTCTCAGCCACAGCTGTGTCAGATAAACAGCACAGTGACAGACATGAAGAAAGCAGATCTCATGTAACGTTTATGAGAAATACTACAGTAAGAACTTTTCCAATGATTATTTTATGTATTTGTTGTGGAGTTAATTCAAACTTTTCGATGAGTCACACACAATGTCGTTATAAAGTTCACACACACACAGGACACACAGTGTGTTTAGCTTTGCACTGATTTTGCACACATATGTGACATGATACAGCTTAATCTCCACTGCTGTATGGATATCTGTTGTTAATGTACAAAATAAACCTGATTTAACGTCTACAAACTGGAAATGAAGCGTCTTCTTTTATATTTGTAACTGACATGTGGCTTTGGTGATGAAGTAAAGCTGAAGTAAATCGCTGTACTACATTACACACATGCACTAATTTAGAAATGGTTAAACTTATAAAACTCACTCTTGATCACATTTGATGATGATTGATGATCACAGAGAGCTGAACAGATCTTTAAATCCCAGTTGCGCACATCCTGTCTTGTTGATATGATTTTACTTGTTACTATGGAGACATGTTAATAGCGGTTGAGAGCGGGGAAACTGCACTCCTATATGACGTTGTGGTCAACCTCAAAATTAGAGGGATGTGGATCCTATTTTAACATCAGGAAATTTTAAAAAGATAAATATCACCCCAACATGACTGTGGACACACTATAGCTACACAGAGTTGTGTCCAAACAGCTTACAAAAGAGGATTTTCATCATATGTGCCCTTTAAACTCTAAAATTAAATCTACATTCATTTGTAACTAAATGTATAGAATTTTCAGGAAGTTCAGAAAATTGCAGTAAAATGTGTTTCAATGCTCCAAACAATTGTAGTAGTTCTGTGACTGGACTGTGTGCAGTTAAGAAGGGGTTAATCCATATGCTCTAATCTAGGTCTGCAACAACGAATCGATTAAATTGATAAAAATCGACTACTAAAAGTGTTGGCAATGAATTTTATTATCGATTCATTGTGTCTCGCGACAAAGTGTTTTTGATTAGTTAAAAAGTCACTTTAGTTCAGCGTGGAGCTGAGTGAACACGGTCTCTCTGTTTCTTGCACACTGATACAGAGTTCGGTGCCTCGTAGTCAGGGATGAGGAGGAAGGGAGCAACAGCAGGGTAAGTCACTACAGAATCCTACTTTTCCGTTTTGAAGTGAGGAACGTAAAGTCCGTTTTTTTTTTTTTTTTTTTGTCCCTGGTGCTGTTGTCATGTAAAGTTGCTCTGCAGAAAAGGTTTTCTTTCTTAGTCATTTTGTCTCGTTTCCAGTCCAAATATCTAAAAAACTTAAGATTTTTTTATATATTTGGATTGAAAGCAGGACAAAACTACTTGGTAAGTTTTTTTTTATTTTATCATTGTTATTATTATTATTATAACAACTCAAGTTTGAGCATTTTTTAATAAAGGGTTGGAAATTAATGCTTTTCTCGCTTTTTTTATCTGTTTAATCAAAGAAGTTATCGACAGATTAATCGATTATTAAAATAATCAGTAATTGCAGCCCTGCCCTAATCCCTTGAATGATTGCTTTGAAGGTATGAAGGGATAATGAGAAAATCAAGTGCGTCTTTGTTGCACTTTTTGTCAGTTCATTCATTCCTTCTACTTCTGCTTTGTCTCTGATTTATCAGAAGTCACCACAGTGGAATGAACCCCAACTATTTGGCTACTTCCCTGCGCAAAGGATCATGGGTGCCTGAAGTGTCCATTAGTTGTGTCCTTTTAAATCTTTTATTCTAAAGGACCTTTGAGGTGGCCAGTTTTGAGAACTTTGGTTTGGAACGACACTTTAGTATGGCGGTCATGTGTGTTTGCTTGGCCAGGAGGAATTTCTCTGTGGAGTTTGTATGTTTCTCCCAGTGTTGTGAATCAGGGACTAAGCCATAGAAAAGTTAATAAGTGTTTATTTGTTTTCTGATTTATCAAAAGTCACCACTGCGGATTGAACCTTTGGGCATATTTTATGTGGCGGATACCTTTTCTGCCACAATCCAGCACTGGGAAACACCCATACACGCCTGCATTCACACACACACACACACGCTACGGCCAATTTAGTTCAATTGCCCTATAGGGCATGTGTTTGGACTGTGGGGGAAACTGGAGCACCCGGAGGAAACCCATGCCAACACGGGGAGAACATGCAAACTCCACACAGAAACACCAACTGACCCAGCCAGGACTCAATCCAGCAACCTTCCTGCTGTGAGGCCACAGTGCTAACCACTGAACCATTGTTTGCATTTTTTTTGTTTAAGATCCATTCATTAATTTCAAATCATTACCTTGTGTGAGTAAATGTGTGTCATGCGAATGAAGTTTCTTCTTCATCTCTTCATATTTCTTCAGTTTTTTCATCTGCACCTCCAGGAATGTCTCTGTGGAGTAAACACCTCCTCTGTTTTCCTCCAGCATCTTCTCAATGTTCTCCATCAATGTGGACACTTGTGTTTCAGAATTAAAGTACTGATGTCTTCCTCCAAAACTCTGAATGACAGCCTGTGTTTCTTCATTGAGTTCTGCTGTCTGATGCTCTGAGTTCTGCATGATGAGGATCATGATGTGTTTGTTGATTCTGGAGCTGAAGATCTTCTGGATCTCCTCCATTTCTGCTCTGTCTTCATTATTGAGTGGAGCGTCAGGAATAATGAGGAGGAAAGCATGAACTCCAGGATGACAGAGAGACACACAGCGGAGAGTCTGACGCATCACTTCCTCCTCTGAGAGCCCAGTGTTGAACAGAGCTGGAAGCTCCAGCACATTGATCAGACGACCATGAAGATCCACGTCTGTCCTCACACTCTCTAATTTTCTGTGTGTGTGTTGCAGGATCAGCTCTGAGATGGAGGATTTCAGTGAGACGTCACTCCCACACACCAACACATTCAGCCTCTCACAGTCTGAAACTGCAGAGGAAGAAGATTAAACAGTGTAAACATCACGAGAAACATCAGATAATCTCACACTCACCTCGTTGTGTGGCCTGTTGTTCCACTGAGAAATACTTATAAGCTTCATATTGAGCAGGAATCAGGTGTCGTCCCTCATTGCTCTTCTCGATGTCCTCAAAGGCCTGCAGAAGATGATCAGCAGAGCTGCTTCTCTGAAGACTGAAGTGTCTGTTGGAGCACTTCTGGATGATCTTCTGCAGGATCTGATTGGGTTCAGTGGGCTCTTGTGTGCTGAGCACCAGGGTGTGTTGAAGAAGGCGCTCAGAGAAAGAGTCCTGCAGCTTCTCCACACGCTCTTGATCTTCTGCTGAACACTGCTGATGTTGGAGGAGCAGAAGCACCACATGAGGTCCTGGATCAGACAGACGCACACACTCTCTGACCGTCTGTGTGATCTGATCATCTGAGATCTGTGTGTTGAGCAGTTGAGGACTGTTGATGAGCGTCACGTGTCTGTCCTTCAGTCTTCCTCCCACTCTCTCCACAACATCTGCAGGAGCTTCACTGTCAAACGCTGATCGACCCAAGATCAAGTTTCCCACACGGCTGTTTTCAGACACGCTTTTACCCAGGAGAAGAATCCTCACTGCAGAGTGAAAGAGTGAGTGAAATAACTTTATACAGCATATTTTATATGTAACATTTCATGATAAAAATTTAGCATCACAGATAAGATGTCCAGATCCACCAGGAGAAGTTCAAACTGATCTCTTTTGCTTTGATGAAGAAAAATTGTAGACTTACTCGAAGGAGGTTGGTCTTTGCTCCTCTTTCTCCTGCGAGGAGGATTGCAGGCATCAGTCTCTGTATAAAACAAAGCCGTACAGTTCAGAAATTTGACATTTATCTCAGTAAAATATTAATAAAGATCAACTTGTCACTCAGACTTGCTCTCCTCATGGCATGCTCGAAGTGAAATTCTGAGATCCTGGAATATTTCTTAAGAATAAAACCTTTTCAATTTGTAAGTTTACGAAATATACAAATTAATTTTTAAAATTGTGTACCAAAGCAAACAAAAGTCATTTGGTGCTCACCTGAGTTTTCATTGTTTGACATTTTGATGTTGTGTTTCCCGTCCGTCTCCCTTTTCAGTCTTTATCTGATCATCTTCTCTGAGTTTTTTTGCCTGCCTCTCCATCATCCACTGAGAAAGCTTTAATGATTTTCAAACAGCAGCACAGTGCCTGTTCATTTCCCCACACATCCTTGAATAAAGCTGGTCATTTGTAAATATACGTGAGGAGAACATATTGAAACTAAATGAGGTATATTATTGGGTAAGTGACATATTACAGCTTAGAATTGAAGATATTTGAAGAGTTTAGATGCAAAAACCTTTAAATACCGTCTGAATTTTTCTCTAAAATGAGCATTTTTATCTGTCCTCTGCCTGTTAAATGCTGTTTTTCCCTTTTGGATTTGTTTGCTGATTGTAAATATTTGTAGTATTTGTAAGTAGGGAGCTTGACAGCATTTTCTTTTATACCTTCTTTCAAAAGTTCGCACTTAGATACTGTTTGACAACTTGTTAGCAAGTTAGCAGGTTTGGCATGCTGTCCCGGGAGAGAACCCTGAGCTCGGAGATAGTTGAGCCCAGGGCTCCCGCCAGGTCCATAAAGCATGTGAGGGGAGTACGAGATAAGGTGGTTCTCGAGAGCTCCCCTCTGCAAAAGAGGAAATGAGGAGAAGGGGTGGATGGGAGGTTTCTTCGGGAAAACGAAGATAAGAGAGTAGATCTTAGCTAGGTTACTTATAGTGAGTTTGGATCAATCCGATTGGCTAGCCAATGAATGTAGATGAGTGGCCAGCTGCAGTCAATCATATCACGAGCTCCTCTCGAAATTAGTTTGTGAAACTTCATTTAGTTGATTGTTTTTCTAGACAAGGGAGTAAGGTAAGAAAGTGTATTTTATTTTCTTTCTTTTTGCTAAAAACAGGAAATTTAGAGGGGATTTAAATTTAGATTGTTTTGTTTATTGTTTGGCCTGGTCAGCTCCTGAAGTTGGAAAAAAGACAGATTTTGCTTGAGAAAATCAATGTGAAAATAAAATCTTAATATATTTTCTAAAGCAGCATTGTGTGTGCAGTCTTCATTTTCATTTTGCGTCCTTACCCCTAGACGGGGCGTAACACTCCTGTGTATGTTTAGTAATATCACTGCTATGGAGAAGGAGAAGTCCTTTTCCTGTTAGTTAAAGTGAAAAATCTCAACATAAAGAAGGTAAAGAAAATAATTTCTATGGAACTTTCAGATGGCACTTAGAGGTTTTTGCATCTGAACTCTTCATTTGTCCTTTACCTGTACTGAACATGTTTCAGTTTTATTCTGTCCTCCATCTGTTTCTTCAGCCGATCATTTTCTCTGATCCCTCACATCTGTTCAGTTTTCTGAAAGAGATTTTATTGATTTTTTTTATCATTAATTATAATTCAAAAACTATCTAACATCGCATCACAGTTACACAGTGCATCTGGAAAGTATTAATAGCGCTTCATTTTATCCACATGTTTTTATGTCACAGCCCTATTCCAAAATGGATTAAATTAATTGATTTCCTTAACATTCTACACACAATCCCCCATAATGACAATGTGAAAACAGAGTTTTAGAAATTGTTGCAAATTTATTAAAAATAAAAAAGCTGAAAATTCACATGCACATCAGTGTTCACAGGCTTTGGCGTGAAGCTGCAAAAGTAACTTGCGTTACATTTTTCAAAACTCAAATGTTACTAGTTAATAAAAGTAATTCACTACTTTACTCGTTACTTATATAAGTAATATTATTAACTGTTCTTTAACTTTTCTGGTGCTACACCACAAACCCTGCTCACACAGCAGAATCAAACCATACTATACAGTGGCTGCAATACCGTGAACCTGTGAATTTGTGCAGCAATTCTAAATCATGTTTCTGCAGTAATGTCCAATACAAAACTAAACTAAACACACTTCACATTTTAATCAACACCGAACACGTTCTTCAGCACTCGTTTGTTTTAGCACAGCTCTGACAGTGAAAGTGAAACTGATGATACTGCAGCTCATAGTTACAGAAATTCACTATTTAAATCAATGATTGTTTTAGTTTTTGTGTTATATTTAGTTGTATTACTCAGAGACAGCGTTTATTTGGAAGTATGATACCTGTGTGTTGAGGTTTTGATCATTATGATTCTCTCCTTGTAGCCATCGTGAGATCGGGAAGTGTGTGTGTGTGTGTGGGTGGGTGGAGTCAGTGACCCAGCAAAAACCTGTTTCTACCTGAACAACAGGTGTTTCTCACGTAAGTCTGCTACATGCCTCTAACATCTCTGCATTTTTTTGCCATATTTTTGCCTTTATTAGTTCAAATTCAGTTGTGAAACACTTGTTGGAACTAAATTGTCAAAATTCATTTTGCAGGAAAAAAGAAAGAGCTACTGTTCCAGCCAATGCATTTATTTAACTATAATATATAACATATATTCATATAAGTATTAAATAAGATAAAATAAAGGCTACAACAACATGTGTGGTAAAAATTCAAGCAGCAGTTCCTAAGAGGGAAAGTAGCAAGCAAAACACACACACACACACACACACACACACAATCAACTGAATTTACTGCAACATTCTGAGAACTGACTTGATGTTTTAATAAATGAGTATGAATCATGTTTTTACCTTGAGTATTGAAGAGTTTAATTGCAAAACATATGTCATATCACTCTTTTTAAAAATCTGTTAAGAGATTGACTTTTCATTGTACAGGAATAATGGAAAATGTTCTGGCTATGCTATGGGTGTAAACACAGTCAACAGAGTACAGGCAGTGGCACCGCTAGTGGGTAAAAAAGTTAACTGAAAATATTCTAGTGCGCTTATAAATACCTCAGGTTTAAATATTGGTACCTAAAAAGTACAAAAGTGTACCTCTTGAAAGTTTTTAGGTGCTAATAATTTAACTCTGAGGTACCAATATGGACCCGAGTGTGTTTACGAGGCTCACAGGCCGAGTACTTCTGTCAGAATGCTTTACTCTTCACATATCCATCAACCAGGCTTACCATGACCTAGTAATGCCATCTAGTGGCCTCTTATGATAGGCCTTTAAAACACCTATCAGTTTCCTTCTGCTCGTCAATTTGAGTCTCCAAAGACGCCATAGTGCTTTTTTTTTTTTTACTTAGTATTTACATGCTAACTGCTTAATATGAGATGTTTGTACATACATTTGAATTGCCTGTTATAGTTAATTAAAGGGACAGTACACCCAAAACTGACATTTCTGTCATAATTTACTCTCTCTTCACTGATTGGCTGATGATCAATCTACTGTTAGGTGTTTGATTATTGTCAGCTAAAGTAGTTCCGGCAGGTTTAGTGCGCATTACAGCTCTATATCCCTCCACTGAATGATTAGAGTTATTCTACAGCTACAACAGTCAGAAATCACATCAGAACACAACAGGAGATGTGGAGGACACTAATGCTACACACAGGACATGTTTAGGGACAAAAACCTGACAAACAAACTCAAGTTCAACATCTGAACACTGGATTTAAATGCAGAAACCGTAGTATAAGCGTTTGTTACAATATATTATTGAAGCATTCTGTTGTGAAGTACTTGAATTGATCTGTTGTGGTGATTCTACAGTTGTTATTGTAGCAGAGGCCAGCTAGTAAATGCTGTGCAGGTAAACCTCACTCCTCTGACCTCTAAAGGTGCTCTAGCGACAGATGCTAAATGCCATGGTCTTTAGCCTCCTTAGTAGAGTAGTGATCAACCGTAAAATGGCATATTGTCCCTCTTCCCAACAGGGAAAACCAGCAACAATCAAGAAGGTATGATTATATGCTGCCATGTGATTATAACGGAAGTCAATTGATCAAAAACAGCAACAAATATAACCAAAGGGGAGCCAATCTGCTCAGAATGTATTGTTGGGTTTTTGAAAAATTTCAAAGCATTTTCCCAAAATATGTGTCAAATTAATATTTGTCCTGTATAAATCATTCCATTTGCTGAAACACAGAAAGCTGTGGCCAAATTAAGACTCAAAGTCAGCCCAGAGTGGATGAAAATGGCCCAACAGCACACATAAGGGTAAAGTGTATTTTGTTTAACTGAGAGTCTGCATTGCACATGCATCTTCATCAGATAGAGTGAATCAAACCCGTTAACAGTTTTTAAGCATTGGTCTCTCTTTCTGTCTGGTGTGAAACGACACATGGACCTTCACAAGTGTTTTGTGACGCTAAACGGTTGAACAAACACTTTACTGCTACTAAATGCATCAAGATCACACTTCAGTTCAGAAACACACACACACACACACACACACACACATTGCTGACATACTGTACAGTTAAGATCATAATTATTTGCCCTGTTAAATTTTAATTATTTCATATTTTCCCCCTAATTTCTGTTTAATGGAGAGCAGATTTCTTCAACACATTTCTAATCAAAATAGTTTTAATTACTCATCTCTAATCACTGATTTATTTTCTCTTTGCCATGATGACAGTAAATAATATTAGACTAGATATTCTTCAAGACACTTCTATACAGCTTAAAGTGACATTTAAAGGCTTCACTATGTTAATTAGGGTAAAGTTAGGGTAATTAGGCAAGGTATTATATAACTGTGGTTTGTTCTGTAGACAATTCAAAACTAATATTGCTTAAAGGGGCTAATAATATTGACCTTAAAATGGTGTTTAAAAAATTAAAAACTGCTTTTATTCTAGCCGAAATAAAACAAATAAGACTTTCTCCAGAAGAAAAAAATATTATCAGACATACTGTGAACATTTCCTGAATCTATTAAACATAATTTGGGAAATATTTAAACAAAAAAAAAAAACTTAAGAAGGCTAATAATTCTGACTTCAACTGTACATATGGTGGGTACAGAAAGTATTCAGACCCCTTACATTTGTCACTGTTGTGTTGCAGCCAATTGCTAAAATCATTTAAGTAAATTTTCTCCTCATGAATGTTCGTACAGCGCCACACATTGACAGAAACACACAGAACTGTTGACATTTTTGCAGATTTATTAAAACAGAAAAACTGAAATATCACATGCTCCTCAGTATTCAGAGCCTTTGCTGTGACCCTTATATATTTAGCTCAGGTGCTGTCCATTACTTCTGACCCTCCTTGAGATGGTTCTACACAGTGGCGCAAAAAGGGGGTATGCAGTATATGCGGCGCATAGGGGCGCCACACATGGGGGGGGGGGGGGGGCGCCATTGTGCCAAAACTATTTTTTAAATAATCCTTATTAAAAGTTAATTAATAAAAATAAATAATTATGCTTTGTTAAAAAACATTATTTTGCATTTTATACAAATATAACATTGTTATTGTTTAATTCAAAATCATTTAACACAATAACATGCAGTCACACAGCCTAAATTGTTTATGTAGATGTAACTGTTTAGATTTGTTTTTATTTTTATCAAAATAAACTGTCAAATCATACATAATGTCAAAAGTTATAAGGTTAATCTGAAAATTTGTCTTCATTTATTATTAATTAATTAAATTATTAGTTTGCCAAAATAAGAGGGATCACACAAAATTTGAACCCGCATACCCCTCAGTAAATGTGTAGTTGCGCCCCTGGTTCTACACCTTCATCTGAGTCCAGCTGTGTTTGATTACACTGATTGGACTTGATCAGAAAAGCCACACATCTGTCTATATAAGACCCTACAGCTCACAATACATGTCAGAGCAAACGACAATCAGGAAGTCAAAGGAACTGCCTGAAGAGCTCAGAGACAGAATTGAGGCAAGGCACAGATCTGGCCAAGCTTACAGAAACATGTCTGCTGCACTTCAGGTTCCCAAGAGCACAGTGGCCTCTATAATCCTTAAATGGAAGACAGTTGGGATGACCAGAACCCTTCCTAGAGCTGACTATTCGGCCAAACTGAGCTATCAGGAGAGAAGAGCCTTGGTGAGAGAGGTCAAGAAGAACCCAAAGATCACTGTGACTGAGCTCCAGAGATTCAGTCAGGAGATGGGAGAAAATGTAGAAAGTCAACTATCACTGCAGCCCTCCACCTGTCCGCAGAGTGGCCTGACAGAAGCCTCTCCTCAGTGCAAGACAGGACTCTAAGATGGTAAGAAATAAAATTCTCTCGACTGATGAGACCCAGGTAGAACTTTTTCGCCTTAATTCTAAGCGGTAGGGGTGTCAAAATTTATTGTTTCTTTCAATTCGGTATCGGTTCAGTAATAATCATAACCGGTTATTACTGACGTCATTTACCTCATATGCGCTCTGTCGCGAGGGAGGCGATCGCGAGTATTTACAGAGATTTAACTACTTAAAACTCATAAACTGTGCACAATTTCACTGTGTGAGTTTGCTGGATCAGTCTTTCACTGACAGATACAACAAAAGCCCCTATTTCACTGAGATCGAGAGAGTGTGAGTAGCCTACTCCATTTCTCTCTCTCTCTCTCTCTCTCTCTCTCGCTCTGTCTCTCTCTCTTTCTCTTACACACACAGTGGCCCATTTGACCTGCTGGCGTGGCTTTTCTTCTCCTCTCGGCTGTTTTACAGCGTTACTTTTGCATCCAGAAACGAGCGCGTGTCTGCAGAGTTTTCTCCACCGTGTCTATCATGCATCAGCTGTGAGATCGCCGCTGCCGTCTTGCGCTTATCAGCATCACTCATCTGTGAAGAGCGCAGCGCGCAAGAGCCAATCGCAACCGTTTTTTTTTTTTGAGGGTGTGACCAATCAAAGAGGTGTAAGAGAACTAGACAAGGATCAGAAATTGAGCTGGATATTTATATTTGTTTATATTATTTGTTAAATGCTCGTTTTGTGTAATGTTACAGTTTATATTTCTGACTGTTTGTATTAAATTACAAAATTGATTTACATATAGTTTATAAATATAAATATATTCCTACATTTTAATACAAGAACTGCTGCTGTGAAGAAAATATAAAACTGTGTATGGAAAGCATCGTCAATGCACCGTGATGCACCGAGATATCGAAATGAACCGAATCGATGGCATGATAATCGTAACCGAACCGAACCGTGAGACTAGTGTAGGTTCACAGCTCTACTAAGCGGTATGCGTAGAGAAAAGCACTGCTCATCACCTGTCCAATACAGTCCCAACAGTGAAGCAGTGGTGGCAGCATCATGCTGTGGGGGTGTTTTTTAGCTGCAGAGACAGGACGAGTGGTTGCAATCGAGGG